GATATTTGCAAACCTGACATACAAGTTCCACGAAAGTAGAACGCAAACCTCAGCCCTCATGTTGGACGTGAAATTATCAAAACCCGCATCCGTATAAAAAAGGGAATGGCTTACAATAGGTGGCATTAATTCAGACGAATCTTTCAAGTGCCGCCCGTATGACGTGTAAAACGCACTTGTAACTGATACCATCTTTAATCTTCGCACCTTTTCGCGTGGCCCGCGCTGAGCCAGGCCTTTTATAAATAGACGCGAAGAACGCTTTGTACGCTGAAATGAGACTAGCGAAAGATAAGAATCTTGAAAGTGCTCCAAGCCAGCGGTGAGCCGCGGGGCCGTCAAGGAGAGATCTATTGCACTTTTCATTACGCGATATGTTTGTGTTGGTTCAGTCAAGCTGAGATTATATTTTTTTTATTTTCATATATAAACAAGTTTCATCTCTTTAAAAAAAAACTTACTTGGTTTAAAATTTGTAAACGTTAATGTTTATGGTTGACAATGGATATAGCAAGTACGAAAACAATAATCGGATTAAATTCCTGCGTGGAATGATAACTATTCATTTAATTATTAATTTATATTGAATCTAATACACTAACGATAATGAACCAGTCTTAATATTTCTGTTTGTTTTGTTTTGTACACACTTTTTGAATTACTAAATTTAATTCCTGATTAACCTCTAGACTCAGCGAAACTTACTACCTTTTCAATTTTGTCATTTAATATGTTATATCTGAGCTAGCTTTTGTCAAATAATAATTGTGTTTGCTCCATTGTTGAAAGAAAGGTAAGACGGATATAAGATATCCATTAACTGAGCCGTTTGAGAAATATTTCTTAACAAAACTCTGTGAAACGTTTGTAACAATATTGTTCGTATATTTTCACAAATAACATTGCTGTGAAATATCAACATAAAAAGGAAAGGTTTGATCGGAAAATAAGTTAGTCAGAAAATATACTTTTAATTGGATCTCTACTTAAATTATACCAAAATACAAAGTGTTTGAATATTCGTAAATACATGTAGAAGAATAGAAGAGTCTTCCACTCAAGTTTCGAAACTGATTTTTTTTATAAAAAAATCTATTTCAGCTCCATTAATTTCTCAATTTAACGGTTGCAAATTGTTAGTCGTCAATGAAGCTCATATTAATTGCTTTGGATCGCCTTTCTTATCATCCATAGAAAGGACAAAACGTTTAAGGTGAGAAAATAGTTTAAGATTTAGATTTTTAGAATTTTAAAAACCTTTTTGAAAAACCTTTGAATTAATAAAATTTCAGTCGGAATAAAATTTATACACGCTCCGGCATCTTAATTTGCAATAAGTATTAATCGATATTTTTTCGTTATGTTAATTATGCAACAAATTAATGTTTTAAGAAAAAGTATCCCTAAGATAGGGAATAAAACGTAAAAGAATACAAAACGGAAAATTTTGTTTATTTTTTACGTGTCTACTTTTAGATAGTAAATTTACAGGGTGACTGGTGAATTACTATCAATATTTAAGGAGCATACTCGGTACATGATTCTCATTCGAATTATGTAAAAAAAAATGGTACTTAATTTTTGACCAAATTTCTGTATAAATAAATAAAGCGTGGATACGTTCCAAGTGTTCAAAGTGTGGACGCGTATTTGTGTGTGTATACCTAATCTGTAGGGTGTTCACACGATGTGTAATTAATTACATAACTTTTGGTTAACTTTACTTAGAAGTTTATTAATATTTATGTTATATTAATTTTTATTTTGTCATATATGATCGTCAAATATCACGTCCTCAAGTATCGATAGTAATTCACCAGTCACCTGTATAGACAAAAGTAAAAACAGGGTAAGAGTTAATAGATCAATGGGCTTAACGTTTACTTTATTATCTAAATACGATAACACACGCGTGTTATTTTCATAATTGATGCGAGTACTTAACGTCTCGTTAAACTCATGCTAACCACATACAATTACTTCATTCAGTCGGAATATCCCACTTTGGTAAGCGATCTAGGACCTCAATCATCTGATGATATAACAATTAATTTACGTGACCGTGAAGATTTAAACATCATAGTTTGGAAGATTTAAAATTATATAGGTACTTGTAATCTATTATACAAACTTCACTAAAATAGAAATTTCTCGAAGAAGTTTTTAGCTTATTTTACGATACAATGCTTTCTTTTTTTCCCTTTTTATAACATGACTATCATAATTGAGTACAGTTTTATTGAGGTTCATATGGATTATCAGTATTAAATTGAGAAAATAACATATGAGAAGGTTAACGGAACTGTAAAACCTTTTTCATATAACATTTTTGACCAATACAATGAAATCAACTGCTATTAATGGATATTATATTGTACATATATACATATGTCACACACATGTGGGCCCGAGTACTGTCACATTCCGTCTTTGTGACGGCTTATGTCAGTGTTCGAGCTTAACACGGCAACTCCCCGTGCATGTGCTGTTTGTCTTGGCACATATGCAGTCCACTCTCAGTGGCGAGACAACCAGGCAACGTTGAAGGTCTGAAGGTGGCGATAGGAGTGATGTATCGTTGCCAGAGACTGCATCTCCCTCTCCTCCGATCGTAGCGGGTATCCGTTCCATTGGACTAAGGGGAGGTAGACGAGAGGGTGCATCTGTGTATTGCGCGTCCACTTATGCACCTAAATATATCTTGCGTACTTGACTTTGGCTTTGTTTTATCGGAATATTGGAACTAGAAGCCCTGTGGCGATAGGTAGAGGTAGAAAAGTTCGGTCTTGATGTATACCGTTCTTTGTCTGATACCTGCACATAGGCCGCGTAGGGAGAGTGGTCGCTCCTGCACTGCGACGGGATGACAGTGCGGTTTCGGCAGCACCCTCTGCGACAAAGCAGCTCTATTTAGAGAGGCACTGCTTTCCTCGCATAGCCGAGGAGGGGGCTATGTGAGGTCGCATCGCAGCTCTTAAATATTACCTATGTAATCTATAAAAAAAAAAAAAAAACCACTATAGCCGAATACGGCTGGGTGGATATATACATGTGTGTGTATAGATTCTACATATATATTTTGTATTACAACAGAGTTCATTGAGGACATTAGAGCTCTATTGATAAGTATAAGGATTAGGCAGTATCTCAATAAAAAGTAGTTGGAGTTCTAAAAAACACGATGAAATATATTTGTTCCAAGTGAATTATTACAAAACAAAAACAAGGTACAATCATGAACCAAATACTTACACGTGTACAGGTAAAGTCAGCATCAACAATAGTGTTTACAGTACTTATGAACTACTTTATTTTATTCATTCAATCATAACAATGAAAACTTTTAATACTATGCTTTATTCGAACTAGCATCCTATAATATTATGCCAATGTAAACAAAACGTTAAAAATTAATCAGATCATTTTGTCATACCGTCGTTAGCAGTAACTGTGACAGTAGTTTTAAGAATAGCACATTGCAAGATGGTTGTGTAATTTTTTTCGTCATGGGATGACTAGTTGTGCAAAAATTACGAGTCATGACAGAGTGGCTGTGTGGGGCCGGGTATAAACAATTAAGTGTCAAAAGTGATAGATTAAGTTCAGCGTCGATGTAAGATATTTGTGGAGAAAACATATTAATTAAATTCCTATGATTATCTTCGATTCGATTCTGTGATTCCTACAATAAAGATATAACCGTCTTATACCTTTACCTAGTATCCACAATATCCTATCTGATGATAAAGCCTAAATAAAAATGCATTTACATTTTATATTCCCGGAAACGTAGATTAGTTATGAAAAATTGACATTCGCTGTCAATAAATTACAATTTGCATAAAAGTTTTAGTGAAAAACTGTTGTATATAATACTTTTTTATCTCTTTTCATGGCTTTAGTAACGTTTCATCCAGTGACATTTATTTGTAACATCGTTCTGACGTTCTACAATATTATATCTTAACTACTAGTACAATCTGAGTTTTAAATAAGTTTATAAAGAAATGAGAATGACAATATGAATGTCTTTCATAGGCTTCACTTCTCTGTATAAGAACTTCACTTGGACGATAAGTTAAGCTTCGCTGTATAAATTATGAGGAGAATAGTTTTAAAATAGAAACGTAAATAAAACATCCATTTAGTTGATACATGTATATTTATTGTAAGATAGCGACAAATTGCTCAGGAGGCCTGCCAAATGTACCTGTCATACAAAAATCACCCTTAGTACCCACTCATACAGTCCTTCAGCCCCGAGCTATAAAATACGTAAATTAACAATAAAAACTGTGCTTATAATACATGCGAGTTACAAAGCGTGAATACACATTTAAAAAGAAAATTTTTTTATAGCAAAAAAATTATACAAACTGTAACTACGTACATAGTTTGGTGTTGTTCCTTACAAGTGGTAACAATGTAATTAAAACGAAGCAACTGCCGCATAAAGTAACAATAGTTGCATTAACATGACACTAAGACACACGCCTACAACTGTTAATAGCTAATAATATCTATAGAATATCGTTTAACGAGAGCGGATATTGGCTGTGCTGATTTTGATAGGATAGTGCATATTTTATAGTACTTGTATGAACGGGTGCTTCATCAATAACAAGTCCACGACTAGCAGTTACCCCGGCACAATAATGTTAAAACTATTATTTATAATGAAAGAATCTAATATTTTAATGTATTTACATTCAGCGTAATCAACTATGCATGGACACTACGTACATAGCGCCCTATAACATATTATGTAGTGTCTACCGTACCGTGTACGCTACTAATAAATAAATAAGAAATTTATCTAATATTCTAACTAATCATAAACGAGAATTGTTAAAATACTGAAAGTAACGATGGAAGTAAAATAAATTAACTATAACATGTATGAGAAAAAATAAAGATACATACAAAGAATTTCAATACTAACATATAATGTTATATGAATTTGAATAGTTTAAGAACGGTGATACATTTTAATCGATCGTTTATAGGACGCAGAACTCTTCTAGAAGGTTCCGTAGTTCCTTGTTGTGGGCTGCCTTAGAACCGGTGGCTGGTGAAGCGGCTGTGGCGCGACCGTTGTAACTGAAAACATTACATACATTATGTACCCAATATGTATGGAAAAAAACATAATCCATACATTCTAATGAGTTAAATACATTTAATATGCATATATCCAGCAATTAGTTTGTAAACATATAGTGAAATTTCATAGCAACGCATTATATTTATATAGAATTTCCGATGAAAACAATTTATGTGTTAACCTCCCCTTCCACGCACGACCCTATTCCCATCGCGACATCATAGGTCAAAGGCTGACACTGTCAAATATGTTCCATAGAATGTGGAATTCATCAAATAAATGGATGATTTAGTTCTTACAAAGTGTTGCCGCCATTTTGATAGATCACCCGGCCCGTTACCAATACAGATACTATACTCATGAATTACGACCTTTTAAAAATTTAAAACATTCGTATATAGAAAATGACAAATGGCCAGTATTATTTTTTTTGCGCAAAATAGGTGACAATGATGGAAATCATGAATGGTGCAAGCTTAGAATTGATGAAGGGGATGTATATGTATGACAATGTTATTATAAATATAGGACACACAGTGGAATATTTCGCTGTCTGTATAAAGCAAGCGTTTGGTGGACTAATCTCACCTAATGGTACGCGGTACTGTTTCCGTCTGTGTGTCCGTCTGAGCCGGCTCAGGTTTGCCGAAAAGTTGACTAAACCAACCGCCTCGAGAGTTGGATTTTGGCCTGCAACCAATGGCAGGTATCTGATGTGTTAGTGCGTCATGGAACATGCTGTTTATATACTGACTGGATTTACTTCAAGGACAACACTTATTATCACACGCACAAATATTTCGCCAACCACAATACTAAATATAAGATTTCCAGAAAGACAGAACCATTAAATGAGCCATCAGTTTTAAATAATATCGACCGAATAACTTAGCGTTGCATAAAATCAATACAATGGAAGATTTTACATGAAATTAAAATCAATGGTTTATAAATATTCTTGTAATATACAGGGTATCCAGTAAAGAATGGATAACCTTGAAATGTCTAATAGTAGAACTTATGGTCATTTAGAAAAAAAGTACGCAACAAAATACGTATAATTCTTCAGATAAGTTTTTTTTAAAGAAATGTCTAATTTTTTTACCTTATTTTACTTTTTCGAAGGACTATATTAATGACTATACTATGACCAGAAATGAATGAATTACATCGGTTTTTTGGTGATTTGTTTATTATACACTAACTATGATGATAGATACATAGTACATAATGTACTAGCTACTACTGCTTGTACGTAGTATAATGAGACACATATTAGTTACATTTAAATGAATACTCGCGAAAGTTTTAAGTATATCAAAGCCATGTTGATGTAAATAGATAAACCTGTATTTAGTGAATACAAAGTTGCATTTAAAATAAATAATATCTTATTAGAATTTTAAAAGCAATTTAATAATCTAAAAGATCTCTATCTAAAGTTTGTTTTTTTGAAAATGACGCTAAATAAACCAGTGGAATTAATTTCTACATTCGATTTCCCTTATGTACAAAATAATTTGATACGCCTATTAATTTTCTTATATATACATTTTCCTTATATACTCACTTTCCTTATTTACTCACTTTCCTTATATACCAATGTTCCTTATATACCAATTCTCCTTTTACACTCGTTTTCCTCATATACTAATTTCCTTATATACCAATTCTCCTTATATACTTATTCTTCCTATACAGGGTGACTGGTGAATTACTATCAATATTTAAGGAGCATACTCAGTACATGATTCTCATTTGAATTATGTAAAAAAAATAGGTACTTAATTTTTGACCAAATTTCCGTATAAATAAATAAAGTGTGTACACATTCCAAGTGTTCCAAGTGTGGACGCGTGCGGCGGCGTGCTGATACAACAACACGCCGCCGCGCGCGAGTGTGTGTGTGTGTGTATACCTAATCTGTAGGGTGTTCATACGATGCGTAATTAATTACATAACTTTTGGTTAACTTTACTTAGAAGTTTATTAATATTTATGTTATATTAATTTTTATTTTGTCATATATGATCGTCAAATATCACGTCCTCAAATATCGATAGTAATTCACCAGTCAAACTGTATATTTAAAAAAAATGATTTTTTCCTTAAAAAAAACTTATCTTGAGTACTACTTATTTTGAGTACTACGTATTTTGTTTCGTACTTTTTTCTCAATGGCCATTAGTTCTATTATAAGACATTTCAAAGTTATCCATTCTTTACTACCCTGTATATTTCAAGATAATTTACGTACTGATTAAATTATAATTAGCTTTCCATACAGCCAACGGCACGCGTCCGGTCATGGATGTTTAAGAGTAGCAATTAATTGGAGCAATGAAGCTTATTCACTAACATTTCACGCTCGTTTTATCTGACATCCAATTAGTCACGTCGCTGGACGTACTGCCTGCTTTTTTTCCTCTTTATTTGTCTATTTTAGTGTACAATATTTAACACAATATAAGTTCACGAGACTGTGAAATGTGATTTTAAGTTTTTTCTTACTTTTATCACGACTCGCGTGAAATGGAAAAGTACATTATAATGTAGCAAAACCAAACGAGAATACATGATTATTGTAAAACGGTTTTCAAAGAGTTTCTTTTTAGTTAAAATTATTAGCTACAAAAGATTAGTCGAGGAAACAAAAAAGAAGCTTAATTTTTAACCCACGTGTTACTTACTAAAGCCCCATTTCGTAATTTCGCGAACAGTACAAATTGTATATCGATTGAGAACATATTTTATTGAAACAGTCGATAAAACGATAAAATTTTTAAAGAACATTTTTTACCCTTTATCCAAAAAAAATCGAAGACACACACGACATATTATTTAACATATCGTTGGATATAGTGCAAATCCTCGTAACTAGCGTCATCTGATAATTCTGTACCATATCTGTACTAGATCTGGCTAAATAGATTGACAGAGAAATATTTAAACTTAATATTTTTCTAATTTAATCACTTTTAACTTTTTAGATATTTTCAAACTTCCTCTATTATCTCATTCTATCTGAGCTAGGCGGAAATATTTAATGTTAGTTATACGGATTTGCACTATCCTCGACGATATCCGATAATAATTTGCTCTTTTCCAATCCACAAGGGAAGAATTTATATAAAGTACCAATCAATCGTCCAACGTTTTTACAAAATACACTAAATATATTTACAAGACTTATCTTGTTTCGATGGCCTCGCTTATATAAATATTTAAACGCAATATTCTTAATATTATTCCATACATGCAAGCGATAATTAATTGTAATATGAATGAATCCCTATGAGGTCATATTTGAATAATGATTCCACATGCATATATTAAGTAGGAAAAAATATTGTCTGGTTTTCTTATTCATGTAACATCTTATGACTTTTAGTTACAAAATTTATAATGTTCATATATAAATATGGACCATCCTGAATTCTCCCCTCAAAAATGTTGAATAGAATTTGCAGTAAAATTTCACAAACAACGAAATTTGATCTTTATTATTTAAAAATATTAACTAGATTTCGCTCGAGTTATTATTCATATATTTATTTGAAATTGAAATTAATTTAATATCAGAACAATCAATAAATTCAGTTCAACGAATTACTAAAGGCTGAGGTATATAGGTTGATAGAAATATAGTATTCACTTTAAACAATTTCATCAATACCCTTTAACCAAAAAAAAATCCCATCATCAAAATACTTTGTTTTTTACACAATTAGTACTTGAATGAATGAATCGCTCACACATAGTACTGACTGTTTAGTCAGTACTATGTGTACCCATCCCATAGACTTAACGTAAGACTATTACTATTAGACTACTACTATTTAAGAATAAATTCATAATTATTAATTCTAAGTTTACTTTAAATTTCGCTAAATAAACCACCATAAAGTCATAACTACAGTATAAAAATTTTGATATAACGACTGATGCATATGCGTACTAACGAAATAATATCTACCCCTCTTAAATGAAGTACGAATATCGGTTACTAATATACATGATGTTCAAAAAATATTACTAGGTACTAGTTACTATAAACACACACTAAACGAATAACACAACACCAAACGAATTAGTGGAACTACGTCATATTTGACCAACGAAAAATCGCTTTATGTTTATACATGATGTTCCAAAAATTATAACTAGGGTATTTCACACTAAACGAATAGCACAACACCAAACGAATTAGCGGAACGGCTTCATACTAAAGCAAAAAATCTACTTTATGGAGTTCATGCATGGTATTAAAAAAATTACATGTACTTGTTTAGGGGCCGTTCAAGGCAGATTTATTACAATTATTTACCCCCCCATCCCCCTTGTCAGCAAAAGTAAGCAAAGCTCTTACCCCCTCCCCCCATGCTTACGTAAACATTTTCAGTTACTGTATTGTTTTTTTTTTATTTATAAATCCAGAAAAAAAATATAACGATATTTTTTTATGGATCTTCTCGATGTGACGGTTAAAAAGTAAATAACTACCGATGACGTAGTAATCATATAGACTACTCCCCTACCCCTATGTCATCCAAAATAATCAAAGCAAAGAAACCCCCCCCCCCCCCTCCATAGTGCTTACGTAATATTTGAACGGCCCCTTATAGATAACTTGACCCAAGTAAAACGCTTCATATTTATACATGGTGTTCAAAAAAGTCACATATAATTGTTAATGGGTATAAATATAGTTATCTTACCAGATCTGTTTCTGATTATGCAGCAAGGTACGGAACCTCGGCTCGATGTAGCTCCAAGAGCCCATGTTCTTGTGCTCCTCCTGGCTCCACACCAACTGAGCGTTAGGGTACTTGGCGATCTCTGCCTTGATCAGGTCGTACGGGAACGGAGAGATCTGCTCCAGTCTATAAAGAGTATTAACAATATTATTATACTACTGATGTTAATGATGTTATTTAATTCTAGTTTTATTTAACTATACAGTGATATCCCTACTGATATTATAAATGCGAAAGTAACTCTGTCTGTCTGTCTGTTACGCTTTCACGCCTAAACCACTTAACTGATTTTAATGAAATTTGGTACAGAGATAGAGTTGACCTTGAGAAAGAACAAAGGATAGTTTTTATCCTAGACTTTTGAAAGGTTCTCTTCGAAACGCGATATAACCGAACTCATCGCGGCCGAAGCTGCGGGCGGAAAGCTAATAGAAAATATTTGTTTTAAATTTGATGTTTCCATAAATGATGTAAAAAAAATTAGGCTCTGAACTAATAATTTGCTGTAATATTTATATTTATGTCTTTGAGATAGCACTTGAATATTTATTAAATACGAAAATTGAGTATATTCTAATACTTGTTCAAAGTTATTGAACATTATTATATTACGACGTAGCAAGCCCTTATGACTTATATTGATAATATTTTTTTTATTTATTTAGGTCATCAGAGTGCTGTATAATAATGATATTATGCTATTTAACTAAACAATACTAACAAAAATACAGAATTACATGGTTACAGTAAAAAAGTATAAATATAAACGTAACTTAAGTATTAATTAATCGCGGATGACAATACTAATTAAAACACTGTCCGTTCTGTGCGTGTGAATGTTTGAGTGTGTGAGTGATTGCGTGTGTGTGTAAGCATTTGTTTGTTTTAAAGTAAACCTTTAAATTCCGGAACGCACCCGAACGCAAATGACACTAAAGCGATGACATTTTTTTTGTTCACTTTTGCGCGGTAAAGTTTTTGTCTGATTTGTGGGTGTCTTTGTAAATTGACTTAATTTGGTTTAAGATAATAATTACTTTGCACTAGTAGTTAAGGTTTTATTTCTCACTAGTTTTCCGCCCGCAGCTTCGCTCGCGTGGAGTTCGGTTATATCGTGTTTCCAAGAGAACCTTTCAAAAGTCTAGGATAAAAACTATCCTATGTTCTTACTCAAGGTCAACTCTATCTTTGTACCAAATTTCGTTAAAATCAGTTCAGTTGTTTAGGCGTGAAAGCGTAACAGACAGTCAGAGTTACTTTCGCATTTATAATATTAGTAGGGATTAAAAGTACCCTGTGTATAAGATAACTTTTTTATGATTTTCTTAGTATCCTATATATATATATATATATATTACCTGGCTATAGCAATGTCCTTCTCCAGTCCGCGGTCTCTCCTCTGTTTCAGCAGGTCGTAGTAAACACGTCCGGAACAGAAAGCAAGCTTGCGAACGTTTGATGGGTTCTCGGACGCCGGACCCTCTTCGGGGATCAATCTGTTGTATGAAAAATAAATAAATATCGTTACTACGGGTATTTTTATAGAGATTTGTTAAGTTTATAATACATGCATAAGAATAAGAAAAAAAGTATGACACTTCTATTAATTACAATTGTAATATAATGTGCATATGTATAGATATAAAATATATACCTAAAAATATATACTTCTAGGTATATATTTTATATACAGTAGAATCCTTTCATAATGACATCTAAGGGGACTCGTAAATAATAAATCTTATATTAAACGGATGTTGTACAAACAATTTTTTTGAAAATAAAAACCGTTTCTATGTTTATTATATGTATTTAATTTTAAACAAAACTTGAAAATGCGCTTGATAAGTATAATATACGATGAAAATAAGGATATATGTATTATATTAAAAATTTTTTTTAATGTAAGAAATCTGTAATTTTAATTTTGTCGAATAACCCACGAATGTTCCTTTGTAAGACACTCATCTCTTGTTTGTCATTATAACAGAATATAATTTATTTTAAATGGGTAATATCAAGCGGCATGTCATTATATCAAACTTCTTTACAAAGCATGAGAGCAACAAACTCGGTAATGTAAATACGTCATAATAAAAGAAATCTACAAATAATAACGTACCTCTTGAATGTGGTTCCATCAACCATATCGTCGAAGGATGATTTACACTCGGGGTGTCTCAGCAGCGACTTGGGCGTCATCAGAATGAGAGGTTTACGGAACGGCAGAGCGATCTGGCGACGGAGGATGTGGAACAACGACGCCGGGGTCGAACAGTTCGCTACTATCCAGTTACAGTCGTGAAGCTGACGAACTGGAAAATATAGTTTGATATAATATTGTAATAACTTATCAAAAGTATTCACAGGTATAAATAAGATATCTTTGAGATGAAAGTGTCTGAAATATTAATTTTGATATCCTCCAGTCATGACTGATTCAAAATAAGATAATGTAAGTAATCAAGTGTATGTAGAAAATATCTAGTGTAATAGTACGATACCGGCTACGTTAAAATTGATCCAAGACTATATATTTTACATGAATGTATATTCTTTGCCATTACACCCTGTATAATGACACAAATACATATGAAGGTCTGTCTGGTATTTCATTGTAAAGATAAAGTATCGTGAGTTTATTTTGCGTCATAGAACATGCTTAAAAAAATAATTAAAACACTAAACCAGTGACTAACATACTCTCTTCTCAAGCGAAACAACTTTTTTCATTTAATTTCATAGCTAATAACGAAATACGTATTTTAAATAAATGTTCTTTAGTAATATATTTTCAAATCTATTAAACTTGTTTCATTTCAACGCAATAATGCAAAATCAGCACTTTTTTGTACTTCAGAATATTTTCATGTACATAGTTCAATAAGTTTCTATGTACTTCATTTCGATTCAATTACCTTCGTAGTCGGGACTCTCGGGCGGCATGTAGTCGGGGTCGTCGGCACTCATTTGCAAGAAACGCTCCAATCGAGCTGAAGAATGTTCTGGGCCCTGGAGATATAATATTTATTAATATAAATATATCAAAATATTATATAATCTATTGACTATGTATTGCAAGTATAAATATGTTATGAAGTTGTCATGGTTTTCCACTGATCTCTATAATGACATGAATTATATCAACATATTTTTTTTTTCAGTATTTATGTCCTATTCCTGGTTCTAAGCTATCACCCCACCAATTCTCAGCCAAATCCGTACAGCCGTTATAAATAATTAATGTAACTAACACGTCTTTTTCTTTATCTTCTTCTACCGGGCAATTTCCCTGCCTTACATGTTGTGAATAGTTTTGGCTAATTGTTTTTACGACCGGCCGCCTGCCTGACATCAACCCTCTTTGGGAATGCATTAATCAGTGATGTCTAAATACTCTTAGAAAGTACATATGACTCGGAAAAATCACATTGGTACTTGCCCTGGCCAGGATCGAACCCGAGCCCTCGTGCATGAGAGGGCCTTTAACTACTAAACCACCACTGACTTGTCACGTCTTTCTTTATGTATAAAGATAATAAGTGTGTAACCCACCATGCCCTCCATTCCGTGAGGTTGTAGCAGTACGATGCCCGACTGTCTGACCCACTTGGCCTGTCCGCTTGATATGAACTGGTCAATGATACATTGAGCCACATTGTTGAAGTCACCAAACTGAGCCTCCCACAGTACTAGAGCGTTGGGGTTAGTTACTGAGTAACCCACTTCAAAGCCCAACACACCTGGTAAAAGAGAAAGATATATTACTTATGTTATTATCAGGATATACTTTTAAGGTATTTTTTAAACAATTTGTAATAAATTAAAGACTAATTGTGAAAAAGTTACCTAACAAGTTGTTTATTTAGTAAATATTTCAGCTTAAACTTTCTTCCGATAATCTGCTTCCAATAAATAAGATCTCTTATAGGTTTACTCTGCTTTTACCTTTGTACCGATAGCAGCGTCAAATGTTGAAAACGCAATGTCAAGTGAAGAAGAATTTGTAGTTTTTTTAATTATTTTTTTTATTAATAATTTTATTCCATAATATTAATATTATTTCCATCTGGCTTTACAAATTTTGCTAATTTTATATATAATCTAGAATAGCTCTCGCGCTTGTTATGTATCTATTTAAAATACAATAGAATTGAATTCTAAAAGTTTTTTGTCTAACTCTACTTTTACTTTCACTCACACAAATGCAAATCTCAGCTTAAGTCTAACGGACTATAGTTACGCGGATTTACACTATACCTGACGATATGGAATATAAAATAAGTCTTATATAGTTTGTATGTATATATCCTACTAATATTATAATTGCGAAAATTTGTGTGTGTGTGTTTGTTTGGTACTTCTTCACGCTCAAACCGCTGAACCGATTTTCATAAAATTTTGTATACAGGAAGCTGACGTCCAGGAATAACACATAGGCTGCTTTACATGCCGGAAATCCGCGGGTAACACCGCGGGGCGCAGCGAGTAATTCATATTACATTGTATCTGCTTACCATATTCAGACAATGAACTGTTGCAAACGGTGTAAGGAGCTTGGTCCGGATAAAGATGAGCCAGTGGACAGTATGTGGCTTTGTCTACCTTCTGGTGATGTAGCACGTGATGCCTGACGAACATATAAACATTCAAATTATAAATTACTCTATATCGAGTTTGGATAATATGAAAATCTTTTAGAGTAGTATCCTAATTAATAAGAGTTTTGCTTGCGAGATTAATTAGAAAATCATTTTATACATGTTTAGAAAAAGCATCATACTATATAATGATTAAATTTAGTTACAACTAGCTGACCCGGCAGACTTAGTACTTCCTCAATAGAGAAATAAATAATTTCTTATTAATTTTTTTGGAGTTTACCTTTATGCATTAAATCTCCGTGTTCTGAAGTGCGACAGAATGATTGACATAGAAGTTAATTGTCTAATCCTATGTCAAAAATATTTGTATGGGAAATAAAACTCGCTGTTTTTAGTGTTTTCCCGGAAATGAATAATTTTTTTTCAGCTTTTAAACCTTCCCTGAACCTCCACGAATATTTCAAGACTAAGATAAGATAAATCCGTTTAGCCGTTCTCGAGTTTTAATGAGACTAATGAACAGCAATTAATTTTTATATATATAGCTACTTAATTTCTATGTATATAATATTTTAAATAGTAATATGAAACCTCACCTGTGAGAGAATGTTCCTCTCTCAACGTCTTCTCCCGAGAGTCTCACATGTATGCCTTCCTTCAACAGTGAACCAAACGCCATAGCCTCAGCCAGCGCCCAGTCGACGGTTCTATTCTCAACCATTTCCATCCTCGCTTTGAGAATACGAAGCAGACCCTTGTGTATTTCGAACTCAGCCGCGTTGGGTGGTGGTGATGAGAAACGCTTGCCAATATGTACTAGAGTCTCTTCTACTACACCGGTCGGAGACATCTGGATTAATTAAGTAATACATGATTTGTAGCCAGGGGAAAGAGATAAACAATGATAACAAACTTTTTAAAGTCATTATAACTAGAGTTCTGTTGCTGCTCCAAACACAGTTATTCTACATGTTGTAAATTTGATAAAATATATATGTATATACAAACTAGAAGACCCGGCGAACTTCGTATCGCCCTATAATCAGGAAATATCTGTTACGTTTTTTTAATAAATAAATTTAGGTTATACCTTAGCCTCAGAAACACATGGTGGTTATGCTATTATTAAATAGTCGCTCATATATGACGTTTGTATTTTTAACATAGCGTCATCTATTGAATACTTAACTCAGTCAACAGATAATTGTAATAATGAGAAATAATTTTCTTTAATAGACAAATAATTTACAATAAAATAATATTGTGACTATAAATTGAGATGTAAGCTATGCTATCTTTCAAGTTGGATCAAAATCCACACGGAATGCAAATCAAATTTAAAATCGGTTTAGTAGTTTAGGAGTCCATGGCGGACAAAAACGTGACACGAAATTTTTATATATGTATATAAAGATAGAGTTTTAATCAAGCACATGTTTTTAAACTTTTGTTATACTTTAACATACCTTGAGTGGGTCCTTGCCCTCAAAGAAGCCAGACCACGGTGAGTCGAGCCAGTCCTTGTATTTGATGTGAGTCTCCTGTTTAGCCTGGTTGTAAGCGTCCTCACAGATCTTCTCGTATTTGTCCTTTACATCTTTAACCTCCTCGGCGGTAACGACGCCCTCAACGATCAGCTGGTCGGCGTATTTCTCCAAAACTGAAATTACAAATAGACTGAACTAAGTGAAGTTATAAATAAATTCATATATCATTACTGTCTTATACCTCTACTGTCTAGAGGTCAGCACTAAAACATTAATTATTATCAATACACCATGGTTTTTAAAGTTACTCCGAGGGAGTAAGTCCGGTCTTTGCCAGGACCAGCCAGTTTCTGGTGTGCCCTGTCGCTGACAGATCCAGGGTACACCAACATAGTGGCCGATGGTTTTCGCAGTGGTTTTAATTGTTTTCAAGGTTCACAATATTCTTGAACATACCTGGTTTAGTTTTCCTAATCTTCTGGTACATGAGAGGCTGTGTGAACATGGGTTCATCGACCTCGTTGTGTCCGTTCCGTCTGTAGCTGACGATGTCTATAACCACGTCCTTGTGGAAGGTGGCTCTCCATTCAGCCGCTACGTTACATACGTGCATCACCGCTTCAGGGTTGTCGCTGTTCACGTGGAAGATAGGAGCGTTTACCACACGGGCGACATCTGTACGAAAAATATATTATTATTGATACATTATTACTTCGAACAAAATGTTACAAACATTAAATAACTAATAGGTTATATAGTATAAATACGACTGAACATATAGTGATGGTAAATTTATACAACGTTGATTTTAATAACTGCACATACATATGAGGCAAAACCTCTTAGTATTCCATGAGTTCACCGTGCGAGTTCCGGGTCTATTTTTGCAAGGAGAGAAGCTTCAACAGTGGCTGGGATTTGCGACCCAGTAGTTCGAGCACGGTTCTTTATGTCGACTCTTATCGAGGCATTTATCGACGTTTTTGACATTAGATGTAGATACAACAACATTGGTAGCATGGATCTTAATTTTGTCGAATTATGTCTACACCTCGATGAGATCGACATAGTTTATCGAATTTTGTCAATTTTAAATGAAAATGTCGGCATGGTTCTTATTTTTGGCAGTTGTCATTGATATATTTACGTTAAACTTGTCTACACTTTAAAGTTGGTCGATAAAGAAATTCGATATAAAAAGGAAGTGAATTTCAAGGAAAACCTGTAAAATGGACTTTGGGGATATTATTGTTTTGGAGACAGAGGCCGCCAGAAGAGTCCGCGATGAAGAATTCATCGGCGGAATCTCCGAGATCGAAGTAACCCCTTCGATTTAGGAGATAAAGAATTCCGAATTTACTTTAGAATAAATAAGGAAATCGCCTTAATTTTTAACTCAGTTCAATGAAATGATGAAAACCACACTTAGTGCATAAATGAATAGCCAAATACGAATTCTGTTGGAAGTATTATCAGAAATTACGAATTTTTCATACAAACTCGACCACGTTTTTTTTCTTTTTGGGGGGAAGTTTCCAAAAAACCCGAATAACGCTGGTCTTATTTCTTGACTGAATAGCTAAATAAGAATTTTCTTAATAAATGAAAAAAAAACGCATTAACTTTAATCCCCCTTTTTTACATGTAGGGGAAATTTAAAAAAAAACGTATTCTAGTCATCCTTAGTTTTTCCTATGTTATTATTAATAGGTATTATGTTATTTGCTGCTACGAAACCCTTCATGGGCGAGTCCGACTCGCACTTGGCCGGTTTTATTAAGAAATTTGCTTGTCACTATCAAGTGCCAACAACATATGGTTAATTAAATTGCTATACACAAAAATTTTATAAAGGAGAGAGCTGGCAACATCTATGAACGATGGATGAATGATGAATGAAATATATTATTTAACTGACGTTGCCAATTTTTACATCGATAAAATAAAGCGCTCGACAAGCCTCGATAAACATATCGAAGCGACTTCCATGATACCATCCCTCGTTAAAATTCGATAAGTATATCGATTTATCGTCTCGATATGTTTATCGATCAAAGATCCATGCTCGCACCACAGGTTAAGTTTAAACGGCCTTATCTAACACGCGTTATACGCTCACCTCCACTGTCTCAGCTCCTCTCTCTACCTAACCAAATTTGAAAAGAACATACTAGGGCTGCCTTCAAAGTACTTTCCAGGAATGAATTAATATTAGTTCTGGACAGGACCGAGTCTTTTAGTATGTTGTACATATTTACCTGTGCAGTAAGCCGATGAACGCGAGTGCCTCGGGTCGGTGGTGAATCCTATCTGGTTGTTGACCACAATGTGTATGGTGCCGTGTGTGGTATAAGCCGGTAAGTCTGACAGATGCATCGTCTCGAACACCACGCCCTGACCCACGAACGCTGCGTCACCGTGAAGTAGAATTGACATCACCTGATTATAACAAACATATATATTAGTATATTTTTATATATACAGGGTGACTGGTGAATTACTATCGATACTTGAGGACGTGATATTTGACGATCATATATGACAAAATAAAAATTAATATAACATAAATATTAATAAACTTCTAAGTAAAGTTAACCAAAAGTTATGTAATTAATTACGCATCGTGTGAACACCCTACAGATTAGGTATACACACACACACATACACACACGTGCGGCGGCGTGGTCTTGTATCAGCACGCCGCCGCGCGCGTCCACACTTGGAACACTTGGAACGTGTCACCCTGTATATATCATAAACTTTTAATCTTACTAATATTATAATTGCAGAGTTTGTGAGTATGTGTGTATGTTTGTTACCTCATCACATTCAAACAGCTGAACCAATTTTGATAAAATTTTGTATTCAGGAACCTGACGTCCAGGAATAACATATAGGCTACTTTACATCCCGGAAATCCGCCGGTAACACCACGGGGCGCAGCTAGTATAACATATGGAGTTCAGTATATCATTATACTGATATCCTAGAACAATTTATGAGTAAGACGCTGTACATGGTATTTATTAAAAAAAATACGTGAAATTAGAGATCCGTAATCTGATTTCCTACAGTAATGAATATTATATTTTTTGCCTTAAGTGCGTAGTTTCCAATATGTAAAAACATATATGAACCTGAAGCTCAACCTCTTTTCTATAGATAATAAGTGACTCAATATAAAATAAAATTAGATAGAAATCTAGTGCGAGGTTTGATTGGTTTTACTGACCCTATAATTTAGTAACTACGAATTAGTAGTTTTTTCTTTTACATATTATGTTATGATATATTTGATTCCATTCATATAACTATTTTTTTATATATCTATGTAGAATTTTGTCATGTATATGCCACTGGTTTCATCACTAAAGGATTCACAACTTTCATAGTACCTTAATTTCTGTTTGTAATTTTAATTGATTCTATTAGTTTTTTATCCGAAATCTTTAAATATGATGTTACGGATATTATATTATAATTATTATTTATTATAAAAAATAAGCAGTATTTTTTATGATAATATACAAATGCTTAAAAACTGAACCATATAAATATCTATATGTTTTTTTTCTGATACCAGTTGTAGATATAAATTACATAGATGAAAGTTATAGTGCTCAATTATGTAGTAAAATTTTCTACATAATCAGAACACAATAGCTCATAAACATCGATACTAAAATCAATGGTTTCTATTGTCAACGTTCAAGCTATTTCGTAATGAACACTCATGATAAGGTAATTTCTATCGTATGCATACACCGAGTTCGCATCGTCACACTACATACGACGCGTTTACCGTTTCTCATACAATAAACTACTTTTATACTGTATGTGAGGACATTTATGAATGAAAAACTGTTATCTATCCGTATGTAGTGACGATGACAACTTATACTAAGCATACTGGTAAAAGAAAGCCATAAATGTGTTGTTGGGAGTACAAACAATGTCTACTGATAAGGCGTTAAATTCTACAATTCAAATTATCCGAGTAATAAGCGTGTATAATGACATTATACTGCTTAAAGGTACACAATTAAGTTACCTTTTTTTAGGATTTCTTATGTTTAACTTGTATATTGTGTATTTAATAGCAGTATATATTATGCATAGCTTCGGCTTTATTCTTTAAATAAATTGAGGAAGAAAATTAATAAGGACGCATTGTTATGACTAATTAGATCCACAAAATAGTCGTCGTTTTGCTTGATTTATGTAAAGTATTCCGAAGTAAGAACGAAATTATACAGTTTCTATATGTACAAGTTGTCAAATGAAATTAACAAAATTCAGCAAACAGATCGCTATATATGTATATTAAATCAAAACAAAATAATATTGAATGAAAATTCTATATCGTTAATTTAATCCCTATTTTATGTAAGCACTTCCATATCGACAGTATGTAATACATGTATATACATACCATACACGAAGGAAGTATGATATACATAATTTTTTAAGAATATATTGAAATTTTAACTTGCCATTCCCCCTAGAGAACTTCGCACTTTACAAATTATTTAATACAATTTATAAGGTCACAATATAAGATACATCAGTATGTTTAAAATTTATTGAACATCATAGACACGAGCAGGATTCGAACCTGTGAACTCGGAAATTAAGCCAGTTGCTTTACAAATTAGAAGATATATCACATTCTTCTACCTGGCAATTTCCCAGCTATAGCCAGGGCCTACCTTACATGTTGAGAATAGTTTTGGCCATTTGTTTTTACGACCGGCCGCCTGGCTGACATGAACCCTCTTTGGTAATTAGCATTAATCAGTGATGTCTAAATACTCTTAGAAAGTACATATTACTGGGAAAAATCACACTGGTACTTGCCAGGGCCAGGATCGAACCCGCGCCCTCGCGCATGAGAGGCGGGCCTTTTAACCACTAGGCCACAACTGACTGAAGATATAACTCATGTATATCTCACCTTCTTTCCTTCGTTGTCTCCTCGGTAGAACTGTTCAGCCCTAGTCTTTCCTTGCACCACGGGGTCGACGGCCTCCAAATGCGATGGATTAGCGCATACAGCCAGACGGATATTCTTGTTTGTGACGCGATTCAGGCGCTCGATGTAAGTACCAAGATGATACTTAACGTCTCCGGAACCCTAAAATTATATAATTTATCATATTAATAATAATGTAGTAAATTAAAAGATATGCAAAGTTATACTTGTGTGAAATACTCATAGCTTATATTGTTGTGTGTTGAACTATTTGTTCAGTTTGTCATTGTTAACATAACCACTTAACTATAATGAGATCAATTTAAAGCGATTCTGAATGAAATATATTCCACGAGCGTTTCATTTCATATGAAATAACAGTGTTATTTACGTCATGGCTTGACATTCATTTTTAAAGGCATTGTTCTGTTTGATTTTTGAATATACAGGGTGACTGGTGAATTACTATCGATACTTTTTTTTTTTTTTTTGTGCGCACTGGGATAAAAATGCTTTACGCATCCTCTCTCCGTCGGGAGACGGGGAGGGGTATGTGGGACTCCCCGGGAAAAGGATTCCCGGTATACCCACTAAAACAACCCAGTGGCGCTCCGACCTCGCCTGACTGACAGGGGGCTGGGAATCCGGTTGCATCCAGCCCCACTATCGATACTTGAGGACGTGATATTTGACGATCATATATAACGAAATAAAAATTAATATAACATAAATATTAATAAACTTCTAAGTAAAGTTAACCAAAAGTTATGTAATTAATTACGCATCGTATGAACACCCTACAGATTAGGTATACACACACACACACACTCGCGCGCGCCGGCGTGGTGTTGTATCAGCACGCCGCCGCACGCGTCCACACTTGGAACACTTGAAACGTGTCCAAACTTTATTTATTTATACGGAAATTTGGTCAAAAATTAAGTACCTATTTTTTTTTACATAATTCGAATGAGAATCATGTACTGAGTATTCTCCTTAAATATTGATAGTAATTCACCAGTCACCCTGTATATAGTAAGTTTGGATAAAAAGAATTCTATCCCTACTAATATTATAAATGCAAAAGTATCTCTGTCCGTCTGTCTGTCTGTTACGCTTTCACACCTAAACCACTGAACTGATTTTAATGAAATTTGGTACAGAGATGGAGTTGAACTTGAGAAAAAAAAAAAAAAAAAAAAAAAAAAACGTAGAATAGTTTTTATCCCAGACGTTTGAAAGGTTATTTTGGAAACGCGATATAACCGAACTCCACGCGGGCGAAGCTGCGAGCGGAAAGATAGTATTATATATAAATACTCACGTCGTCCTCAGCTTCTAAACCAGCAAACTGAGTGAACAGTTGATGGAGTGGTTTACGACACACATTGGCCAATACATTAAGACGACCTGTAATCATTATAGAAACATATTAATACATATTTCAAAGACCTTGCGTACATGATAAGTGATATCAGATATTGAAGTATTGATCTCCTAGTATAATGTTAGGAGATATGATATATGAATATACTAGATGCACCCGCGGTGTTACCCGCGGATTTCCGGGATGTAAAGTAGTCTATGTGTTATTCCTGGACGTCAGCTTCCTGCATACAAAATTTTACCAAAATCGGTTCAGCCGTTTGAGCGTGAAAAAATAACAAACACACTCACAAACTTTGGCAATTATAATTAATATTAGCAGGATATATTATGTTTTTTACCTCTATGGGGCATTCCCATGATGATGGATTCTACTCCGAGCCGTGTGGAAGTGTCAATGACCTGTTTCATAGCTGGTATCAAAATCTCACAACCCTCGAGACCGAAACGTTTCTCGGACGACCATTTCTTAGCCAGGAAATTCTCAAACCTGTTATGCAATGTTCGCATATGAATAACATCAGAAATTATATGAATTGAAACAGAAATAGCCTAAAATACTTTTTAATAAATCAGCTATGTGATAGTGAAGTTGTTTCAAAATCGGTCCAGACGTTATGGATAAGCAGTAACAAATAGACGAACAGACAAATAAAAATTGATATTTTACTGTGTATATCAATATGCATATAGTAAAAAGCAATCGATTCAATATAACAAACATGAGCTTAATTTTATTTACATATATGTACATATCCAATGTTTTCAAATTATTCTTCCCCAAACAAAATTCCTTCTAGGATCTTCCTTCCGGGTTTGTTTGTTAGTAAAACGATATCTTTTTGTTTTTCGTTATGTAATTGATTGACATTATAACATATCAAATTATTAATTTGGGACATTTATCAACAGACAAATAGAGGCTGGTGCTGTTATCACGGACATGTTATCACTCGTCCAAAAAATGATAAAAATCAATCTGTTCAATGTCAAGGAAATGGCGTTTTATCGGCGATAAGATATACTCAGTGGTTTTATATACAATGACGTTAGTATAAAACAGTAGCACAACCATTGATTGTTGAACTTATAAACAGTAGTTCAAGTAGGGTTACCAGGGACCAATATTTTCTAGTCAGGAGTTATCCTTGTACACTGGAATTTAGGCGACCCTGGCTAAAGCTGGGAAATTGCCAGGAAGAAGAAGAGTGGAATCCCGGATTATAGGCATCTTACCAGACTGATAGTATCAGACCAGTGAGGAACAATTTCCTCTGGTCAAAGCTAATCTATGGAATTTAACTCTAGTATAAACTATTTATTATAGAACCCTCACCCAGTGGATCTAGTGAGACGAGCGAGGATCAATCTCTTCTGGTCGTTGCTCATCTTCGTCACATTCGGCGGCTCCATACGTTGTCTGATCCAATTGCATTGCTCCAATGAATTGATGAACATGAATTCAATACCAATGTTATTACAATACGCTTGTTCCAGACGATTCAAGATCTCTCTGTGGACATTATAACGAATCATTTAATATATCTATAATTCCTATATGAATGTTGATATTTTTCTTAATGTACCTCAATGGTAACGCCTTTTCCTTTTCGCCGATGAAAGTCGTCGAGGGTAGTTTAAAAACTCTATCCATATCGGCTTCATCTAGAATAAGTGTACAGTGAGAGCGGGAATGTCTATTATAGAATTAAATGCAATGAATTCTTTTCACATAACTCCAATGAATATACAAGTATATACAACACAAGCACATATAGAAGCAAAGTCATATCCCTTTACTAGTTTATTTTGAACCATAGTTCTTTTAGATCGTTTTTAGTCTACAGAACTCCCACATCAACCCTTCAGTTAATATCATAGATATTACAATTTCTATCGACAGTACAAATTTAACGAACCATTTTTTTTACCACCTAAGCTGAATGATGTCGAAAGTGGCATTGGACGCGGTCCAGATACGATTCAAATATAAATACAAGGTCAAATAACATTTATTCAAAACCAACAACAATATAACACTATACATACATATGCCATATATCTATATATATGTATTCATGCATAGGTTTATAGTATCATGCATGCTACCAGGTTTTCCATGCAAACACAGTGATTGGTGTGCGTGCGTGTTGTGCGTTACTAGTTATGGCTAATGATGTGACGTACCCAAGAAATGATTTACATTATATAAATATATCGATGGCTCTTATGTATAAGGTCCAATGTACAAAATGTAAATTTTTCAGTAGAGGCGTTTTAAGTTTGATTCAATGTATCTTTTATATGGGATAACTGATGCTTTTTGAAACTTTGCATAGCAACTATGACATACATGTACGTCATTTAAGCTTGATAATCTTTTTTAAGAACTTACTAGTTTTTTAAATAATGTATATAAGCCTTTATACGTTAAAGTATACTTATTCCCTTTAATTGCACTAAAAACTAAGTCTTTCCACCAACAAATATGCCTTTTTAAATGGATTTTGTACAAAACATATAATGAAATGTTTACTGCAACAAAAATAAAAATGTCCAAATTGCTACATAGGCCCTTATACATGGGACCCATCGATATACATAAATATATATAATATGTAAATCGCCATAACTATCAATGGGGTCTGTTCGAGCCTATGTTGTATACTCCTTACCAAACCTGTAGCTGCTGTGTATAACCTCACGGGGATTTCTCCCCTCCAATTTGTTATTTGGTATCCCGAGCGGGTCGAGTTTCGCTATATGGTGGCCTCGTATCTGTTTTTAGTTTGCATAACGTTAACCAAGCGGAGTCGTTAGACGAAAATAAAAATTAAAAAAAAATTACATACAAAACAAAAAATATATAAATATTTATATTAAAAAAAGCGTAAATTAAAATAATATACATTAAAAAATAAATATGGCCGTTAATTATATTCTGTTAATACATAGATTGCAAACTTCTTCGTTTCCGATTCTTGATAATAGAGCTCCATAACCCCAGCAGCGAAATTGTATTTCATAAACAAATAAATTACTATAAAACTATAATCTTCCTTATAACTAAACAAACATATATATTTAATTAATTAAACTAAATATTTCATATAACACTATGTTTCACCTACATTAAATTCTAATATATAAACAACTAAATATAAATATATACCTATACTATCTAAAATAAACATGATTCGTATCAGAACAGAAATTATAAAACTAAATTATATCTATACTATCCGAAAATATTTCTTTGAACGTCCAAATTCACCAACTTCGATACAATGATCCTAGTAAAGGAATATGATTGTTGCATATTATTATAAGCGATTATAATACTTATTGCGATACGCATAAATACTATATAAGAATATACATTAAGATGTTATAAACATATATATAGACCGTATATTGAAAAGCTAGTCTCAAATTTGATATTAATTTTTTTCATAGTAATTTGATGATTAAAAATATGATTAATATTTTTTTCAAATAAACTTTTGACTTTTGAAATAAAAAAAATAATGCAAACTCATGAAAATATAAAATGGAACCATCTAACCTCGACTTATAAGAGAAAAAATTGATACAATTTATTTATAGTAAATTCGATGTGTTGGTAATTGGTATACCGATTGTGTGACAAAAGCCTTATATATCGGTCATCTCACTGTATAACAGTCCTTATGATGATGACAATACTATTAAAGTATTCTACATACATCCGTTTTTTATTGTATTTGAAGGAATAATAAAAACTAATTTCGATTCTGTTCTAAGCAGTGTCCATAGATAACTTTACAATGAGTACAAAAAGTAACTTGTATTGAATCATAGACAATAAATCGTCTGCCAAAAAATTCACATAATCCAAACAACGAAAATAAACTCTAAAGTACTAACATTTGGCTCCATTTAAATTTTTAAAAATATATAATCTCTGAATATATGCATATAATAAAAAAAACCATCAACCACATAACTTGACCCCTTACACCAAAATACAGTGGTCACTATTCTACAAGACATTTACAAAATATCGTACAGATTTAAAATATTTACGGGACAGTTAAAAATAAACGTTATCTTGAACCTTCGACTAAAAAACCCATGTGTTAATATTAAATGGAAGAAACTGGTTCATATTGCAAGTATTAAATATTGAATTACAAGTGTCACTACTACATTATATTAAAAAAATGTGAATACATCTGAAGCTTATATAAAGCCGTGCCTTGTGTATATATAAAATAAAAAGCTTCCAACTAATAAATATAAAGAAGCATAATGAATAGCCCCCCGCAATATAACCAGTACGCTCCCATATATCGCACAGTCCATACCGAATCGCACGTGTTGCCTAATAACCGCCTCACTGGCGAACGCACGCAGACCGCCGTGCCAATCACCGCTCGATACAGGATCGCCAGTTGATATCCCGAGAGGATCGAGACGAGCCACCAGGTGACCGCGGGACTATTTGACAACTAACTTATTAACTTACACACATACACACACACATACAGACATACACACATACGCTCATACATACTCATGTGTGTGTGACCTGTACTTTGTGGGTAGGCAGATATTATAATAAAATCTATATAAGTTTTATAATAAGCATTAATATATGCGAACGTTTTATATAAATAGAATTTTCTTAACGACTTAGTAAATAATACAGAAAAAGTATAAATATTCGAAGAACAAAAACCCATAACAAGCTTCATAAATAAAATGATTTATATATATACGGAACATTTGTATGGAATATATTTCTAATAAACCGTTTTCCAAATACTATTGAGACTAGCCATTACAGTCGGTCATTTTATTATTACGTGAGAGGAAAATATAACAATTAATACGAAACTAGAAATAATTACATAAGTAAAGTGATTTCGATGATGATTTTAATATTGCTAATGCAAAAAAAAACCTTCAACCTAGGCATTATTATGACAAAACATGCAGAGTACATGTTACATTACATGAGTGATTAGTAAGCAAAGAGGCATTGCTATATATATTTTAATACTACAGATAAAAAGGACAATATTTCACACTAATGAAAACAATCATGGCGTTAACACATATTGCTGTCAATAATGCAATCGGTGGAAACATTATATAAGGATCGGTTGGCGAAACTATTTGATAGTGGGGCCCAACGTGGGGTTCGTGTGTCGTAAGCACGGCCTACGTTGGGCCAAGTTGGGCCAAGCTGGGCCAATAGTTCCGCCAGCGGATCTTCCGTCATGGCGATTGTTTCCAATCGTACCGAAATTGAAATATTTCCTCATGATGAGCTCGGAGCGTGGCGCGCGCATGCCGAGGGCGGGCAGGTTGGCCGTGGTGATGCCGAGCGGGTCCACGTCCGCCGCCAGGTGACCTCGAGCCTGCACCCCCCACCCCCGTTAGACACACCCACACACACACACACTTATCCGTCTTACATATATAGTATAGGTAACTTGTAACATCCACTTAATAACCGGTTCAAACCGGTCTAAACCGGATAAATGTGGTGCAGCTCAAAACATTCGCCGTTATTGATTCCGATATGACATAAATATTTCATTACGCCATACCAAAAACCAATGCAATGCCAATTTCCTTTAACTGTTAACCTATTCCAACCTATTTCTTTATAAAACGGACGGTTAATGTATGACAATCATGTTTTTATAATTTATGCTTAGATTTACATATATCAAAATATTATTCGGGGCACACAACAAAACGCATAGCCATTGGACATTTAATGTCATATACAGGGTGTTACATTTCCATATAAAATATTAACGTATCCTAATAAACCCCTCTTAATAGACCATAATCGTAAACTAAACATACTACCAGAATACTATTTCTATACAATACTATCCTCGTGACTTTGCGTGACGTCACTGAATTAAATACCTTCATACAAATGTGACAATTAAAAGATTACATCCACTTACTTAAGACATTTAAATTATAAGGAGGCACGTGATATAAAGTAACTTGGCAAATAATAATAAAATACATCATGTATATAAATTGTAACATTTATCACCTGGTAGCTCCTAATGATAGCCTGCACAGCCAGATGGTCGTCAATGATTTTCTCGTTGATGGGTGAACCTGTTGGAATATGAATATGATGAAAAATATGAAAACGATGACTTTCATTATCACAACTCATCGACTCATCAACTTCTCATAACCTTTCATCACAATCTATATATAAGTAAGCTGAAAAGTATTTTTAATAGTCTGACCTACTAGCAGACAAAATTAATCTATATAATAAGATTATAAGACCCGGTATATCTATCTAACCTTCTAAAGTTTCACTCTTAGACAATAGCCTGTAATGAACTTTACAAGTACATTCAAATTCAACGTGACCGAAGTAGCGTTCATAAACTAGTTAATATCTAATTTATCAGATTGTTATTTATGTGTTTTTAAATAAGCTAAATGAGATCTTTAATTCATACGTCGCCATATTATTACTAGATAAGACGTAGCGTAAGCAACTAAGTAAAGTTTATTTCTGTCGCAGTGCGGATAACGTTAACCGATTACACAATGAGGGTTATGTTTTTCATCGAACTCAATATAACAAAAGGATCATTTTTTTATGTAACGGCATTCATCATCTATCTCTTTCTTCCAATTATCTCTTTCTCGCAAATTGGTCTCAACTTATTATTAAATTATAAAGATGTTCTAGAAGAAAAATCTATATTTACTGGATTCGTATATTAAATGTTTCGTGACGTCAATATTTTTCACGTCGAATGATAAACGTCTCTGTCGCAAATCAATGAGGTTGAATTGAAATTCGTTCCTTTTAAATATCTGATTAGAGGAATCGTTAAAAACACGATTTTTAAGGCTAATAAGGATTTTCACTAAACAAGATGAAAATATCTCATAAATTTGAGAGTTATATCGAAAAAACATAGTTTTCCTTTGAAGACTAAAAATTAAAACCATAATTATATTGTCATTATAATTACGGGCATCGGTTCTGCGAGCGATGTGCCCTGCCCACTGCCACTTAAGTACTGCAATTCTTCGGGCTATGTCGGTGACTCCCGTTCTTCTGCGGATCTCCTCATTCCTGATTTGATCACGCAGTGAAACTCCGAGCATAGCCCTCTCCATTGCCCTTTGAGTGACCTTGAGCTTTCTAATGAGGCCCATCGTGAGCGGCCACGTCTCAGTGCCGCTAATTACGATTAAATTATATTGTCTACTTATAAAAGAATAAAGTATCAGTTAACTTCTAAAAAAATATCCTGTTAAAACAGCAATGTAATAACATTGCATTCCATTGAAAGTCTATACCAGTATACAAATCGATTGGATAGTATAAAAACGGCAATGTATATTATGTAAGATCGACTAACCTGCTGATATCGATGGCATGCCAGCCGCTGGTACAAGGGAGGTCAAGGGTACCTCGTTCTTTGAGTATGGGGCTAGATTCGGTGGAGACGTATATGCGACCCCGGGCTGGGCGCCATTTGTAGCATTACGGAAGAACGCGTCCCAAGACTATTTGAAACAAATAACCGATATTAATTAAATATATATTGAAGACTATAATATACCAAACATATAAAATACAGTGTAAACTCCATATAACGACACTCGATTTAACGACAAACTCTCTAAAGCGTCGAAATCATTTGACTTTGGTTGGTTTAGCTTGTCTACCATACAATGATACACTCTATATAGCGTCACAGCCACTCTCAATAACGACAAAATTAAGTAATAAAAAGTACCCTTTAAGTTGCTAAAATTAGTAAAAAATGCGCAGCTGTGTACGTTTTTTTGTCGCTTTGTTATCCTAGCCCGCAATAAACTCCACTGTCGTAATCATGCATACCAAACTTTCTAAGAAATTCGTTCTTCACCAATATGCCTCAATATCGCAAGATATGAATGAAATACGTAAAAAATACAACAACATTACTGGTGCAGCAAAACACGTCAGACAAAAACAACAGACTTTATAACATTATTTTTTATGTACATAAGTACTAACAGTAGTCTGAAACAAACTTTGTCTTTTTCTAATTCTGATTTTTCTTCCCTCTATTTAACGGCAACTCTCTATAACGCACTAAAATGCACGGTCCCTTCAGTGTCGTTATATAGAGTTTACACTGTATGACCAAAATTACTCGTATGTTCTTTCATTGCATACATTTGTATCGATAAATATTTATCAAATTAAAATACCTCCACTTATCTATTTATACAAAATTACAAGTTTTATAAGGAAAACTGTTTGTAATTTTTATTTGATATGTACATATTCAACGACATTAAATTATCATTTCATAAACTTGCAAATACATATACATATATCGTTTGTATAACTTTTGTTATTTTAACTTTTATTTAGCCCTAAATTAAAACACTCACAATCAATTTAGTAATACTGAACATAAAACAAAAATCTACTAAATGTTAAGCAATAACTAAAAGCAAAAACTATGATCGATAGTTTTTTTAAATTTATAGTGACCTTGAACTAGAAACGAAACAACCTCAGTCCATTCAGCCGTTACTCTAATTATATTTTAATAGAATAATAATAATTATCAATTAACAATAATAATTTAAAACGATACCAACATTTTAGTAACTACACGGAAAATGTATCAAAGTCAAACAAAAAAAAATGGTGCTAAATATAAAAACTTCAAATGAGAAAGAATTTGGAATAAAAATATTAATTTTTGAAAGCTTGACTTTCATTATAATTTTATTTTTAATTTTATTACAACTTTCTCCGTTTCGTTTATCTAATAAGCGCGAGGGCAAAATACCAAGTCCAATGGTGAAAGGAAATGTTTTCGATAAATACTTAATTATTAAGATAGCATAATAATAATTAATTGTAAGTTACATCATACTGTGCTCTATATAAAATAAATGAATTATAATAATAAACAAAACAAATCATTATATCTGCAATTAAAGCGTAAACGGAATGAAAGACAGATTAAAAAGAAATTCTAGTTGCAAATAATTACAGTTTGAATAAAACTTTCTTTTAGGTATAAATATAATAAACCTCATTTTATAACGTAAAGATAATTTATGTAAGTTTTTTACTTCTTAATTTTTTTGTTGTTTTTAAAATTAAATAAAACCTTCTTAAATAGATTTGGTATGGCAATCCTATGAATAATTTTAAATTGAATGATAAATTATTGTAAAATATCTGGCCAATGATTTAATCAAATATTTGAAAAAATTGTGTAAGCTGTAATGAAAAAAATGTGGTATATATCTACATGACGTAATTATTAATGAGTTTGTTTGGCAACATAAAAGAAATGTTATTATCACCGAACGTGACAAGGTCAGTTTATTTTTGTCATTAGTCCAGTTAGCGTTTAACTTGAACGTCGAATTATCCGGTTAAATCCGAACGATGTACCTATTATATAACTCAAACACTTGAGTAAAAAACTGGATGCGCCATATTAGCCTTGCACGACTGTCAATTTGAGTACGACCTTGGAAAACGTTATGTTCTATTGAATTGGACAAAATGATACATTTGTTTATTACTATACAATTTTCTGCAAAACAAATTCTAGGTATAATCGTACAATTGTAACTTATTCTCTGGCCGAAGATCGTTTGCTTTTATTTTCTGTCGTTTAACATTAATCATCTAAATATATTGTATGACTAGTTTTTGCCCGCGACTTCGTCCGCGTTAATTTCGTCATTAGTAATATAGGTATAGCAGACCGGGCAAACTCTATTCCGTCTTCAATAACCTGGTATTAGTATTTATTAAATTTCTACTGTTTCAATCGAACAGAATGATTGACATATTAGTTAGTTGTCAAGTCTAATGTCAAAAAATCGTTTGTATGGGAAATAGAAAAGGGCTGTTTTTAGAGTTTTCCCGGCAATTTTTCCAATTTTTCTCACCTTTTAAACTTTCCCTGGACTTTCAGGAGTATTTCAAGACTAAAATTAGCCAAATCGGTTCAGCCGTTCTTGAGTTTTAGCGAGACTAAGGAACAGCAATCCATTTTTATATATATAGAAGATTGTTACACCTTAATAAATTTTGATTAAAAATTGGTCTATCAAAAATGTATGTACCTACATTATTAATAAGTAGATTTATTGCGAAAATGTATTATTGTAATTTTTTTTAAATCAAATGATACACAATGTTTCATATTTAGAGCCTTAAAAAAAGAAACAAAGCTCTCTATCTCTCTCTAACACGAACTTTGAACTCAAGAACATTTATTTTTAAATTACAAACATTATAATACATGCCTATTTCTCACAAGGTCAATAACCTGAGAACTATTTGTAACATTTAAAAATTTTTAGCATACCATTATTATTCAAGTATAAACGATGTCTTATCTTTTACTGTCATTTGAATATAAATTTTTGTCTCTAAGTAAAATAAGTTTTATATTTTCTAGACCTAAGTATCGATGGTACATCACTAGAGTCTGAAGTCTAGACTCATACTATAAGTACCTGTGTTGTTTAATGTTCGTTCTCATTCATTGTACTATTTATTGTTTTTAATAACTTATTACGTATGAAAAAACAATAAATATTATATAATCCATTGTAATAAGAACTCAATCTAAAAGTAATTTTATCTATAATAGTATAATAAAATTATCTCAACTAGACACTATTTATTATCAATAAGGCCATCAACATACTATATACATACAAATATAACTATATACTATATAATTTTATAAACATTACAAAGTCTATGGTCATAGGTTATTCCCACGACATGTAAATTCAAAGAAATAATATACTACAATACATAATGTATATAACACAGAAATAAGGTATATCCAAAGATAATTTAAAGATATCTTACCGCATGCACCGAGTTAGGGTCTGACAGCCAGGCATTGTACATAGTCTCCACATACGCTGAACTTGAGCCATTCAAGAAAGGCTCGGCTGCCGTTGAACTCTTCAGCCTTTGGTTGTTTACCATCACAGCGGCCGTCTAAGAAAAAGTCATACAATATATTTCATAACCAACACTAATAGTTCTTAAATGGTACTTTCAAATTATATTGTAAAATATAATCAAGACAATCATTCGAAATTCTCAAGCAATCAACCAATCATTCAATCACTCCATAACCTATTGCATAATACAGTTCTTTTTGATAAAAATAATCGCTTTGCTATAGTAAATTTAATCAATTGTTATGCAATATTATGTACCAAAATCAGATACTATAAATATTTTTACTATACCATTACTTCTTTAACATTACTGGACACGTAAATAAGCAATAGGTTGTTAAAAATTCCCTATATATATGTTAAAGACTTTTGACTTAAATAACTTAATACCGTACATCACAAAGACCTAGGTAGGACCATTATTCCATTTCTTGCATGTATATCTAAGGCATGAATTTTTAATGGAAAAATGCGTTCCAGATTTTAAATTCATAATTTCTATAATATTATGAATATTTTTAGTTGCCAGCTAGTGATCTATTTATTTAATGAGGTGTCATTTTATCATTTAATTGATATTAAAACTTATTTCTAGACCACTTAAAAGCAGTTGAAACAAGTTTAAAAAATAAGGTCTTGCTTTATATTAGTCATTAAAGTTCAAACAAATTGTGAATTCAAACATAAGATATTTATGAATAATATTCTTTACTACAGAAATTAAAATTGTAATATTAAAAGATGAAAAATAATAGTATTTGCTAGTAGTAAAGTTTGGGTTTTCCATTTGACTCATATTGCATGGATCGGTATGTAAATGACAATTAAATTGCATATCACACAGATATCAAAGATAAATGTGTGTGTGTGTAGGTTTATTGTTAAATGAACATTGTTTACATTAAGATAAGACTTACATTTCAGTGTATAATCTTCAAGTTTAAAGTGTATGTAGTGTATAATAATAATATTAGGTGTGAGGAATCTTTTTTGATGTAAAAAAAATATTCCAATATATGAGAATATCTTATACAAAGATTTTAATCTTGAATATGATAAGTTAACAAAACAACTTATCTCATAATTTTATCAAATCTCACCTCACATAAAGATGATTCAGATATTTATGAAGCATTAATAAAACTTCTTAATTTGATGTTAAATAGAAAAACTTTCATATTACTAGACATCGGTATATAATCAGAAAAAATAATTGACATGCAATAAATCTATTGTTAGTATATTTAGTGATCTACACACAAAGATATCTGATACATTCAAGATAATATACTCATTAGAAACAGTTCAAAGAACCTCTTCAATTAAGCTTTTAAATGCATCTTCCATGAAAATAAAACAATGCAATTATCTAATTTGAACTTTCAAATAAGGACACAAGAACGGCATTTCCTCAATAATTATAATTACAGAAATAATATTCAACAATTTTATACAAGATATTGAATGAAAAGATTTTTTAAATGATTGTTTATATAAATGATAAGAACTCTGATAAGAAAAGTCATCAATTCATCAAAATAATGCATTATCTAATTGTCATTCCTTCAATAAGATAAAATATGTCACCTGGGGTTTGTTGAGGAGCCATGATGCAAATCTTTCACTGTTGCCGATTTTACCCGTAGCTTGAAGCACTAACTTTGCACGATGCATAATGAGTCCTTTTATTGAAAATCAATTTATATGTTATTAATCCTGAAACAAAAATCACCTATTACTTGCTTATACTAAGTTAAAATAACTTTAATAGTTATAAACATTCCCACAGGTCGGAATGATACAAAATAAATAAATATTACACATAAATACTAATTTTATGAAATATTTTTGTATAAGTGAATCATAACCAGCTTTGAACAATATGGGCACCTTAATTCTTGTTATGTAAGTTTTTTCTTAATAGTATGATACCTGCTAGAAAAACTACAAACACTTCACACTTAATGAAAACAAGACAAAATAGAAAATTATAGTTCATAACATCACTTGGAATAAATGATCAAAATATTAATTAAAACTAATATTTTATTTATTTGTTTTCCTTAAACAATATTCTTTTAAATGTATTGTCTTATTACAGACAGTTTAATGATAATTCTCTACCTATTAATTTACACTTCTTTACTGTCTTTTAATAAATAAAGTTGAAACCCACAAAAATTTTGTTCCTTTTGCTATAATAATATTAATGTTTACCAAGTTACCATAGCCACTCATATTTTACATCAAAATTAATAAAATCTATGGAGCCTTTTGAAAATGCTAGCAACATCAAAAGACAGTCTTGAAAATTCATAACCTCAACAAAAATAAATTCAAATTAATCACCAAATATTTTATAAATATAAATATGTTTTTTGTAAAATTAGATAAAACATTTTCATAATAAAATATCAAAGTAGGTTATAGTGACAATTACAATGTCAAATAACTGGCACACTGACAAGATAGACGTATTTATTTTTCTTAGCCTTTAAAAGGTTTCTCTTAAAAACTTCCACAAAAATACGCACTTTTACACTACTCCGTCAAAATAAATTAACTATATCATGAATTTAAAATGTATTTGTTTCCCAAAAAACAATTTACATTTATTCCACATAAACTTATCGTATGTACAACATATTTTAGCAATAAACCACATATACGTAGAAAATTAAAATTTATATTATAGAATTGTATTTAATTATATTGTTTCAAGAATTTCAAGGTTATGTTCAAGTATTAAAAATACAACTCAAATCTGTTTCCTTTCAGTGAAAGTGATTTTAAATTTATAGTGTTAACTTATATTTATTATTATCAGTTAAAAATTGATCCTGATAATAAATGATAAAAAAACGCTGAAATAGCTGCTTCCGTATTGAGTCATATTAGCGTATATTAAACCTGTATTCTAAAAATGAATGAACATACCTGAGGGAATTCCCAAAATTATTTGAAGATGAATGATCAATATCAAAAATCCCGTGATTCAAGGTTACATAATACGCACCTTTCTATTACGTATTTAAAATGAAATGTTAGCACTGAGAAAGAGAGCAGTGAAATGTTTCTGCAATTTAAAGATTTATCTATGAGATTGTAATTACCTTTTAAAACTCTTTACTTTTATATCGTTAGTAACCGATTTAATTTTGAAATAACTTATTAAAATATAATAGCACACATCGTTTTTAACCGCTTCGTGGTTTTCCTCCCCCACAGACAAGGACTGAACGTGAACTAGTGCGGCTTGACGTCAGTTACATTGATTAATCATAGACAACATTATCTTGGTAAATCAGCACTATCCAGTTCATTTTACGAGAACTCAGTGGAAACAATGCATTATATTTATGATAATTTCTTTTATCACTACTCAAAGAATATAAAATGATATCGACAATTTATTTTATATAAATTATTGCAAGTTCATTTTGCAAAGTAATTTTAAAGTGCATAATTTGTCAACCCAGTAAGCCATTTTCGTTAAATGGCTTTCTGGGTATAGTAGTTTATTATGGTCTTATACTTATTCTTCTTAAAAGAAGTGCTCCTGTAAAATGTGCATAAGTTCATACTGATAAAAGTAAAAAAAGAGTGAAACCGTATCAGTACATATGAATTAGTTAAAATGTATATTTCCTAAGTCGTATTATTTCCTAAAAAAAAATTAATTGTTCTGAAATAACCTGAAGACACAAAAGGCCACGTAGTCTTTTATATTTTTTTAATATCCAATTTAGAAATTTTAGCAATTTTTTGTAATTGATTTTAATTTGGTAGGTCACTTTTTAAAAGTGGTTTTTGAACCAAGTCAAATGATTGTCGTTAAGAAGTCAGTGTCAAATTGACATCTATCTAAAAATTAGAGATGAAAAAATTGTGTTCAAATGATATAAAACGACTATAAATAATTATTTTTCAACCCTGAAGTCATAATGTATAAAATAACCTCAAGACTCCTGAGTATTCCAAAAGATAGTGCAATTTTGTCATCAGGTTTCAAGAAAATCAACAGTGAATTAGTATGCAGTACAGGAAAAGTTAATTTTCATAAATTTCACACTCAAAATAATCAAAATGATTACGAACGATTGAGACAAAATTTGAATAAAAAGTTAATATATTCAGTTTTGTTTGGCGTTGTAGCCTATTCTTCGTATAAGATTTGGTAAGTATTGACAATTTATATAAATGAAATTTGAAAAATAAATTACATAGAATCTACTGCATTTGATGATTTTTATTATAAATAAAATAAGTAAATAATGAGCAAATGGTATTAATTTAAATAGCATATTATTATTTTTAGCTCCAAAAAGCTTTTCTTTGGTGTTATGGTCTATGTATCCTGTGGTTAGATTTAATAATTTATATTTCAGGAATCAATACAAAGTAATACCAATTATAACAGCAGCTGAACAAATAGTAGAAACAGAATCTGATGCTGAAGTTGATAAAAGAAAGAAAAGATACAAAAAGGAAAAAATTGGTTTCAGAGACAGGAAGGTAACATCTTACAGAAAAATGAGAAAATCGCTTTTTTGATTTTTCTTAATTTTTTCTTATTATTTTTTATTTCTTTTATACACCAGATTATAGAATATGAGAATCGAATGAGATCTTACTCTACTCCTGATAAAATATTCAGATATTTTGCCACAGTCAAATTAACATTTGGTGAAAACACAGAAGTTTATATGACCCCTGACGATTTCTTGAGAGCCATCACTCCCGGCATGAAACAACCTGATGGTATAATATTTTGTATTAGAGTACTTAATATTTAACATAAAATCAGATAAATACTTCAAAAATATAGAGAATACTTGATATCTAATACCAGAATAAGATGAATACATACTTATTTATGTATACAAATATGTCTAAATTTTCTTATATCATGAAGTAGCTAGAGCAAGCGTCATATTGAATCATATTTGTGATAAAAAATGGAATTTAAATCATGTTCAAATATATCAAATTAGTATTATTTACTATGATTTTAATTATAACTTTAGTTTATTTTTATTTGTATTGTTTTCATAAATCACATACAATTGTATCATCATAATCGACTAACTAAAGTGTATCAAATATTATATAAAGTATGGAATGATTTCAAAATTATATAGTTCATATAATATTACATGCTGCCGGATAGATCATCGAGTATGAGAACAGAATGCGTCAGTACTCGACGCCTGATAAGGTATTTCGTTACTTTGCAACCCTTCAGGCACAGCATCACGACCAGCATGAGGTCTTTATGACCCCCGATGACTTCCTGCGGTCTATGACACCAGGGGTCAAACAGCCGGATGGTATATTTAATAATAATATAGCCCTTTTATTTTGGCCGGATATAGATCTTTTATAGCCGGATGGTATATATCATGCGTTAAATCTACCAGTAGGGGTTTTAATAAGGAAAGAGGCGCTTTCTGATAATATTTTTAAATGAAACTTAATGATAGTTTTTTCGGATAATTCCTTATAATCCCAACTGGTAGAATATCAGTATTGTAAGTGTTTTTTATGTAATACTAGCTAGGCCCCGCGGTGTTACCCGGTGATTTCCGAGATATCAGGGATTAAAGTAGCCTATGTATTATTCCTGGACGTCAGCTTCCTGTATACAAAATTTTATCAAAATCGGTTCAGCCGTTTGAGCGTGAAGAAGTAACAAACATACACACACACTCACAAAGTTTCGCAATTATAATATTAGTAGGATTATGAATATAAATTTATTTATTATGTATTCCATAATATTTTGTTTAATTTCGTAGTTAGTGTGAATGTCTGTTTCAGGCTTGGGCTTAGATCAGTACAGGCGATATGATCCCAAGGTAATATTATCTTAAATTTGTTGGTGTTCATGACTTCTTTTGGATGATGGAGTTTTCTGTTTAATTATCACAGTTTAAAAGAATAAATTAATATGGAAAATGCTAGAGTATAATTGTAATTATTTATCGCCTTCATCCAAAAGAAGTTAGTTTATTCGAACCACGATACAAAATTCCTGTAATTAAATATTGCGGCTGGATTAATATTAAAAGCTATCTTCCTGTCAAAGCACTGGCACTGTCCGACACTACTCAAGCCTTTTTCTTCTTTTCAGAACATCGATGAGGTACTGTCCTTTCGCGTCTTCTACACGTTTTAGCTAAATTTAGTATTATTTTATTTTACGCACCTTAAAATATCAACCCACCAAATATTTCACTTATACCTTTGATTAGTCCTTGAAAATTTCCCCTTAAATACTTCGTAGACGTCTAGTTTTTATCTTTATACCATTCTATGGTTTTTTCTTAGCTTAAACGCCTCTGATTTTTTTCGCATGCACTTCTTAAGTCACCTATGAATGGTGCAGTAGATGCCTACACATATTATTTCTATAACTCAACGTATTCTATAACATATACAAGAAACAACATGATAATAATTTATAATTTCTAGCTTAAGTATAATAAATAGTTTTAGAATGTATGCATTTTATACTTAGATGCGATTTCTGATTTTCAATTTAGGCGCTTTCCGAAGAGCAAGAACAGTTGAATATATGTAATGTGTAATATTTTAATTTTTATATGTTTGTACAGACTATAAGTCATCGTCTCAATTTGGACCTCGATGAAGACTCAATTTTTTACAAGCTGGGCTCCTCTGGTCTCATAACTTTCAGCGACTACATCTTTTTGCTGACCGTACTATCAAGTAAGTGTTATTTGAAAATAATACAATGATAAACATGAGCAAAAATTTATTTAATTTCTCACATAACTTCGATATATATCCGAATTATATCCAAACATTTCGAAATCTATGCCGTAAATGAGTAATAATTTTTCTAACATATCTATATCTAGCTGTCGGAAATAGTGTTTTATTAGCGCAGATGTGTTTTTTCCGTCTCTTGATTTGTTCATAACAGTTCTGATACGCGTTCTACGATTAACAACTTTACGTCCCAAAATATCGCCAAGTCCTAGTTGTTGTACTACATATGAAGAATCTCTTGATAGCGTTTCAACTTTGGCCACTACCGTGTAATTAAGGGCACAGGGAGAACAGAACTTGTAAAATGGAGCCCAATGCTCGTCAAAGGTCAAAGTTCCAGATTCATATTTTGAAATGAGATAGGCAACGAATTCATAAAACGTTGGACCAAAAGACTTTATTGGTCCCAAAACTTTCGTCGCAGCCTCTCTGTGCTCAGCTACAATAGCTCGGGCTAGTTTTCTGTAATACGGTGGCGTTATATTCTCTAGTTTATCCCTGTAAGCGGATAATAATCTTACAAAAGGTTCCCTTACAATCAATAATGACAATACTCCTGGGGTATCGATAGCGTCTCTTAATTCTTCTTCAGTAGGCCTTGGAAATTTTCTACGCGCCAAAGTTAATGGCGTGTGTCTAGTCCGAGCGAGGAAAGCTTTGTCGTATCCACCTGAAATTTTATTAATCTTATTTATTACAACAAATCCTTAATATTATCGTAAACCATTTTGTTATTTTTACCTAATATATTGAAATTATATAACCACGAAGAGCTGGCCGCTTTAAATATGTTGCACCAAACAAGATTGTGAGCGTGGTCCACGAAGAATTCTTTACTGTTAATAGTTTGACCCTCAAGAGATCTTAAGTGGCAAGTCTCTTTAACCTTGTTGACACGTTGTTCGAGCTCGTTTAAAGTAGCATTATCCGGTTCGAGCCATTCGCTGTTGCTTTGGACCTGTTCTTCATCGTCACCTAGCACAGGACCTTGCATCTAAAAAATAAATAATATCTGTCATACTTAAAGAATATAACGAAATATATCTCGTCAAGTAGTATTCACATATTAACACGTCATATACATTGTTACGGTCACGTATGTATGTACATATATTTACCAGCCACTTAGTGTAATTGTCAGGTTCCATCGATAATTCCTTCGCATATTCGTCGTCGTTGCTCCTTAAAAACGTCACCTTCATGACGCCCGCATAGAGAGCGGCCCAGAAAATAAAAGTAGCTGTCTTCGCCCCGCATCTCAAACATGGCATTGCCTTTATTTTTATCCGGGTCCGAAACCTCTTCATTGGGAATAACATTATGTCGCGTCATGTGGTAAAGTTTTTAGAAATGTACAAGAAAATTATTGAGAAAATTAATATAATTACGTTATAAGTATGGGGCTAGAACATTTTTCGCGCCACTGTATTTAGACGTGCGTTAGAATCACTTGTGGCGGTGACTCACAGCATCCACTCACGGAGCATGAGCGAATTTAATGATTTTGCGATCCAGACGCTCGACGCCAGCCTTTTGTTTTTATCTCAGACGCCATGATTTATTTAACTTAGCATGATACTTTAAAACTATTTATATTTATTAAAATATTTTCTGAATTATTTAAATTTTATATTATTGTAACTGAATACAATTAAAATACAAAGTTTCTGTTGCCACTTAGTCCTAATTTACGTACTCAGATTCCTTAAAATAAAAACCTCTTAAGACATATTTGCTACAAACATCTGTAATCTAATATATATATATACATATTATCTATGTATACATTATTTGATCGTTAACTATATTCTTTTATTTTATTCTTAGGGTTAAGTAGTTTTTTAGGAATTTACTGTTAGTGTCTTTGGGTATTACTATTAACCATCCTAAATAGAAACATGGTGTTGATATTTATTATACGGTATATTCTTTTATTTATAGTCTTTACGTAAGTTTATATGAGTGTAATATATATAATTTAAAAAAAAATACAAAAAAACGAGGCATTGTTTGTGAATGTATAAAATGTATGTTAAAGGTTTTTATTGTATGTGTGTTGATTCATGGACTCCACTGATCAGATTGAAATAGATCCCTGTGTTATTTATTGGAAAACCTCTTCATCTCTTGTGTAGAAGGATCGATAAGAATAAACAAGGACTAAATATCATGATTTCGATTTCTCTCTGTTATAAGCTTTCATTTATTAAAATGAATATTAATTAAAATAGTTCTTATTTGTATTAAAAAATAAAACAAAAGTACATACGGCAAAAATCATTTTATCTTCACTTCAGACTTTTTATATTTTTAAAAGCAAAAATATGACGCATACTGTTTCAATGTGTTAATTATAAACCATATGCGACTTGTTTCTTACCAGTTGATAAATACGTGCTTACAAACTGCAACAAGGATTTTAGCGTACGATCTAATGAATAGCATTTTAGCAATTCATTCAGTCTATAGCCTTTAATATTATGAGACTGAAAAAACACACACGGAATATATAATAATTTAATTTATAGATAATACAAAAAAAAACAATTGTGCGTGAAGTCCCTTCTCGCGTAAGAAGCGAAACTTCGTAATGTTGGTCAAAACAGGAAGGGGTAGAAGATTATTTTTAGGGATTTTTTCAAGGCAAACTTTATTAAAATTACTTAAAAGTCACCATTATACCGTATTCACTCTCGTTCTGTCCACTATCCATTAACACCTCCCCACCCCAACACTTCTTAGGAGCGTAAAACGTTTAACGCAATCTTGTTAGAAGTCACTTAGACAGTTTTTCTTCAAAAAAGATTTTTATATTTTAATGAGGTTGAAATGTATTTTATCCAAATAAAATACTAAAAAGTTGTTTTTATTATTAGGTCTATTCTTTCCATTAAAATATTTCATTTCTTTTCCAGCCTCCCGTCGTCACTTCGAGATCGCGTTCCGTATGTTCGACCTGAACGGTGACGGTGATGTCGACTGTGAGGAATTCGAAAAAGTCGCTGCCCTCATCAGACAACAGAGCAGTATAGGTTCAAGACACAGAGACCACGCCAACACTGGGAACACTTTCAAGGTTTGCCTGGAAATATATGGAACTAACTGTATATTGCATTGTAAAGTGTTTTTACAAATGAATAAATAAAATAAATACATAAAAACAGTTCGGTACCAAAATGCTGAGATTGCTTCACTCAACTCGCACCGAGAGCTTTTTTTCGAGAAAAATGTGTGAAGGTTAATCATGTAATAAGATAACACATTGAGCAATTGAATTCATTTTTTACTTTCTAAATATACATAGCTTAACTTAAATAACATGTTATTCATGAACATATGTTATAAATAAGAATAGCTATATTTCCTACATGTTCCCAAGCAAATAGAAGTGTTAGGAAAAATTTTGTATTATTTGATCAAACCAACACATCATTATTTAAGCCCTTCAAAGCAATAAAATTATTTTGTATTCGATATCAATTCACTTGTCTGCGTGTAATTTACAGGGAATAAATTCAGCTCTGACAACATATTTCTTTGGACCTAAACTAAATGAGAAGCTGACCATAGAGAAGTTTTTGGATTTCCAACATCAGCTGCAGAATGAGATTTTGTCTCTCGAATTTCAAAGAAAACAACCTGGTATGTATGTCTCCTTATAATTTTAACATTAGAGATTGACTTTATCTTCAACTAGTAAACCCGGTGAACTCCGTTTCGCTACCAGAAGGCTGTGTTTTATATAATATTTCGTTTTGTGATTAAAAGATGAAGAATTTTTTTTTGTTTTATATTTGAAAAGGAAAATTTTTATTTCATTTCACAACAGTAATGAATTTATTTCGATTACAAAAATGAAGTGTTATTTAGTTGAACTTCTCTAAGTACATGATAGGGAATCCAAAGTAGATACTTAATCGAAGCGTTATACGTGTCCGCAAATTATCCGTTTTATTGAAGTGCTCCTTTGTAAACCTCATTTTTTGTTTTTTGGTCTTACGTTAACACAAATAAAGCGGATGGTTTCCCAACTCGTGAACACGCAAAATTTAACTGCCCATGTGAAAAACAATGATTTTCTAAATTTATCCCGCAAATACTAAATGATTTTAAGAGTTCAAACTACAAACACAATACCGGTTTGTCACATGAAATTAACTGAGCAGAGAACAATCAGTAGCTGTCAAACAATGTATCATGCACCGGCACCATCTACTAAAAATATTGATTTGTAGTACATGTTATTTATCAGAGATGTGAAAAAAGACATTCCCGCTTTTCTGTTGAAATTTTCCGTTTTTTTTTGTTATAAATCTCACGCGCGAGACCTTTCCAACGAATACAAAATCGTGGAAATCGGTTCATTCGTTCCGGAGTTATAGCGTCAGGAAAAAAAACCGGACTTATTTTTATATTATAGTAGATTTCTTACAAATATCAAATTGTCATCCATACGTCATTACATATCCGTCATTATCCGTCAGTTACATAGCTGTCAATTACGTTTTGTTATTCCCTGATTCTTTTAGTTATACCACGTTTTATAGTGACTGACGTTTCATGTCAAGTCACACGGGAATACTGTCGAACGGGATAAAAGTATCCTTTTTTCTTCTCCTGGCTCTAAACTACTTCCCTGCCAATTTTCAGCTAAATCGGTTCAGCCGTTCTTGAGTTATAAGTGGAGTAACTATCACGACTTTCTTTTATATATGTATATAGATGTAATTTTTGATACGTTTGTAATTCCAGATGAAAATGGACGAATAACTGAGGCAGATTTTGCTGAACTGCTGTTGGCCTATGCCGGTTACCCTGCTAAGAAGAAGGCTAGAATGCTCAAGAGAGTTAAGAAAATGTAAGTAATAGTGAATGGTAGATCGATGTAACAAGTGAATGGTAGATCGATTACTTGTCTGTCGTTGTTTAAGAATTGATTTGTTACTTCTATGTATTCTTCTTTAATTTATTCTTACTTGAAATAATCAAAAAAACAAGATGCATACAGCCTGTAGGCGTTTTAGCTACTTTGTGTGTGTCTCCAAATTTCGTCATAATAATCTCTCTGATTACTTATGACAGAACTTCTAGATAGCGAATCTATTAGACGATTATGTTTGGTACCTATATCGAGTTTAGCTTTTCATGTATTTTTCTTATTCCTTTAGCAAATTTATTTTCTAATATAGTCGATTCACTTTATTTTCCCAAATTTATCTGGGCTACAGATTAAGAAATGTCATGTTTTGATTTTGAACCAAGTTAATTGACTCAGAAGCTCGTATGTATATTTCAAGTTCTATTGCCATTTTTATCTGAACTGGTCAATATTCCCTTTTTTTTTTAGTACAGTTACTTGTTGTTATAATAAAGAAATGACGAGAGAAATTACACTTCAACAAATATTATAATAGTTTTACTTTGAGTCTTTTCTGGTTAAAAGCTCCAACCTCTTTGTAATCATTTACATGATTTATTCCACTGCCACTATTTAGCACTAGCACTGTCAGGGATGAAATAAAGAACCATCTTTTATGTTCCTCATAATAATTATTTATAATAACCATGGGGTTTTAGGTAAAGAATGAGAGTATATTTCTCTCCTTAAAAATTTACCATTAAATAAATTCAGTGCTTTATAGAACTAAATTAACTTTAAGATCATTCATAAATATTGTGCCTGTCTTAAAGCATTATTCTGAGGATATAGTTTCAAAACCTATAAATACTTGTATAAAATTTTGTATAACCATATTTAGAAGACCTTGCATGTTTCTAATACAAAAATATTAAATGTTATTACTATTTTGTTTTATGATACATTCACCTTACTGGGCCTACTTCCTGATAGAGTTTTGAACAGATGTGTTATTATTCGTTTATTTCAACAATTGCAACAGAATCTAGCTCATTAAAGATAAAATTTATCTGTATCTAGAATACCTCTGACAATCTATGTATTCACGTTATGGTAAAATAATTGTGTTTTCGTTATCTTGTTTTTAACCATCCCTGTTGATCAATACTAAATCAAAAACTGTCTAAACTTTTCGCTGAACTTAGCCATGGAATCAAAATAGTTTAAAGTGACTTATTATCTTCACAACTCCATTGCAAATAATAAGAAACTCCATTTATCCATAATGTAGTGTAACTGGAAGTAATTCCAAAATTAAGATTTAGAATAGAATTAGATGGGCTGGCTTGACCGGGGAAATACCACCCTATCATAGAAGATCGGCGTGAAATAGTCTTTATAGTTTTTTTCGTCTGCTGAGTGATAGAGACGGTTGCCTATTCCCTGTTCTCACCTTTTCTTGCAATCTCCTTATTTCCACCTTTTTTTCCTTCATCAAGAAGACTTGAATCGCTTTTTCAACATCTCTCACGATGCAGATGTTCATGGCGACGTTGTCTACTTCTCATCAATTAGGCCATCTGCTCATTTGCGACCTTTCACATAAATATAAATAAATAAACTATCAGTAAAATATGAATTATTGGTATAATCAAAAGAGGGTTGATGTCAGGCAGGCGGCCGGTCGTAAAAACAATTAGCCAAAACTATTCCCAACATTTAAGGCAGACTAGCTAAAAGCTGGGAAATTGCCAGGTAGAAGTAGAAGAAGTATTGGTATGATCAAAAAATCTACTATCTAATCTACTTACGAAGAATATTTATTTCTCCATCAGGTTCCGAGATCACGGCGTGGGTATTACCAGAGAGGATTACTTGAAGTTCTTTCATCTCCTTAACAATATCAACGACGTTGACACCGCGCTTACCTTCTACCACATAGCGGGAGCATCCATAGACCAGCCTACTTTGAGACACGTAGCTAGGACCGTGGCCCACGTAGACCTAGACCCGCACGTTATTAATGTAGTCTTCACTATATTTGATGAAAACAGTGAGTACATAGTATAAATTATAAGTCCACAATACATTTATTTGTATAGATAAATTGTATGTAAATTATAGTCCGTTAGACTTCAGCTGAGCTTTGCATTTGTGTGAGTAAAAGTAGAGTTAGACAAAAAACTTTAAGAATTCAATTTTATTATATTTTAAATAGATACATAACGTAAATGCTGTAAAATAAGCAAAACTTGTAAAAGGTTAGATGGAAATATTATGAATATTATGGAAAGAAAAAATATTAATAAATAAAAGTTTTGAAAAAACTATACAAATTTTTCTTCACTTAACATTACGTTTTCAACATTTGATTTTGCTATCAGTAGAAAGGTTGAAGTGCGATAGGTGCGGGGCGGAATAAAAGCAGAATAAACCAGTTCAAAACTAGAAAAGAACGGGGCATTCAAAAATTTGACATTACACCTACACTATCCGTGTGCACTCACACAAATGCAAAGCTCAGCTTAAATCAAAACCACTATAATATCTTTTGTAAGAAAAATAGGAATTATATCTGCAAGTGTTTAGTGAGACCATAGACTAAAGAAAATTTTATACGTTCAAATATTACAAAACGCAATATTAGTATATATAAATGTAGGCTGTACTTATAATAATTATCTTTTCTCAGTGGACGGACAGCTCAGTAACAGGGAGTTCGTGGCTGTGATGAAGAACAGGTTGCTGAGAGGTTTAGAAAAACCCAAAGACACTGGTTTCGTCAAATTAATGCACTCACTAATAAAATGCGCTAGAGATACCAAACCAGCTTTACTAGACTTCTGAATATTTAATGTACGATGAGTCGCCATCTTGCCATTAATTGTTTTGCTCATTCTATGATCTTCTATTGTCTATGGATATTTATCAAATTTATTTTTATTTTAATACGTGTAGACTTCCAATGAAAGAAGCGATTGTCCAAAGAGTAGAAAATAAACTTTAGTTATCTAAGTTTTGCTTGAACGTTACATTTATATTTTCTTCATAACAATGTCTTTGCCGCGTCTTTGTCCGTGTTGTTTGTTATATTAACCGAATTTTTTGTATGTATTAAACAAGTGAACACTTTGGCCTTATTAAGCCTCGATACTATTTTAAAATTCGCAAAATAAAATTTACATCTATAAGTTTTGCTTGCACTACTGCAGGCTTCTAGATTTTTATAAAAATAATATTAAGATAAGAGACTTTCATATATTTTTATTTTGCAGTTTGAAGTCTTGCACGTAATATAATCCAAAATGTATTTCTCGTCACTATAATATAGTATTATTAAAATATATGACTGACAAATTATATTTACTTGCATTAATATAAAATATAAGTCAAATATCTTCATTTATATTTCCAAAGATTTCATCCTTTAAGATTAAGGTATTAAGAATGTCAGTTTTAAAATAATTTAAGCTCTAAATGATTTTTGCTTATTAAAGGTTTTCTGCTAAAATTTTTGATTAATGAAACCTTTTTTATGTCACAGATAAAAAAAATGTATTGATCTGCATCATTTGATAGATTATAGTATATTTTATTGTTGCCTAAATTTTACCTCAGTTTTTGAATTTAAATAAATATTTTATTTGAATGTTCTTTTGTGTTTTATTATCTATCCTTGTAGCTAATTAACTTGTAACAACTGTAAATAATTATATACAGCCCAGATTCATCTAATGTGAGATATATCTAATGTCATGTTTATTTGAACAAAAAAATATCGACACTTGTGCCGAGTGATTGCCAAAACGCTATCCCAAATAATAGAGCAATGAACCGTAAAAAAAAAATCAGTAATCCAACGGCCCAGAAACAGCGCCTACCGTACATCACACGCAACGAACGGGCGTCCCGTCGCAAAAATAGACGTAGTTTAATGTTGCCCGGAATAATTCTAAATAATAGCCGACACTGACCGACCGACGCTGACGCGAACAAGCCGCCCTCTGGTGAGTACTGCACCAATCGAATTACTGATTTATTTGATATACTTCGCTGCCAACCGCCTACACTTAACATTTAGCGACCGCTCATAAACATTCTTAATATGCGGTACGTTTGTTTGCATCAGGGTTGAAGATGTATCCAAAAGTTTAACCCTCTTTTTAATTGATTATCATAAAGATAGCTCGCCCATTGTTCGGCCAGACCTTAAGGTTAATATTGAATGCAATGCCATGATAATATGAATGCATGTAGATTTATATATCGCGTAGGTTGTTCAATTTTTATCACAGCCAATCACGCCTTGACTGAATTCGTTACGCGTTAATCTATTACAAGAATACGATTCATGTTTAACAAAGATCATGTATTCATTTACCGGACGACGCTCGAAGAACATTTGTTTGTCAGATATTTAACGTTTGGTTCTGTTTTAGTTGAATTACAAGTAAATACATAGAATGGCGTACCAAAGGCCCGCTTTTTGGAGAGTGCCTCACCAGCGCCGGGACCCTGACGATGAACCTAGATACTTTGGACAAAAAACAAGGGTATGTGGTTTTTTACTATAGACAAATAGGTCAGAGGAATAGTAACAAAAATCCCTTTACTAATAAATAAAAAATCAGTCACATAATTGCCTTAATTATTATTTTAATTAATTATTCGAACTCGCAGCGTAACAAGTAATTATTCGGCAAGAGAATACTTTATAATATAATTGAGACACTAGGAAGTCTGCAAAAAAAACCTGTATAAGTGTAAAATAGGCTATTTATTGTCAAAAAAATATGGACCTTGCCAGAGGATTCTTGTCAAAAATTGCATTTTATAAAGAGTTTATATTAGTATCGTAAAATTTATATTACTACCAGCCTGTTATGTCTGGCTTGCATAGAAATATAACCTTGGCATATGTTTTGACTGAAAACTTTATAATTCACATAATATACAAAAGAAACCTGTATAAAAACGTGTGTGCGTCTAGTTTTTATTTATCTAATTAACGTGACAAATCAAAACAGATTGGATAGATTTTTTAGAGCGTACTTAATTAGAAAATTTTGATATGACGCAAACTTTTACTTCTACTAAGAATTCCTTGGTATCTAGAGCAAAAACCCGGGGACAAACTAGTTATAAATAAGTTAATGTGAGACATCACTCAGATAAATAGGATTTTAAAATGTAAGTGCAAACGCAAAGTTTCTTCCCAGCTACGTCATAAACTTCTTAAGTAAGTGATGCAAACGCTTACGAAATGTACACACGTAGAACTGTATCAAATAACCAGACGATATTATTACATACTAAAGGTATAATATTATTTTTAAATTTTCAAGAACTTGTACAAAAACATAATTTTTCTTCATTAATATTTTATTATACATGACCTTTCATATCAGCTGTTCGCAACATTTTACAGTGTTTTTTTGTAGAATAAATAATTGCCGTAATAATTTTAATAAACAGTAAACATTAAAATTAGTTCAGTGCATACTTCAGTGCTGTGTTTTTGATGTCAACACAATTAGTGTGCTTTTTATCATTGATTTACTAGCAACGTGCCGCAATTTCTAAGGTTAAACCAATCATTGCCAATATCATATTAGGAACCATATGCCAAATTGTTACTATTTTAGATCATGATAGGTGCTTGTAGATGCTAATTATATCATTTCGATAGTTCCAATCATCGATAATAAATAGACGCAATTGTTATTCAATCAATCTTCACTTACGGTTTCAATGTCCTATTGAAAGTGCAAACGAAAGAAATCGAATTTTTTTCCGAGTAATGAGCCCTGAAACTTATTTTTAGCAGCTCTTTATTTTATATATTTGCTTATTTCTTATTTTACATCTCTTGTTTACAGAAACTTTTTTTTTTCTTTATCAAATGGTGGAGAAAGATTACATTAAAATACAAATCACTTGTATTTTCACTGCATTTTAAATAAAAAATGCTGTTTAGATATCCCAAAATACCACATTATATTAACATTTATTTAAAAAACATATTTTAGTTTATAAACACAACAATTAGTTTTGTTTCCGAAAGTCTTCAAAATCTTTATTTGAAATGAATTTTACTGAAACAAATGTACTGTTTAAATCTTTTTTTGCGTTACAAATACATAGCTATGAATCACTGTTAGATGTGTATTGAATACACTTCTTTTTTATAAAGTTAAATCCAATTTAGAGTATACCATTCTAGCAATTCATATTTCTTATGCTAAATAAAAGTTGTTGCTTCTCAAATAGTAGAAGTAATAGTAGTAGACCTTTAAGTACCTCCATTAATGTTAATTTTTGGACATCAATTAATTAATTAGTAAATGCAGAAAAGTTTTAAGTTCTTAAGTACGTCTGGTATATTATAATTGGCGGTAACAAAGCAGATCGAGGTGTCTAAACCGGTGTAATCATTTCTGACGAAGTAAACATTGCTGTGCATTCGGCCATCTGTTCGGACATGGTCAGCTTCCGTTATTCGATTTAGGTCGACTCCGGCAGGGTTACCTATGCAGTGGAGAGGTAGGGAGGGCGGGTGTAGTTTTGCGGTGGTTCTAATTTTGATCGCATAACGTTCCGTATCATCGTCGTGGCAGCAAGTCCGCGCAAGACGCGCGTGGTGCAAATTAACCCTTCCCGCGATGGGTCGAATGCATACGTTCGTGGTGACACTGCGTCGCGACACCCGCGACACTAACTGGGGCCTTCGCCTGGTGGGCGGCTCCGATCTCGCTACGCCACTCATTGTTACGAGGGTACGCCTCTGTATTTTATAACAGCCGGTGTAAACAAACCGGGGAACACCTTGTGATGTTTTAACATCGTAAATAAGACATCGTCATATTGAATAGTCGGTAGTCTAGTGCCTCGTGTTTTATGCATGTGTGGTTTTTCTATATTGTATTGTTTTTTAGGTGGCTTATTTCTTGTTAAATTCTATTTTGGTATTTCTGGGAACGGTCACACAATCGACAGCTGTCGTATCGCAACATCAAGATCCGGGTTGACCCACATAGTCTCACGTCTTTTCACGCCTAAGCTTCGGTTTGTTAAAGATTAGAGTATGAAGATTTTTTTTAGTCTGGTCAGTCTGGTTATACAAAGCTTTTGAATAACCCAATGTGCGTTGTAGTTTCCAGAACATTGAGATGATCAAAATTGTAACAAAGTTAGAATTAGGTTTTAATTTCACAATTAACAAAAAAAAATCATCTGTAACAAAAATAACTCGCAAAATATAAAGATAAAAATAAATGTTTATTCGAGAATTTTCGTAAATATTTTGCTACTGTTAAAATTTATACAGAACTGCAATCGTATTTTTTTACAATCATCCGATTGTCACGCGAAGTAATAAAATTTAGATTTCGAGATTTTAATTTTGTTTTATATGAGGCAGCTGTAAAGAACATTCTATACAGCTCAGAATGGCGGTTATATTTAAAAGTAATTTCGTCTCGATTATCATATATTAGCTAAGCGTATAATCCATTCATATAACAATACATATATAGCATCATTTTCAAAGTAAATAAATTATTAAATTGTTTTAAAATTTTTAGTTTATCAAATGCGTATTGTATTGCAACCGGCCCAAGAGTAGGGGTAAAATAAAATAAAAGTCACTCAATAGAAAAGTCTAGAAAATGCGGTTTTGGCAATAGCAATAGTGTTTATTCGTAGTATCATAATGATATTTACAGTTGAATATCTTATTTACTAATAAGTTCATACATAAATTTAATATTAAAACAAGGATTAAGATACAAAATTGATTATTGGAATGGAAATGCTCTTATTTTGGGGTTAATTAAAACCATATTACTCTTTTTTTTAATAATTGATGGTTAAAGCATGTCAATTGTAATCAGTCAAAATATGTCTTTAAGAATAAAAATCAACCAATTAAAAATAAAAATTTTAACGTCACTATTTCTCCCCCTGAAAGTTACCAATTTACCATGAATTAAACAAGCATATTTAGCACCTAATTTACTATACAACAATTTATTACGAGAAAAAATATTTAACTTTCGCCTAGTCTGCACAGCAACAAAATATTAAAAATATTATCATTTTTGTTGGTGAGAAGCATTGCCTCTGGACCCAAGTAGGCGTTGTCACTATTGTTATCTATTCAGTCTATATTATAAATATATAAAGAAATATCAGGAATAATTTATAATATGGAATATTAAAACAAATGGTCCTAGCAATTTCTAGTATAATAATACTCAATAGTGTGTAATGATAATGATATCTAAGACTTTTGTTTGTATTCATTAATATAATATTAATGTTTTCTGATATAATGTTTTTAGTAATTTTAAAAAACAGATGAGATGAGAAGATTTCATGTATTTTAAATAAATAAAAACGCGTAGTACATCCTAAAATATAAGTTTTATTTAGGCGTGTAATCATTATCTCAATAATGTGGTATCAATTATCATTATTATCAGTCTTTTTGGTTATAATGATGATTTGAACTCTAAAAAGTGAAATTCTATCAAACATTCAATTACATATAAGCTCAACAAGTGTATAAATATATATTTAATATATCAATGCAAAGAATCTTTAATTTAAACTGAAAACAAAAATTTAAAAAATCCTCATACGTAATTGTCATTTAAAATAATAATAAATTCAATATAAAAATTAAAAACGAAAAACGGAGTAGAAGCCATAAAAAGTGTTGTTTTTTGGCAATTTTTTATATAGTTCTTATTTTAGATCATATGCCGACCACTTTCGACTAATTTATTAAATTTATTTATGATATCATTCATAGAAAATCCTTCAATAATAGTCTTATCTGTATAACTGTTACGTATGTTTATTGCTAATGCATTCGCCACAGATCTGACGTTGCCTTGAGCTAGTTTTTTGGTTATCGCAGCAGTTATATTACCGGCACTTCCTCTTATGTGGAACGTTGTGGAAATTATTGATGACTCCATCGATATTAATGTTCGTGCATTAAAAATATAATGTATAAAGTTTATTCATTTAATTTAAGAATGATACGTAACTATTATTTTTTAGAGCATATTAGACTTAATCTTTAGCGAGTAATAAATGCAGTATGTAATACTTTAAATGATTTCCAGCCAATTTTCAATCGATACAAATCATTAATCATTTTCAACTTCAATGATTTGGCACTACTAAGATAGGTCAGGGTAAGTGTGACACGTATGATTAGTTGATTCTATATTTGTTCATTCCAGCTGCTGCCAAATACATATTATCTTGTGATGCACTTCAATTCTCACTCTAGAGAAAAAAATTGTTACCATTTAACATGAATATAGCCTATACTATTTTAATTCGACATTTTGTTGATTCTACTAAGATAAATCAACAAAAATGTTGAACAATAACAAACATATGCTTTTTATATATATTGTTTTTAATACGGATATTTAATTCATGCTATTTTTCCATTTACAATGGTCTCTTTACGAAATAATGTAAGAAGAAAAAAAGAGAATTATTGTAAAAGAAAGTTGTTTGTGTTACAGAATTAACTTTGTTTTAACATTACTCGAGCGATGACCTACATAACTAAAAATGAGGTTCTTCATAATTATAAAATTTTCTTAAAGAAATTCCTGAAAATTATTAATAAAGATCAAAATAAAATATTGAATATGCAGTTTCATTAAGACTTTGAATGCACATACCTCAAGGTTTTCGTACGATAATTTTCTTAAGGAAATTTTAAAAAGAATATAATGAAGGCTTAATTGAACATAAAACTTGAAAAGTAAGACGTAAACGTAAATTATTTCGATACGTTTTTAGTTCAGGAAGTTAAAACACTTTTCTTTTATCTCGAAAACGTAACACAAACATACAAAGAATGCAGACTTATCGTTTAAAATTAGTTGGTTAGATAATCTCTCTTGTGGTAATTTTTTATAACAGTTATATGCGTTTTTGCTATATGCTCGGAAATCAACGATTTATTTTTGGGCCACTGACGCAACTCGTCTCAACGATGAGAGTGATATGATCTCACTTGAAGGTCATCACTCATCATGTTCATCATCTCTATTATCCCTGACGTAAAAACTCTTACATGTTTTACGTAATTATATTCATGTCCTCGCCATTGACTTACAAAGGGTGATGGATTTGCGTGATCACATCTTCAGAGTGAGACGGTTGTTTTCAATAAAAATGCCAGCGACGGTCGTACGACATCGCAGATGGCCGCATTTAGCCTGGCCTGCTGCCAGAGTTAGTGCACAGAACACGTCTCAACCTCCCTCTTGCCCAAACCCAAGGTCACCCTAACAGGCCACTTCGCAAAAGAAATGCATTTAAAGCACTCAAAATATATGCCTAGCAGTCCACAAACATAAAATCAGTTTAAAAATACTTGTTCTTTTATGAATAAATCGATAATTATGAAATTATAAATATGTTTTCTATATTTTTGAATTCATGTTTATCTGACAATTGACAAACAGGTCCTATTTGAATCTTTACAGGATAAACTACAACCCGTTTTTTCAAGTATATTTCAAAATACTGAAATATTAATCATGCTGTAAGAGATGAATGTACTGTGAGTAGAATGTCACGGCCATTTCTTTTCTTACCTTGCTAACAGGTGTTTCCAAGATAATTATAACATTTGTGTCATAATCTTTCGTCATCACTGTTGCAAAATATTTGGTACCTAATTACTTAAGAATTAAGAACTTTCGTCTTTATATCCTTCGAAATTAATTTTATTATAATTATGTTTAAATTTAAAAAAAAACTTTTATTCCATTTATTTTCTAAATGCTACAAATAATATGCCAAAAAAGAAAAAAACAATGTTTAGATTGTAACATATTTTAAGCCTGCTGTGAAGGATGAAAGTGTTAAATTATTTTTTACTAAGAAACATACTCTGCCTAATCTCAGGTATTTAAACACTATAAGATATTTTAGATATCCAAAAAACAATTGCTATCTTTTCCATAAGGCTCCAAAAACTCTTCAAGTTAATTAGCACTGTTGAAATCATTGATAAGACATAGATTGAATTATTGGTCTCTGGAATTTACGCGCTATATTTATTACAAAACATTTTTGCCATCATTTAGCCTACAAATAAAATATATAAAAACAGAATTACAGACACAAAACTGTTAAAATTCTATAGCATTTTGTACAGTTGCCAGTTGCCGAAAAAAGACTTATGTCTTTCATGTAGAGTTGTGAATGTTGTTTAGGCCAAATAAAGCAGTCTGGGATAATCAATACAAAATACATATAACTGTAGAAGCCACATGTGGCTGGTGTGTTTATTAATACAGTTTTTTCATGATAAAGAAGTAAATATTTAGGCAGCAATGTGTTAAGATAAGCTGTTGCATTATCTATTATTTACAAAATAATAATAATTATAACAGCATAATATGACAGTTAAACATTTAAAACAATCATATTTAGGTTTAAAAAAATCTATTCTTTGATAAAGGCGTTGGAGTTTCTTTTCTTGTTTGTCTTTTGCTTTTTTTTGTTACTATTGTCTATTTTTATGTTGTGTCCTTATTAACACATGTTAGTGCAATTTCTACATTTAATATAAAAGCATATCATAAAATGAAACTAAATTGTATACAGCATTGGTTTCCTGTTTGATAAAATAAACGTATCTAATGGAAGAATTTTCAGTTCCTATTCTTCGAAATTGCCAAAATGCAATAGCAAAAGTGTATACTGCGCCATATGTTAAGTGGTCACCTTAATCATTAATGAACGGGTGCATACAATATAATACCGTATTACAATAGTACAGTTTATACAAAAGGCGTCACGTGCGTGTTGGTACACTGTAAATAACTGAAAACAACTATAGACCTTGTTCAGCCTTTCAAAGTTTCCTGCAAGTTCGTTTTTATTGAAGAAACTGTTGCTTTTAATATAGACTAAGTGGCGCCATCTAGAACTAAGAAGTATTAAGATAAAAATCTATCCGAAGTCATAAATTTTTCGTATTCGTATTTTATTTTAGAAGATCATTCATAAATCGAATAATGACGAATAAAACAATTATAAGCCTTCAGTGTTTAGTTTTACAATTCAGATTCGTCAACCGTTATTCACTATTTTTCTAACATTTTAATTTTATTCTGTTTATGTGTAGGTAACACCTGGCACACCAGCTGGGAAGGAGCTAATAAGAGGAGACATCATAGCGAAAATCGACGACTACGACGCGAGAGATCTACGACATGAAGATGCACAAAATCTCTTTAGAAACGCACCAAAACAAATTAAATTAGCCGTCCAAAGGTAATTTATGAACACATCCGCATAAAAAAATCATTTGATTTGATACTTTTTATATAAACACATAAAACATATAACTGTTATATGCCAATCGTTTTTAATAATCTGTGTCTGGGAGTAAACGCAATCCTTGGACTAATTTCAATTTAATATGTTGCTCTACATACAGCACAGAAATATCACGAAATTAAATTGGTTCATGTACCTACACGCTTTCAGATCCATTCATATTAATGAATCAGTAATTTATCATAGATAAATAAATCTAAGTTATATTTAGAGGATGTGTTAATTTGTTCATCCATTTAGCTCTCAGATACGATCACTGCAATGAGATTGCTACTTAAATATGAGAAAAACTATTGGAAAATTGAGTAATTGTTTCAAATAATCTTAGTTGTGGCATTAAGATAGTCCAATTGTATATAATATGCGAGTTTACACATAGGACCTGTCCAAGCTCTCAACTATACAGTCTGCCGCACTCTCCCTCAAGCTATTCAAGGGTTTCAACCCCCAACTATTATCGTCAATATTACGAGTAAGACATATATGTCTTGTTAAACAGCTTATCGTATTATGTAGTTCGTATATATTAATATTATTTATCTTTGGTGTAGCATGAATGCTCTAAAGGCACGTATGATGTTATATACATATGTATAATGTATATCTTTAGATATTATATTCTCGAAATAATTATATGTATGATATTTATAAGTATTGATGTAATAATAATTATATATACCTTTATGCAATGTTAAGCAAAATCTCACAATATGTAGCAATATAACGCTTATAACAGTATAAGTTTAAGAATTCCATATGTGAACCTAATTACATCCATATATATTATAACAGTAGCATTGGTTTCGTCTCTATTGTAATGACAGATAGCATGTAATGTAGAACTATGAAATTCTGTGACTATCTACAAATCCCTTTACTTATAATAATAATTATTACGTTCTGCTTCTGTTAAATCTTCTTCTTGTATGGTATTTAGTTATGATAAGTTATAATAATCTTTTGGTTTGACAATGCTACTTTTATTCTATAGGGACGTGAATCGTGATGGTCATTCGGCTGCGCACGCGCCGCGGTCACCACTGCAAAGCGTTCCACCGCCATTCAGGTACGAATATACTCTTACATGTGAAATGAGCCTTAATTATGAATATTTATTGTGTATGTAATACTTTATTGAACTAGATATTGAAAATTGACATCTTAATACATTCGAACAATGGATAAAATAGAACTGATTCCTAGATTATGAAAACGAAAGAAAAATTATAAATACTCGTTACATTTTCTTATATTATAAAGTTTTATTGAAAGAATACTTAATTTTTTGTCAGACGTGAAGCTGATTATTATTAAATATTCTGTATTAACATATAGTGTTTATTTTAACATGTTGTTATAAAATATGTTTGTTAGATCAATTAAATATTCAATTTTAATGGACAGGATGTAAAAAAACTACGCGGCCTATAGGGTCGTTTAAGATAACTAGAATTCTCAGATCATATAAATTAAATAAAGTAATCCAGTTTCTTATGATCTATTTTTGATTTCTCTATAAAATAAGCTCAATTCAGAATTATTGTTATTTTGATTTTTAAAAAAACATAGTTTTTGTTAAAGCGACAGTAACAATTACGTTAATATCATAGTTAGAACGGTTTTTCAATACTTACTCAACTATCTATATAAAATTATATAAAATACTAGTTTTTGCCCGCGACTTCGTCCGCGTTAGTTTGGTCAAGAGTAATATATGTAGGTATAGCTGACCAGGCGAACTCTATTCCGTCTTAGAGGCCATAAATAATCAGGTTTTTCCTGTTTCAACCAAATAGAATGATTGACATATTAGTTAGTTGTCAAATCTAATGTCAATAAAAACACGTTTGTATGGGAAATAGAAAAGGGATGGTTTTAGGGTTTTCCCGGCAATTATTCAAATTTTTCTCACCTTTTAAACCTTCCCTGGACTTCCAGGAGTATTTCAAGACTAAAATTAGCCAAATCGGTTCAGCCGTTCTCGAGTTTTAGCGAGACTAAGGAACAGCAATCCATTTTTATATATACAGGGTGACTGGTGAATTACTATCGATATTTGAGGACGTGATATTTGACGATCATATATGACGAAATAAAAATTAATATAACATAAATATTAATAAACTTCTAAGTAAAGTTAACCAAAAGTTATGTAATTAATTACGCATCGTGTGAACACCCTACAGATTAGGTATACACTGACACTCACACATACGCGTGTCGTGACGTAGTGTTGTATCAGCACGCCGCCGCACGCGTCCACACTTGAACACTTGGAACGTGTCAACACTTTACTTATTTATACGGAAATTTTGTCAAAAATTAAGTGCCTATTTTTTTACATAATTCGAATGAGAATCATGTACCGAGTATTCTCCTTAAATATTGATAGTAATTCACCAGTCACCCTGTATAGAAGATATATTAATAATCTGATCAAATATGGTGCTATATAAGTTGAATTCTCCATAGGACCCCGAGTCCTCTCCCGGCTTCATCATGGCGCGGACCTGAGTCCTTACCACGAACTCCTCAACCCTTCCAGCCTCAGGTCGAAGGAGAATATAGAACTTATATAGTGTCACCAGAATCACGAAATGATGATGGAGTAGTGGACGAGTCGATCGGCAGCCAGGTAAGACAATTACAACATTTATATAGATACATTTTATATTAGTTTTCACAATAACTACTATACATAATGAGATCTAAGACTTTCGAGACTTTCATTTAGATGAAACTACAATAATATTCTGGGATTGCTACGCGTATTTTATTATCTGAAACTAGTAAGTACATGCTCTCGAAGTTTCAGTACTTTGCAACAACCGTGATTACTATTCACTGCAGACGAGATGGGTACATCTCCGAAATATTCGTTTCATTTAAATACCTACTATACAATTGTTGACTGGTAGGGTACGGATGATAAAAAAATGTATTTAACAAAAATGATTGTTCGTCATAGTATAAGCAAAATTAAGGAGATAATATGTTTATCGTTATTAAAATGGAATTAAAAAAAGTATATCAAAATTAATTTTAAATTAACTATATTTGTTTCAATATTTGTTTCAATAATAATTCGTGTTTAAATTCGTTTTGCGTTATTAAATGTTTTATTGATATGAAATTATTTTATTAAATTATTAGGAAAAAATCGCATACTAGAACTTTTTTTTAAAATTTATGAAGGAATGGACACTTACGAAAACTAATCTAATATGACCATAGTCTATGTGATTTGATAGAAATCTGTATGATTACCAAAAGGAATTGATTAACAACTCACAAAATGAAAACAGAGGATAATAATTTTCCTAAAGTCGTCAAACTAACCCATAATATTACTACTGAAAATAGTTGTAACTTGTTATATAACCAGTGATTTCACAGATAATCACGACTTGTAAAATGTACCTATACTTTATATGTATTTACTAACTTGCTAAAATATATATTCACCCCAATTTATATAATAAAATAAATTTAAGATTAATATAAAGTATATTTTTCCCATTTTTATAATATTCGTTCTACTTTTCGCCTTGCCAAATGCCAACTTTATATTTGTGTCATTGACCTCTAAATTCTTGTCTGAAAACTGACGCCATCTTGTCACTATCGAGGTCTGAAGTCGTGGTTTTAAGAATTTAATCTGTCAATGTCAAGATATAACGGCTGTTAAATTAATTATATTATCTTGGTTTTTTTAATAGACAAAAGCTTTTACGCAATAAGTACGGCTTTAACACTAAATTAGATTTAGTCGCCCAACATCTACTTCCCAGTAAAATAGGTTAACTGGACTACTTTTAAACTAACTTGAGCATTTATAGTCTGGCTTCCCGCCAGATCATTTTTTTATATTATTATTAATAATTAGCTACGTTTTCCTCTATCATATAACGAATTATAAAACCAACGTATTGTATTTGTCAAATCATAAGAACCTATTATACGCCAAGCTCTAGAATATTCTGATTATAGCCTTGGTCTGAATCATACGTAGCTGAAATAGAATCGTCACGAATTTTCTATTTAATAGACACTTGGACGATTTTATTGGTAATATAAAGTAAACAGGAAAAAATTTGCGCTTGTAAAAGAAATTTCATATCACTTAAGGATTGTTATTATTTATATATAAACATTTATCGATAAAATGAATAGCCGCCCACTCCGAGATAGATTTTATTAGAGGGTTTTGATATAAATAATAATAAATATTCGTAACGCAAGGCTCTAGGCGTAGGTTAGCGCCCACGTTCCCGCCAAGTTACCCGTCATATTTCCAAAATAGAATGCATTGAATTGCCGTTCTCTTGGGGAGCTTCTGGAGGCGCAGTCCGCGATCGCTCGCTCGACGACACGTCCGCGCTAACAAGTGACACTATGGCGGTCAACCCTAACTTCTTCCCCAACGGGTACCAGGACCCCATGCATCCAGAGGAGGAGGTTGTCACCAACTGGGTGCGTCCATAACAAACCATACACATTCAGCCGCGATCCAAAAAGTATTTATGTCGTGTTCATCTAAATTCTAACCCATATCAGATAAATTACGTAAATATATTACAATGAAATAACAAAATAATATTATTTTTTTATTTATTAATGACTTTATCGTATTGGCGGGATTTTCAAAATGTCACTGTCGTGAAATTAAATGTGCGTACAATAGAATACGTTCAAGTTCGAATAAAGTAAAGAGGTCGTAGTTATTTTATTACGATATATAAATACAACAGAACGAATAATAATTAATTATTATTAAATTAACATAAGTACTTTTTAGTTATTCAAATATCGCTCTTATGAGTTTATATGTACCTAGAGCCCCATCACGCTATTTTTCATTTTCTTTAGGGCTGATTTCGTATTGTCATTTAAAACGCGAGTATCCAATGTCTTCTAAGAAACTGTTATTTTAGGAGCCAAGAATCTGTATTCTTGAACTGTTTCAAGTATCAAAAGGAAAAACAAAACGGAGAAAATATCTAAACTAGACAAGACAGTGTTTAGAATATTGCTTTGAATATGAGATACGAAAAGAATTCCAATATATATATGTACTTACTTTTAAAGTAAACTGTTGTATATAAATTTAATATCTTTGGTTTTTAAGCCGTAGCTAATCTCAGTAATCAGTATTTTTCGTTCATTTCGCTAAGTAACTTACTATTCATAGTAATACAGTTTAAAATTATCCATAGAATATTATGTAACACAAATAATATGTAGGTACTCTAAAGGTACATAACATTCAGCTTAAGATTACATTTTCCTAAATCATTTTTAATTCATAATATGTAGTAAAAATTAAAACGATATCTATGGAAATCTTTACTTTTCATACGAAATATGAAACATTTTCATACGAAAATTCCAGCTGCGATCTATTTGAATATCAATGTCGCTTCGTGTAAATTTAGAGTGTGGAATTTAATGAAATAGTAGATACTATTAATATATCTCGAGAGGTTCAATGAAAATTATATTCATATCACATAGAGCTAGTTGCCATATCAATAGATTTTACTGTGAATAAATTATTCAAACAATTATCGTGGTTAATATCCATAAAATAAAGTAATTTGGAAATAACAACAGAAGTTATTGCTATCGATCTTTCATGTTTGGAATTTGATGTGTGAAGAATATGAAAAACCTAACATCAAAAACACAAAAAATAGACGAATTTCAGGCATTACGTCAATGTCTAAAACGCCTTTGTAAACATTTAACGTACAGAAATAACCGACGTAACTCATTTGTTCGCCCATTGGCACATACCACGACTTTGAAAACTGGCGTCATAATGAAGAAACCGAAAGATATAACGTTAATGAAGGAACCGCTGTCCTTGGAGTTAGATTTTACGGTGCATTCAGAATGCATGAGTTTTATGTTATGCAAAAGGACTTATTCAATATAACGTTCATTTGATTAATGGTAACGCCTTGCATATTTTTACGACCGGCCAAGACCTAAATGTGAACGATCATGCGAGTAGCTGAAATAAAAGGTGTTTAAATTATAAACAGGGCCAGCAATATTGAGAAACTAACTTAGCATTGATAGTTTTGTTGCCAAAATACGTCACATTATATATTATTAATGACAAAAACAAATTTCTGTAAGGTTTAATCTAAAAAAGAGTTGCGCGTCTAAAGATTGACGCGTCTAAATACTTAATGATGATTGTTTTTTTACGTTTTAGCCGTAGTTCTAAAATATAATGAATTGATCTTATATAACAATCATATTGGCACGGATTTGACAAAGAACACTTCAACGGCGCATGTTGAAGTGTCTATAGTATTGTATATATTATATTTGTGTAATTCAAACGTCATTACAGCCTTACCGCACGACCCCATTGGTGCTACCAGGGGCAAAGGTCCGTCGGGAGCCGGGACCCACAGAGAGTTATCTGCGTCATCATCCCAACCCTGCGATGAGGGCACCACCTCACCACGATCTACGGGACACGCTTATGAAGCAAAAGGTGAGCTTGTAACGAAAAATTACCATATTTATTGATTGTCTTAAATATGGCCTTTATCTGTGCAGGGACGTGCACAATATAATCTGTGATCTGTCAGTGTCAAGACCATATTATTAGTAAACTATTTTGACACAAGAAAACGTCAACGAAATAAAAAATATGTCAAACATGAATATTCGCTATAAATTGATAAATAAATAGATCTAATATAACAGATATATTATAATGATATTCATTTAAATATATTGAAATATATGCATGATATAAAATTGTGTTTAAGCTATACATGCGAGGCACTCTAGCACGCACGCACACGCTACAATCGCACTATTATGTACAAACACATTTAGGCACTATATGCTTATATAATATACATATTACATACAAAAACGATTCATGAACTTAGATGCTGAATCACATAACATTAACACATAAACAGAGGCGTACGAAAATTATATTAAAATAAATTGATAACTAGGCTTCCTTAAAATATTCAAGTAACTTGTAGATTAAGTAGTAACAGAATTAACTGCATTTTGTAACGTATAGATTTTTTATAAAAACTCAGGTGGCAGAATCGGTGTTGCAGCGAGTGGTCGGTGAAGAGAATAAGGTGGTTTAAAGTTGTGTGAAAAATATAAAAAAAAAAGCTTACGCATGATTTTTTTCAACATCATACATAAAGCCAGTGTTTTTTCATTAATTTAACTATTGGGACACTGAAATAAATATAAATAAAATAATATTTCTATATCATTACTAGTATTTCACGAATAAATATTTCTGTGAAACTAATCGAAGGAAATATTCATGTGTTCCAAGTTCATCTTACCTTCATAGTTGTATCATTTTTTACTAATGATATTTTTTAATGAAATCCTCGTATGTGATAATTGCAACCACTCAATGTATAGATATCAATTATTCATAACATCAAACTCGTCAGAAACTAATTATAAACGTTGTTAATCAATTGATAATGTAAAACAAACTCTTATGACGTTAGCGTATACAATATCAAACAGAAATTTTTTGTTGTAATATATTCTCGGATATTGAAATTTTATTAACAATAATTTTTTGACAGGTTGTCCACAAGCAGTTCAACTCGCCAATCAATCTATACTCGGAACAAAACATTGCCAATTCGATCAGACAGCAAACATCGCCTCTGCCGTGAGTATCTAAACATAAATAAATGATTAGTGAACTTATTAAAACTAAAAGTAAAGCGTCGAAGGTCACCCGAGTATTGCTCGTCTTAGAAATGAATTTCAAGATCATGGCTGTTTGCCAAACGAAAATACCTAACATTTTGCTACATCTACACATAACACATGTACCTACGTACTAAATATCATCTAGTAGATTTCACGTATCTATGTGAGAAATAAATTTTACATACTATTGTGGCGGTTATTATATTTATGTAATTTTAGTTATGATAAAAAGAATAACTAAATTACTTGTATATAATATAAAGTATAATAATTCATTTGCTATCCTACTGAAAAGCAAGATTTCTATGACACACAACACAATTCTTGTGAAATGCCGTTCTTACAAGTCATAAACTTTATAAGTGCCGTATTAATGAACGAACATAGACTGAATCCTAAAACTTTCTGGAGTGTTTGTTGTGAACCGAACCGTGTTATATAATAAGGTATTTCTTTACATAGCTCTAACGGGTATTACGGACGGCCGAAGGTTGTCAAGAGGCAAGTGTTTTACTAAATACGCCGCCAAAACAACTGTCGACTCCCATCTCACATGACGCATTAATGCTTTTTTATTTTTACTTGCTGTCTTTCGATTCCTTCGAACTTCTCTCAAGCCGAACTCCGGTTACAAAGTCGACAAGTTGCCAGCAAATACTAAGACGACAATGTATTAGCCGAATAGCGCGCAATTCACGTTAACATCGTGTGATGCGCAAACTGTTAGTAATTATGTGTAACTAGTTAATAATTTAATGTTAAGACATAGAAACTGTTCTACACGATTAATTTTAGTATTTTTATCGACCTATCCTTCCTTAAAACCAAACACTAAACAATGAACGCGTACGTTGACTAACCGCCCCGCGGAGTTCTAATCGTTTCTGTCTATGATTGTGTTGCGCCCGCTAACCGACTAAACACTAACGTCCGCCATCCGCCCCGCTGCCCGCACCACACCATGCAGCCACAAGCCGACGGTGATGTACGACCCGGCCAAGTCGGAGACCTACCGCGTGCTGCAGGAACAGAGCCTCGGAGACAACGTGAGCGAGGTGCCCTCGCCCGCCACGCAGGTCTTCACGCCGCCTGTCGCTAAGGTACGGGCTCACGAAGACACTAACATTACATACATACCTTTCATGTTACCTTAAATTTACTACAATTCATCCAAGACTTGAAAACAATTGACGAACCTTCAAATCAATTTTGTGTTTGCTATCAAATAAATAATTACTAAAGAATTGTACTATATATTTGTTCGAATAATTGTTTCTATTCATTTGCAATAATCGTTAAAATCTTTTGTTTAAACAGCCGAAGCCGGTGCCACCCAAACCAATGAAACAACCAGAGGCTCAACCGAGCGGCAAGCAAACGACTTTCGTAAGTTCAGTTATAAAAATAATGATTCACTATCACTAAAATTCTCTATGATGTCGACAATAATTGAGAATTAATTTGTTACAGGTGAATTCCCTACAGGAAGAGCATATTCAGCAGTCAAACTCATTTAAGCGGCTCATGTACCACGTGCTCGGAGAAACCGAGTTTTAAATCAATCAAACTAAACAGCACAGGGTTTTATCAATACGAATGTATTATATAAAACATCTGCTATGACGTACGGCTGTCAGAAACTTAAAGGAAGATTGGAATTGCGGGGTGAATAACCATAAGACTAACAAAATTTTAATAGGATGCCATATCTAATGCTCCTTAAAGTGTGTTATTTTTCGGTGTATTTTCTAATGCTCGAGTATTAGCAATATTATTTATGTTAATAATAAGTAGGGGAGTAACTCTTAATACTAAGTGTTGATTATCTGTTTGTACAGAAATATTATTTATACAAATGATTAAGATGATGAGTGTACAATCTAGTCACAACGACCCGAGCTCAGGTCGCTTCGAGAATGAGATTCGATTTTGAATAAATTATTTATTTTTAACTAATATGTTTCAATTCAAACCCCGAAATAAACAGTCACAAGTCTCAAAATAACTATATTTTTAACCTGGAGTTAACAATTTACACATAACAAAATAAAATACAGTCTTACAAATTTCATGAACGATAAGTACAAATCGAACGAGAAAAGAATTTTGAGCAAAAAAAAAATGTAAGCAACTCATATCACAAAATAATGACGTTGACGTATATCACAAACAGGGGACAGATAATAACAAAATAAGCATACTTAAAACAAAGACATACAATAATTATTAAATAAGGCACTGAATACATTATTTGAATGTTTAATAAAAAAACAAACGGCTTTGGAATTTGACTTTACAATAAAAAAAATATAATCAGCAATCAATTGAAAAAAAAACGTATATATCTGATAAGACCACGCGCACACTGCTAGTTAATAGTTATACATATAATCACTAAACAAAAATAATATGTTAGATTTATTTCTTTACACATGTATGATATTGGCATAATGTTATAAATTGGCAGTGAATGAAGGTGACAATCGGAATTATTTTTAAATGTTCATTGACAGCGCGCGCTCGGCCTTTGTGTTAAAATAAATGACATAACATAATTCACATATTAAACTATTTACATGATCCACGGACTTCGATTATGGCCTTAAACAACTAACATTACACAAGATTTGACTTAAAAATTGAATGAAAATCATATATTTTGTACATAAAAAATGAAACGAATAAAATTAGTGCTTTAAACGACTAGCGGTAAAATAACAGTCATACGACTTAATGTGAGTGAAGATTCCAATAACAATACAAATATTAATCAACTAGAAATTTTATTTAATAATATGATTTGAATTTAAACCAAAGAAGTAATATCGTGAAATTAAATAAGCCTCTGTTACTTTAGCACCAAGTGACGAATGTATTTTAAAAATTATTTATCTAACTATAGATACAATATGTCGATCGTATTTATTATAAGGACTATCTAAATGATTACTATTAATTACTGAAATTATTTGAACAGAGCTGAAAGGAACGAATTCACAACATACAAATAAAATGGTATTGTCATAATCGCATATTGAAATATACAAAGACCCTAAATCTACTGTCATTCAATATTACAATAAAATATATGGAAATTAACTGAATATTTAATGAATTCATTGTAACGATGACTAACAGTAAATTTAAATATTTTCCTAATAAATGTTGCACATTCCACAGTTTTCAGTGTTCTATACAAGGCTTGGGTTTTCATGCATAATTCATTTAATAAATTTTCAATGTGAGATGACTGAAAAATAATTTTTCATTTACAAACCTATTACACAACCAACTATAAAGTAAAACAAAAAAATATTTTCATTTACATAATCCAATAATTAAATGAATATTTTGTTCCAACATTCTATTCAAAGTAAGACATCCAAAAATAGTTTCAATAATAATTTCATGTGCAGACCTTAATTCATATTGATAAATAATAATTACACATTTCTGTTAAAATTCACTTATTAATGAAATTAAAATGATGTTATTATAGACAGATTATAAATTAAAGAATTGTACACATATAATACATGATTAAATAATTGTGTTAATATAATAAAAGGTTAGGGAATGTCCATACTTGCATATTAATATATCATGTGTGCACAAAGCCTTAACTTAAACAAAAGAATAATTCATTAGAGATCAGATCGAAAGTTACATATGCTACGGTCAACGAGACAGGATAAAAAATGTAAACAAAAAACAAAATTCGTCTTGTCACATGGGCCTCACTAAAATAGAGAAATAAGTACTAGATAAAGTAAGAGATTCAGAAATGTTAGTAGTATAGTATTATTTTATATAAAATAAAATTCTTATATAGATTCCTTTGTGTTAGAAATAGAAAAGCGTGAAGCATAGAGGCGGAACGAATGACAATATTTTAATATTCCATTACAAGAATTATAAATTTCGAAACTAACTTAAATTTATTTTGTGAACAGAATTTATTGTTTGTACTTGTAGTGTCCTATAGTTATAAATGCATCAGCTATTGTATGACGGTTGATTCATTAGAATTCGACGAGCTACAAACATTATTTTTATAGCAAAAATTTAAATTTTGAATAGGACGGATATGGCTGAAGGAACATAAAGTTCAATTTAATTAAAATATCTTCCCAGATGTAATTAAAGATATAAGTCTTCTACTACTGTTAATGGTATAGAGTAGCTCGTCAAAATTTTTAAGCAAATAAACTAATCTATGAATGTATTTACAATGATATTCAAGATTTATACATAATCTATTGCTGTATTCTTTTAAGTTTCATATTACATACATAGATAAGCTTCGATTTGTCTAAAAACTGATAATTTTATATTAATATAATTCTCATATATTAACGGAGATCACAATTAGTTCCTAAGCATCTAGTAATGTTAGATCTTTGAACGTACAAGCCTAATTAGGTTACTTATAAAGAAATTGTAATGAAAGGAAAATTATAGTACACCTACAAAGAGAAACTAGATTTGAGTATAACAATGACTGAGACCAAAATTAATATTGAAATTATTTTTTCAACAACAAATACAATTGCACTTCACATATTGCACTATTGAATAAAGCCAGATGGGTATCATTTCTAGTGATCCTATGAATTAATATATTAACAAAAATACATTGTATGACTTTTCATATTATTCAAGGCATAGTATTTAATATATATTCCAAGTAGGTTTTATATAGTAACTACTATTGCTATTTCATGCATTTTATGTATGTGTGAGTATGTAGGCTTTATTTACACACTGACATGAAAATTTTAAACGTAGAAGTCATACATATTTCTGACTCGATGAATCAAATGCATCAAAAACTCATATTTTCTAACCACCCACATGATATGTTAAATGCATTATTTGTAACAAACCATAGTGTGTTAGGAATTTCATATATTCCGATGAAGATAATGTATTACTGATTTCACATTAATATCTATAATTAATAATTGTGTATGTTTTATATTATGGTTATATTGTAATGTAAATCGTAACCAACTTATATATCTCAGTGTGACGACCTGTGTACCTATACTATATTTATCAATATACATATATATGTTAATAAACACCCAATTTTCTTCCTGTTCGCTTACACTGACTCACATTTCACATAACTAAGTCCTTTATAACACGAGGATATGGCATAATTTAGAACACTAGAAGCTCCTGTAAAGCAAGAGTTCACACTAAATCTGTTATAAATCACAGTACATTTCACTATACGATTAATTCACTGTCTCGTTTATCGCGACCCGCACTTATAGCTTGGTGGATATGATGTGCGTCGCGAGTTCCGATCGCTAGTATACTTCTGGGTCTTCGTATAGCGTGAGGCCCCGGCCTCAGGAGGTAGGCCCGGGGTTTAGGCCCAGGCCCGGGCCTGCGGGGAGGAGGGACTCGCGCGAGGCCCGTAAGTTTGGAAGCGAGAGGGCCGCGCGGGCCTCGCGACGGGCCTCCAATACAAGCAGGGAACGAATGTCAGCCTCGAGCGGGTCTACGCTGATATGATACACGCCGGCCTGGACATAAGATACATATTATATAATTCGAATGAGAATCATGTACCGAGTATTCTCCTTAAATATTGATAGTAATTCACCAGTCACCCTGTATAACCACTGATTAATTAATATTTATATAGAAAATAGTTTCTTTTATATTTATATAATAGTTGAAATATCGACTTAAGATGAGTAATATTCAACATAAAGAATATATTATTAAATTCTTAACAAGAAAATAGACTTGTTTTATTTGTTCCTATTTGTTTGTAGTTTGGACAGCAAAGAGGTGATATAAAAATTCATAGGTTTTAATTTGTAAAAATGAAAAAGTCTTCTTATATTATGATTTTCACTGAGATAACATTTACTTGTTTCATATTAAAATATCTACATATATTTCGTAACGTGTCAAAGCTAAAAGTATCAAACCTTTTGTTAACAACTATATCAATGTACCTCAACGGGAGGCTGCGTCGTGTCTTCAATCGCCACATTCACTGGTTGTGAGAGCCTTGTATCCGAGTATCTTCTACCTTCTGCTGGTTCAACATCTGGTCTTCTGTCTTCTGTTAAAGCTGATAATCTTCTATGTGGATTCCCTCTATACGTTTCGAAGCCACCACTTTCGTCCTCTTCGTGGTATACAATCGGTGGTGGGATTGGTTCAATGTTCGCTACCACTTGCCCGAGTGTACATCTTTCGCGGCGCTTGTGACGTAATGGAGGCGAACTGCTTATAGGTAACTTCTCTGGCGCGTTTTGTATTAGAAGTATTCTGTATAAAATTAAACATAAATATCAATATTCAATTGTCTTCTGATAATATTATCAAGGATTTTTAACTTAAATTTTAATATTATATTTAAAAAAACTCGTTGCCATTATAATATCGACCTTCGAATTGATATAATATATAATATAAGAAACTAGCTTTTGCCGCGACTTCGTGCGCGTGGAATAGTGACTTCCGGCAGATTTTTGGTTCTTCCCACATAGTTCCCGTTCTTGCGGGGTTTTCGGAATGGTCGAGTTCCCGTAGAATTTTCAGGACAAAACCTATGTTTTTTTATTCACAATGAAGTACTCTTAACCAACAACATATTTATTTGTTTATTTGAATAAAGATTAATATTATTATGTTGATACAACTTAAACAAATTATTTCGACCAAATTAGGTACCATAAAAACGGTTTTTGTGAGTTAATCTTAAATGATAGACATATACTGTCGCGGACTGTTTTTTAGATCATTAAAAGAGCTATTATTCTTTAATACATATTTTTGTGTATCTTGAACCGTTTTCAAGGCGCACGCAACGGAAGGTTTCAAAGATGAAATAATTTCTCCCGTTTTTTACACATTTACCACTATATATTTGCTCCTATTGGTCGTAGCGTGATGTTTTATAGCCCAAAGCCTTCCTCGATAACTGGACTATCCAACAAAAAAAGAATTATTCAATTCGAACCAGTAGTTTCGGAGATTAGCGCTTTCAAACAAACAAACAAACTCTTCAGCTTTATAATATTAGTATAGATATAGCTTCATTGTCATACAACTATAGATAAAAAAATATTACTTCTTAAATCAAATAGATTATAAATTAAAGTTTTATACCTCAAAGTAAATTATTAAAAAAATACAATAAAACCATAACAATAAAGCCACGATTACATAAATATATTAAAAGATACAGAAAGTAATATGATTATTTATAAGTGGATTAATTATGTATATATAACACTGAATTGACAGACGATCTGATTATGTTATGTATAAGAACGATGTTAAAACTTATATAATAAAATAAGATTTATATAATAATAAAGTGCATAATATATAATCTTTTATATAAAATGTACTAGATACATTTATTAATTTAAAACATCACACACACACTCACGACTGATACACACACATATGCATTTGTTACTTAATACATTTTTAGTACATTATACAGGGTGAACAAATTATAAAGAACAAAAATAACATTTTTATATGTAAAAATATTAAACTATGGTAATTTTTTATGTATAATTTATGTGTGTATGTTGATCAGTCGACTATATATCATAAACAAACATCCGCCTTACAACACGCCACCTAATAATAATCAATTAAACGTACCACGAGTCGCTACTCATATTACACGCGGATTTTATAGTTTTTTATATATTAAACTTCACGTATAGTATTGACGTGAACTCGAAGGTCTACGTATGTAGTATAACAATGAAAACAAGTGGTAAGCTTAGGTATATGTTTTTGTATTTTTTTTGTAGTGTGCTTAATGTGTTGTATAAAATTATGTCCGATTTGGTTTGCTTTATAAGAAAGAGATAATAGACACATTGGATATGCTCATTTATTATGAGAAATTATTTTCTGCTAACAATAAATACGAAAAAAAATATTTCATTTGGGACATTTTGAAAAAAAAACTAATATTTTCAAATTACTACGTTTTATTTTATTATTTTCATTTATAACAACTCTTCTTCCTGTGATCACAGTTCTACAAAGTTACCGAAACGTGGCAATTCTTAAATGTCGTTATATTATACAAAACCCAAAAAATATTAAAAGATCTATTTAGATTACTGTTAGTTAAGTACGAGTTCGCAAAACTCAAACAAAACGCAGACATAACAGTATCACATTCGTAATTCACACGTATAACAAATATCAATTAAAAACTCAAAAATGTATGTATTCTACGTGACTATTGACAGTGAAAACGAATAGTAAGGATGACAATAAAACTAATAGATGATTCAATCTTATAAAATCTTCGACATATTTTTTTTATTCACTTATTCTACATTCATGACGTGGTTCACTTCTTACATCCTATTTTCGTCAATGGCTGTATGACACGTGCCTTTGCCTTATTATTTTATTTATATCAAAAAAATTATTTGAATTATGTTTTGGTATTTTTCTTATATTTCATATCAATAACCAAATCATGTTGACTTCAAACACGTTAGATCAAAACAAAAACAGGTTTCGTATTTATTATTTAAATCTGATTATCTTAAAATCATTTTCTAGCCCTTTATGGAAGAATAATAAATTATTAAAAAAAACATATTTAATAATTATGTTTTTTTCTATATCTCTTTAAAAAAATCAAACAAGTTATATTTACTTCTCATTTCCGCAGATAAAGAATAAAAACAATTACGGTATATATCAAACTCGTAATCCTACTAATATTATAATTGCGAAAGTTTGTGAGCGTGTGTATGTTTGTTACTTCTTCACGCTCAAACGTCTGAACCGATTTTGATAAAATTTTGTATATAGGAAGCTGACGTCCAGGAATAACACATAGGCTACTTAACATCCCGGAAATCCGCGGGGCGCAGCTAGTATTCTATACTTTTTAAATTACAAGTATAATATAATTTGACCTGAATAAAGCTGACTAGTTTTAAAGCTGACATTCAATATGGCGGTCAGCCTCACCTGTTGTGCGCGCGCCATCTGTTACATAGATGCAAGTACTGCCTGCACTGTATATACATGAACACGGCGCCGCCGGTGAAGCCCACGGCCACAACGACCAGCTTCGTCCAGAACGGCCACGCTGGAAATAAACACTTTCATATTAGTCTAAGAGCCCGTGAACCCCAGACCTTCGTTATTTTATAAAAGCTGAAAGTTTGTCAGCGCATGCTCCCAACACAGGTAAGAACGAAGGTCCATTATGAAATTCGGGTTGTAGTGGCTTTGGCAGGTAAACGGTACTAAAGGTGTGTAAAATACTAATATAGTTTCGTCAAATTATACAGAGCGATTTTTTGGTATTACCTTTAGAATGTTATTAAAAATCACATTATTCATTACCAGACACTTAACATCGTGGTAACCCCTTGCCAGACACCCTTAATGTTCAGGGTATAATAATTCTACTTACGTTATAGTATAAAAGCTGATTTTTATACAGGATACTTGGGTAATGAGTAGATGATATTTTCTCAATAGCCAGACATTTTTGATAGTTCCAACCCCTTGCCAGACAAGTATGTAGGGTCGCTGTAGAAACGAGCGCGAGGTAGTATATATATGTGAGTGCGAGTGAGATGCGCTTGTATTGTTTACTACTTTGTACATGCGTATGTCAGTAAAATTAATATATGCTATTTTTAAAGATAAATTTAATATTCATTATTAATTATAAGAAAAATATCAATAATAGCATTACTTACTTTATAATTAAATCGCTCATTTTTATATAATACTTAGGTAGTTATTAGATGATGTTTCCTCCTTAGCCAGATATTTTTTTCTGTTTTCAATCTCTCTGCCGGACAATCAATGTAAATGTTAAAAAGAGATTCATGATTAGAATGACTTATCCAAATAAACTTTTTGGCCAATTTATGTGACAAATAACTGATGTAAATTTTAAAAATTTCTTCAGAAATGATATTCGTTGCTACAACTACTCGGAATTGTTAAAAATTTCAATTTATTCCTCCAGTAACTAGTTAAAAAGAAAAACCAAATTTCCCTTTGGAGCCGACCGATGTCGGCTCTAAGGCGGTGGGTCTCCTCTGCCTCGGTGCGCGTCACCAGGACGTCAAGCACCTCCTTCAAGAAGGCGGAGGCCTTCATAATTTTCGAAGAGTACCCCCCCTTGAGGTTGGTACTTTTCCCCACCAACTCTTTGATCAGGTTGAGGCTCTTCTCCGCCTCAACCATGATGGCCTCCGCCCCCATCGTTCCTAATTCCGGAGGAACCTCCCTTTCCTTCTTACCGTCCCTTTCCTTCGCCAGCCTCCTCTCCATACAGGAGTCGAAGGCGGCCTCCAACTCCTCTTCTTCCCTCTCCCTTAAAAATTTTCGTGCCCTGGTCAAGGCGCGACCGCGGCCTCGTCTTCCCGCTGGGATCGACTCTCGAGCCATCCCCCCCCCAGTCTCGGTGTCGGAGCCAGAGATCTCCGAAAAGAGACGCTTGGGCCCTAACGCCGACTCCGGACGAGACGACATCGAGTCGTCCACACCCGACAACTCCTCCATAGAGTTCCCCGTTTCCCCCCCCCCCCCCCGGGCAACCCCCCCCCATCATACTCTCTATCTCCCATCCTAACCACAACGCAAAACCAGGTTAGGTTAGGTTAGGTTAGGTTAGTTAGCTTAGGTTAGCTTAGGTTATGTTAGTTTAAGTTATGTTAGATAGCAAGTGGCTCTCGTTACGGCATACCCTAATCACTATATCACAAAAGACGTCCGATCCCTACGGAGGCTCGAACGAGACTCCAGTTTTGATGTACTTGGAATATCCTATGTTATTAATTAATAATAAATGTTAAATTAATAAAGCTTCATGATGTCATATTACATTATTTTTGTTGATGTAAACATATACTGAGCACTAAACAATACATGCGCTGTGGAAATATCAGCTGCGCGCTCAGGGATCGCAATAGACCTAACTCGCCATCTCACTCGCACTCACATATATATACTACCTCGCGCTCGTTTCTACAGCGACCCTACATACTTGTCTGGCAAGGGGTTGGAACTATCAAAAATGTCTGGCTATTGAGAAAATATCATCTACTCATTACCCAAGTATCCTGTATAAAAATCAGCTTTTATACTATAACGTAAGTAGAATTATTATACCCTGAACATTAAGGGTGTCTGGCAAGGGGTTACCACGATGTTAAGTGTCTGGTAATGAATAATGTGATTTTTAATAACATTCTAAAGGTAATACCAAAAAATCGCTCTGTATAATTTGACGAAACTATATTAGTATTTTACACACCTTTAGTACCGTTTACCTGCCAAAGCCACTACAACCCGAATTTCATAATGGACCTTCGTTCTTACCTGTGTTGGGAGCATGCGCTGACAAACTTTCAGCTTTTATAAAATAACGAAGGTCTGGGGTTCACGGGCTCTTGCTCTATATATATACATAATACATATAGTCATATATTCTATATTTGAATTATAAAACCATCGACACATAATGATAGGAAACTTTTCTTTTAACCAGCTCTACAGGGTGACTGGTGAATTACTATCGATATTTAAGGAGCATACTCGGTACATGATTCTCATTCGAATTATGTAAAAAAAATAGGCACTTAATTTTTGACAAAATTTCCGTATAAATAAGTAAAGTGTTGACACGTTCCAAGTGTTCAAGTGTGGACGCGTGCGGCGGCGTGCTGATACAACACCACGTCACGACACGCGTATGTGTGAGTGTCAGTGTATACCTAATCTGTAGGGTGTTCACACGATGCGTAATTAATTACATAACTTTTGGTTAACTTTACTTAGAAGTTTATTAATATTTATGTTATATAAATTTTTATTTTGTCATATATGATCGTCAAATATCACGTCCTCAAATATTGATAGTAATTCACCAGTCACCCTGTATATTTGAAAGCATTTTTTAAGCAGTTCTATATTTGAAATTTAAAAAAAAAACAATGACATATCTACTATATGACCAGATTTAATTGTTCTTTATTTGAAAAAAAAAACATTATCACATTTTGATATGCAAACAGTTTGTATCATACTACATTATAAATTGAGATACTGGCAGTATGTAATATTCTATATTAAAAAATAAAAACTTTTTAATATAATGTTAACACAGTTCGACATATAATTCTTCAGTCTTTGAAATAAAATGATAATACCATACATTAAAAATCATAAATTTTTATTGTCTTCAATTTTGGTTATTTTATCATCTTTTGTTAATTTAAATTTTACTGTCGAAGACCGAGATAAAAACTTAAATATAATAATGTAAACATTTAAATTTCTTAAAACATGAAAATGAGGTTAAAACTGAATAAACGCCTATTTGTTTTTTTAATCATTAAACTTTTATGCCAGTTTAAATAACAGACAGTAAAAATGGTCATTTTAGAGGCTATCCGTAAAAAACAATTCAACCTTTTCTGAATCAAAATAACAAAATTTTAATTCACGTTCCAAATTTAAAAAAAAGGAATACCGTCGAAAATGTAATAAATGAAAAAAAATCTGTCATTTATTATATGTATAATAAAATACATAAGTCAAAGGGCAACCTAATTACTATTCAACTATATATAATCATATATCCCTTATTAATACAATGTTTAATACATTATCTCAGTGAAAGATATCCGCTAACATCTCACACCGGAGCCCCGAGTGTGACGTCATCGCTGACCTTGATATAATTGCATAATGTACAACCATCGACACGCGTCTTCTCCAAAGACTTAAAATATTATCAGATTTACGATTAACAAAAAACCTATGTGGCAACCCTGTATGGCCTAGTTACGTAATATATGAAAGTGTTATGCTTGTTAGGCAACATCCCAGGTTACGTGACCGGCCGATGGTGTATTTTAAACAAAATCTTTTGTTATTTGATTAAAAATATATTAGTACTTATTACGTGCACTTAAAGTTCACGATCGAATGCACTTATATTGATTTTATGTTAGTAAATACGTGATCTTTTTCGTATCTGAAATTAATGCAGTTTTAAATTGTCTAGAAAGCACATGTATTGTGGACAGGAATGTTATTTGTACTGATCTAGAAGCTTGTTTATCTGTAGTATAATGAGGTCAAAATATATAAGAACGCTTACTCTAAGTTGTCTTTGTCACTACATACGCAGCGTACAAAGTTATTTCATGAGAAAGAAGAAAGGCTTCGTAGTATGACCATGTAAACCTAGAATTACATGTTTCCATACAAGCGAAACAGTAAGGTGATCCAAAAATTATCTTACGAAAAATTATTATTTTACGTACAAAATTAAGACTTGTTTTATTGTAAAAACAATTTTCGATAATAAGAACAAGTTGAACGTAACTTTATAATTACATATAATTTTATATTCAACCAATACGATTAGATAAAAAAAAAACTGGTACGATTCTATATAAGTAAATTGCGTGGCTTAAATTTATTTAATTTAAAAGAAAGTATACACATGAATTGTCATTTAATGATGGTACTTCACGAGTGAAGCACTAATCGAATAATTATACGCCCGAAATGAAATACATCATTTCGTAAAAAAAGGTGATACTTTTACACTGCTTGAAAAGTATTTACTAAACGTAGCCTAAAACAACCGTAAGAAAACTGGCTTCCAAGTGCAAAAACTACATCGAAATAGGTCGTTCTATTCAAGAACTACGATGGCACAAACAAACACGCACAGACAGACGTCGAGATCACATTCAAACGTGTGTATTTATGGCGGTAAAAAAATTACGTTTTTTTAAATAAAAAACCGTAAAATCTTGTAACAAAATTATATTCAGAATCCTTATTCGTGGTTATTCTAAAAATAAATAATTAATGTTCGTCGAATGATTCGTAATGTTGTAATTAAAAATACGAACGAGAATCAAAAACAATGGATATATCGAAAGATGAGAAGTTTGTAATTGTGGCGTTTTATAACCGAAAGTGTCGGTTAACCGAAATAAAAATCTCAACGTAACCGTAACCGACGTCTTTGAGTATTTATAAATAGATTTCAAATACGATAGTTTTGCTATTTATCCGTCTGTGTCCAACAAGAAATATATAGAATTTCATTCCTTTACGAAATTAAACCAAGTCTTAATCTCAAATTAACTTTACAATGTAAAACTGTTGACGTGATGTTACTACATTACAATGTAATTAATTGGATATGTTATGATATGATTGAAATGTATTGCTCAAGTTTATACTAAGAAATCCAAAATTTTTATTTAAATACGACGTAATATTATTACTACATAAGACATATGTCACCACCTTTCTTTCCTTGTTATTGGAATTTTAATGTTTTATACACTTATTAATATTTAATTCAACAAAAACATTATTAATTTTGTAATAGTAAATGGCTAGTGTACTCTAGAATAGTGTGTTCGAGCCCTATCGTTTTTCTATATACATAATTCATATTTATGTACCACTTACACCATCTCATTAAGGGACCAAGTTATACTGGTTCAACAGTCATTGCTTCCTAAGAATTATTTGAAATTGTGACTTACTATATAGCAATATAAAGCATCACTGCCAACAATTCAGTCATTGATATCAGCTGATTGTAACAAATACTTTGTTATGAACAATCCAACTTTGTTTCCTTTAATTTTATCCCCTTTGTTAATATCAGAAGTATACAACCCCTTCAGAAACCATTACACCCCTTTCAAAGGTTTCTCATCTTGCAATAAAACACAAGAATGTCAATCTATTTATCCATTGAATAAATCTAATAAACTATAGGAGACTGGTCCAAATAATTACATATTATTAACTTCATCACTCCTAGAATGTTAATTAATTTAAACAGTTACTACATTTTAACCAACCTCAAAAGAGGAGGTATTATAACTCAAATATGGACTATTTACATTGAGAGTATGGCATATAGCATTTCTATTATTGTATAATTCTTATTTTAAGAAATTAGTCATCTTTTCCCATCATTTAAAATGATATTAGCATAACATACAAAATATAATAATATGCCGTATGCATGCACAAATATATGCATAACATTAAAATGTGTCATTTGATCATAACTCATTATATGGGAATTAATTCATCAAACTAAATATGAAATATTAACATTTTATCCTACTAATATTAATTGCGAAAGTTTGTGAGTGTGTGTATATTTGTTACTTCTTCACACTTAAACGGCTGAAGCGACTTTGATAAAATTTTGTATAAAGGAAGCTGATATCTAGGAATAACACATATGCTACTTCACATCCCGGAACCAGAAATCTGCGGGTACCACCGCGGGGCGCAGCTAGTATGAAATAAATCTTACAACCCTAGTATCTGTTCTATGCAATATTTACCTATGAGTCCCCTGTTGACCTCCTCTACGGCCCTCTCTATGAGCACAAACAGCGACCACATAACACACAGGGCCGCCACACAATGGAATAGAACAGCACAACACAAACGTCGACGCTCCACACCTGACATTTCCAGCAGACGCCACTAAGGGAATTATTAAAAACAACACACTATTAATATTATTGACACCCTTAGCTCGAGTTTGTAACAACTAAATAAATACAGGCAGTATCTGAATTAACTATACTGTATAATATAAACCTATTATGAGCAAGAAACTGGTAACTACAGGTATAGAGTTTAATACAAACTCTTTCTAAGGGTACTGTTATTGATAGAAATAAAGAGTTACAAGTAAATTTAAGGAATACCTCCATATTAACAGATTAGTATTCAAACATTTATATAAAAAAATTAACTATGTAATCTCGGAACTATTCAAATAACCTTATAAATTGTGAATAATGAAGAAATATAACATAATTATAAGAATAATTACACTTCATTTCTAAAATTGCAAGATATTGTTGCAATGAAATCTTTCCACTCAGTAAAAACAAGCTTTCAATGTCACATTGTGAATAAACTGAATAATAAAGAAATAAATCTCACTTTTACAATTATATGCTTTTTTTTACATATTAACATATGAATGTATTACCATCTGTGTTATAAATATTAATCAATGTTAATTCAATATGATTTAATTAGCATCATTCATTATCGCCAGTAAAAAAGTTGAAATTGTTTAGCGGCACGCACATACACATATGAGAGTTTATGTAAAAAGGTTTTATATATTGTTAAAAGATATAAAACTTTTTAATAATATCGTGTTTTCAGTAAGATAATACTAATGTTGCCAGTTTCGGATTAGGCATTACTTGATGCCTAAAGTGTGTAAAACAAAAAAGTTTTATTAAAAGTAAACCTTACATTCTGTTAGGTTTTGATTTAAATATAATTTACTATAGTAAATTCTAATACTATTATAGTAAATGGATTTACCTCACTGAACGGTTTAATTTTTGTATGCATAATGAAATTAAATTTGCACAATTCACATGATCTTGTTTCTGATGCCGTCAGCCATTGTTGAAGACAGCTTTGATGGACGTACTTCAGACTCCCTGAAACAAAAACATAATTCGTTCCAAATGAATATTTACATTTAAAAAATAATTTCTATACCTCCATTTATTAGTTTAATGTTATCTTAGCTATGTTACTATATATTTTAAGACTGTTTGCAGACTGTATAGTCATCTTTATTGAATTTTATTTAATACCTCTTCATAATATTAATATTTATTCTCAGGATGGCCATCAAATATGTTAATGACTATTATGTAAACAACAAACAGCTGTCTGCTGATTCGTTGGAATGAAACAAAAACAATTAAAGATATGCTTTGTTTAGTAACATTCGAGAGAAATCTGTAGATATAGCATGGATATTGTGAAATACATATGTAAAGTATTGCAACACTCACCAGAACAATAGCATGGTGCCAGCAATGGGTTGTGGACTTCGCTTTCACAGTGGCATATCCTGCATATGTCGCCACTGGAGTTACTGCACGAGGTCTGACTGCTCCCGGAGCCTGCGCGAACTGCTTCCCTGCCACATCCGCCGCCCCATTCCCAACTTTCGATATCAGATGAGTTCTTCACATTTATTTGCTGTACCGGCATTATGACTCGTCAGTCAACACGATTCCCGCACCATATTATTCTCATAAATTAAATGAAAGAAATAAAAAATGTCTCATCATAACATTTAAGGTAGATTTTTTGAATAATTCGCCGTTCGATGTATAAAGCACTCTCATTTAAAAACAAAAATCGGTATTTTTTTCATATATAAATGAGGAATAACGATTTCGGTGTAGTAATTAATAAAACTTAAAAAGAAGTATTTTATATATTGTCATTTAATATTTTTACACTCACTACATTGAAATGAGAAGACGAAAACATCAATAGCTGCATAGAAATATAAATATAGATTATTTAAGATACAGATAAGTTTAAAGGAAACTTGTGAAAATACATGTATAGTCTATTCAATCCTTTGTTTATACATGAAATTACTTTAAAAGACTCGTAATTTACTTTTATTTTTCCTTTGTAAAAATAAATTGCAGCTACCATAACAATATAATTGATTTTTCATTTATTGATATATATTATTTATTGAAAATAATGAATTTACTTTTCACATTTCTCCAATACAAAGGTAATTATTTTGTTAATCAGTACACCGAAAATCTTGTACCAAAATATATAAAAATGAATGCGGAAAACAATAATTAAATATAAAATAATTATTAATACTAAAATTGTAAAATTTAGATTTATATATAAGGCTATTTTTCAAGTTATAGTCTATGGTTTCGGTAGATTTTATAAACTGTAGGCAGCGGTGTCTTCAGTCTCTAATCTGTGTACATTCTTTTGAGAACCGTGCGGTGGTACGCTGCCGGTATATTATATAGTTCTTCTGTTGTGTGATCAAAAATGAGTGTTTTACCAGAAAATATTAAGGCTGAGGCCAATTCAATTATTCATCAATATTTAAACAGTATAGACAAATCCTTAGCGAGTAACTTCTTGAAAATAACAAAAGCGGTAAGTACAATACGCATTATGACCACGTGTATTTTAATTTCGGAAGACCCCACGTGTTAACTTAAATTATTGCATTATAATAATCATATTTTTTATAAGTGCTTTATAACGTTTATAATCTTCTATATAAATATATTGTAAAGTTTTTACTATTAACACTTGATACGTAAGTACTTCCGTGTTCTTCAATGGAGTGCGTCGATTGAAGTCAAAGAGTAAAATTATTAAAAGTTAGTTTACTTTAAATTTATCGTCTTATGAGTTCAAATTCTAGATATAATTTCATATTTCCATCCTTCATGTCGATTTTTCTCAAGTGTTATAAATTTTCGAGACAACTTTAAATAAATAATCGAATCTCTATATATAAGATTGATTAGTAATGAATAAATCTAGAACAATTTTACATCATATTTAGTTTCTACAACAATATTAAGCACGAAAATTTGTCTAATATTCACGGAAACCATAGGTCAAAAATAACCTTTTGGGCGCACGTGGGTAATAACTCGATACTTAAGCTAGTTAAGAAATCTTTAATACATTAATTGTTTAGACTATTGTATTTTTTTCTTACAATATTTAAGTTTTTAAATTAAAGCTATACTTATGTTTCCTTGACTTCATTAAATGAAACTACAGCTGCGTGCGAAAGTATTAGGCACCCCTATTGTTAGTCACTATCTCATTATATTGCGGTCAAGTCTGTGTTTTATGGTTTAGCTATTGTATTAGCGGCAATTTTTAACCAAATTAAGATAAAAGAAAATATTTATGACATCCAGGTGTGCTCCTAAGCGGTGTTTCTTCGAATTTGCTTTTTTTGCGTTTCGGGTTATAGTGTGTTATCAGTGCTTGCAGTGAACATACACGTCTTCTACGCAACTATTCCTATCACAATTCTAAAGACTAACATTTAACGTGTTAATCATGCCGAAAAAATCTGAACTTAGTGCTGAACAGCGTCTAAGAATTAAGATTTTACATGAACAAGGCATGTCTCAGGTTAAAATAGCCCTAGAAGTGAAGTGCTCGCGATGTGCAGTTCAATATGCTATAAATCGCTTCAAAGAGACTGGCACCCATGAAAATAGACCAAGAACAGGCAGAAGAAAAGTTACTACTGAACGGGAAGATCGATTGTTGATTAGGCAGTCTCTACAAAACAGGAAAAAAACTGCTTTAGAGCTCGCTGCAGCATTATCTGAGGCAAAAGGCAGCTCAGTGAGTGTTTATACTGTGAGAAGAAGACTTCTTAAAGCTGGATTAAAAGGATGTAAAGCAAGGAAGAAGCCGTGGCTGTCAGAACACAATAAGAAAAATCGGTTGGAGTGGGCACTCAAACATAGAGATTGGTCAGTGGAAGATTGGTCCAACATACTGTGGTCAGACGAATCTAACTTTGAGGTATTGTTATTTATTTTATGTACAATATTAAAACACATAAATGTTTTTAAAATAACGTACTGCATGAAAAATAATAACTTTGAAAATAAATGTGTGTTTTTTTCGTTTGGCATAGGTGTTTGGAACACCCGGTGTGACTTATGTTAGGCGAAGGGTTGGCGAAGAATACAACCCAGAATGTGTGGTTCCCACTGTTAAGCATGGTGGAGGCTCAATAATGATCTGGGGCTGCATGGCTGCCGACGGAGTGGGCGAAATGGTGTTGTGTGAGGGACGAATGAATAGTGTTAAATACACTGAAGTTCTGGAAACAGCACTAGCAACGTCGATAACGCAAATTTTCGGTGATACAAACACCGATGGCCTGAAATTTCAGCAAGACAACGCCACTTGCCACAAGTCCGCGCATACCATGAAGTGGTTTGCTGAAAATCATATTGATCTTTTAGACTGGCCACCACAATCACCAGACCTCAACCCGATTGAGCATATTTGGTCCATTTTAAAGAAAAATATCCGCAGGCACTCGATTAGCAATAAACAAGCTCTATTGACCGCGTTGCAGCAGGAATGGAAAAATATATCAAGAGAAGAATGTTTCAGGCTGGTAGAGTCAATGCCAAAAAGAGTGGCTGCGGTTATTAAATCAAAAGGTGGACCTACAAAATATTAATTATTTTCTTTAAATAAACCATTGTAATCATAAATGCAGTTTTATTTACACTCGCTATGCTAAAACACCCTAAAACTTGTCTTACTGTAGGGTGCCTAATACTTTTGCCCGTGGCTGTATTTTGTAATTCATTATTGAGATTTTAACGTAAAATTTTTATGTATGACAATTCACAAACTATAAATTAACATATGCTTTCAGAGACCATTCATGCTACGTAAGTGTAGAATAATAGTAATTTATTTCAAATATTCTTATGATTGTGTTACAGAAACCCAGAGCCAAGAATCTGCCATCTTTTGTTGATATTCTTCAACAATTCAAAAGCCAGCAAAAACCTAGTAAAAAACAGGATGAGAGGTAAGCATGGGAAATAATTAAGATTATTAATAATTGATTTCTTCAAGACCACCTATGAACATTTTTATATTTTCACTAGAAGACCCGGCGAACTTCGTATCGCCCTATAATCAAGAAATATCTGTTACGTTTTTTTATTTATATTTTTGGAGTTTACCTATTAAAGCCATAAATCTCCGTGTTTTGAAGTGCGACAGAATGATTGACATATTAGTTAGTTGTCAAATCTAATGTCAAAAAAAAAGTTTGTATCAACAACTACTAATAAAATAAAAAAACATTGTCCAGCGGACAAAATTGTGAATCTCAACCATTCCCAGATCCCTTTGAACACACACAAAAAATTTCATTAAAATCGGTCCAGTCATTTGAGAGAAGTTCAGTGACATACACACTCACAGAAGAATTATATATATAAAGCTAGATACTTTTTAAAGTCTTTGTGATGCTATAAGAGTAAAATCTATTACAGTTCCGATGACTCCAGTGAAGATGAAAAGCCCAAAAAGCCTGTTGCCCAATTAAATGGTAACGCCCAACAGAAGAAGAAGGAATCATCTGATTCAGATAGCTCCGAAGATGAGAAGCCTCAAAGCAAACCTGCACCAAAGGTATGATTTACTTCACTCACATAGATATTTAATTTAAAACAAAATGATGAAAGGCTGTGATTGATTTATCCATGATAATATATTAAACCTTCGTCACTACCTCTGATAACTAATATTTAAATATAGGAATACTTAATAATATTGAGTTTTACTGAATGTAAGCTTTTTTTACAGTCTAACAATGTTGCACCGAAACCTGCTCCCAAGAAAGCAGAATCATCAGACGACAGCGACAGTAGTGATGAAGATGTTTCTAAAAAACCAGCAGCACAGCCGGTGAAACCTCAAGCAAAGGCAGCACCTAAAGCCAAACAAGAATCTTCCGACGACAGCTCGGATAGTGAAGATGAAAAGCCAGCACCAAAACTTACTCCAGCCAAACAAGCTCCAGCTAAAGCCACTCCAGCTAAACCACCTCAAAAGAAAGCTGAATCTTCTGACAGTGACAGCAGTGACGATGAACCTAAAAAACCAGCTGCCAAACCAACCCCTGCCAAGAAACCTGTAGCTAAACCAGCAAAGGCAGAAGAATCGTCAGATGACAGTGACTCAGATGATGCTACCAAACCACCTCCAAAGGCAGCCAATGCCAAGCCCACACCAAACAAACCAGCTGCTAAAGCTGCACCCAAAAAACAAGAATCATCATCCGATGACAGCAGCGAAGATGAGAAACCTCAACAGAAAGCTTTCCCCAAACTGCAAGCGGCGGCCGCCAAACCAGTTGGTAAAGTCAGCAAGAAACAATCATCATCAGAAGACAGCGATGAAAGTAGTGAAGATGAAAAACCTAAGGCCGCAGCAAAGCAGCCGGCTAAACCTGCAGCCAAACCAACCCCCGCTAAGAAGAAACAAGAATCTTCTTCTGATGATAGTGACGATGAACCCCCTAAACCGGCACAAAAATCACCAGCGCCAGCCAAACCTGCACCAAAAGCGAAGGCAGAATCCTCAGACAGCGACGACAGTGATGATGAACCTAAAGCTAAACAAGCTAAAGTAGCAACCCCAGCTAAACCCGCAAAGGATGATTCTTCCGATGACAGTGATGAAGAGCCACCTAAGAAGGTTCAAAAACCTGCTGCTAAACCAGCTGCACCTAAGAAGGCATCATCAGACAGTGATGACAGCAGTGAGGAAGAACAGAAAAAGCCACCAACAACTCCAAAAGCTAAACCGAAGCAAGAATCCTCTGATGACGATGATAGTGATGATGAAGCACCAACTGAAGTACAGAAGAAAGATAATCAGGTAAATAAAGCAACAATCATAGCCATTATTTTTATTCCCAACACATTTTGAAATATTAATTACCATACTGTATTTTCTTTGTTTCCAGTCTGAAAACGCCAAAGCTGGCAAGAAAAGGAAAGCCTCTGAAAATGAAGCAGAACCAACTCCCGCCAAGAAACCCTATAGCAATTTTGTGAAGGTAAATATTAATAATTAGTTATTTTAGTGTACAGGCAAAAATTTATATGTTATTTTAACATATTGAGTATTGAGCATTAATTTAGTACATTTGTAATCAAATAGGTATGTTATTGATTTGAAAGTTTCATGATTGTTTGATATTTTTTGGGCTAATAACATGCTATCACCCTAGTTATGTGTAATGTGTATTTTAGGGGACCAATTGTTCATCAACTCCCAGTGACAAAGGCCCACAAAGTAAGCCGACTCCCTTCAGGAGAGTTGTCACAGAACAAGTTGAAGTGGATCCTAGACTTAAAGACAATTCATTTGAAGCTAAGGTAAATGCCCTAAAAGTTGAGAAGCCAAGACAACTCCACATCATTTCATTGAATGATAGCTCTATAAAACAAATTACATTGTCAGGCTCTGTGGCTTATATTTTGGGCATTTACTTTTGACGTCATTTAGAAATTACGTAGGGTTGTCTTGGTGTTAAATTTATTTATCTCTATCAGGAGGGTGAGGGAGACGAGGAAGAAGAAGAAGACGAACACAACAAGTCTGGAGGAGGAGGAGGACGGGGGGGAATGAACCGCGGGGGCTTCCGAGGCCGGGGAGGGTTTAACGATAGAGGAGGCAGGGGCGGGTTCGGCGGCAGGGGAGGCCGCGGAGGGTTTAACGATAGGGGAGGCCGGGGAGGATTTAACGATAGAGGAGGCCGGGGAGGATTCAGAGGCCGCGGCGGATTTAACGATAGAGGGGGCAGGGGAGGACGAGGGGGATTCGATCGTGAAGGTCGTGGTGGAGGACGATTCGGAGACAGGGGTGGGAGGGGAGGACGGGGAGGCCGCGGAGATAGACACTCGTGGGGAGGAGACAGGGGGGGATTTAACAAAGGAGGTTTTAATAACAGAAAGAGTTTCGGCGACGGAGGCGAGCAACAGAATAAGAAAGTTGTATTTGAATAGATAGGTGAGGAATGATCGCGAATAAGATTAAAATGAAAACTTTTAATACGCTCGTCACTAAAATGAAATATTTTACACAATGCAAACGCATATTATATAATTCACGTCCTTCAAACATAGAACCTCCCATATAGAGACAATAGACGTTTGATCATATAGACTTATAATATATGTTTGTTATCAAACAGTACGGAGCCCGCGGCTCGTGGGGCGAGCGCGCTAATCAAGACTTGAAGCACACGCGCGGCAAGTCATTCAAACACGAGAAAACAAAGAAAAAACGCGGTTCATACCGGGGTGGCGCCATCGACACCGGGGTCCATTCCATTAAGTTTGAAGATTGACATACAATGAATGTGACATGATTCATACAATTAATATATTACACTGTAATCCTATATGCTTTAGTATTATGATTCCATTAATGAGTGAAGTTGCGATAACTGATTCTTTTTATATTTCATTGCAAGTGATAGTAGATTAATCGTAGCGATAGCTATGTGTAACTTAAATGCCGTTATCCGACATTCTTTTTAAATAAATAATTTTACTTACATAGTGTAAGTCAGTTTGGTGTTTATAGGTAAATTTACCTAGTAATACAATAAAAACTTAATGGAAATTGTTCTTTATGTAATAAAACAAAATGTTTACAAGTCTTTATTTTTCGAAGTATCTAGTTTATAAAAGCTCCGTGTAAATAACGTGAAGTTTTAATATACACGCTATTTTGTACATAAGCATAAGTAAGGAATAGATATAAGTATTTAGTTTTTAACTGTCTAAAAAAAATATGTTTCATTATAATTAAGACCGCCTTGACGATACTTGAATGTGTTTAAATAAAACTATTTGACTTAAATGGTTCTTTTATTAAATAAATTTCTAGAATTCCGAATAGTCGTCTAGAAATTGACTATGTATATAATTTTAATTTGTTTAAAAAATATCAATAGCCATAAATAAGATTACCCTTTCGAATGGACTACTTTTCCTATTGGTTTATAATCATCATTAAAATTGAAATTTGTTGATGATGTTTTAAAAATGGGCTCATATCAAAGTCCAAATTTCTATAAATAAAACTGAACTGCGTAATATGGTAAATTAAACGTCCGGAATCTAAAAAGAACGAGCAAAACACCTTTCATTTTTTTGTCGCTTAATTATTGTTAAAGTAACCTTTTATGAAATATAACAAGTAGGTATATTTATAAATAATGTTAATTAAATTATATCTGAATTTTCTTTCAAGTTTATTAAGTTTGTATTAACTCGATTCAGGATTGCCAAAACGATAATTCTGAGTTTATAGCAACTGGTGTTTTTTTTGTCTAGAGTTACATAAGTAAAACTGCCAAATAATCTCTATTCAATAACTTAGCTCCCTAATAGTCTAAGAGCCCGTGAACCCCAGACCTTCGTTATTTTATAAAAGCTGAAAGTTTGTCAGCGCATGCTCCCAACACAGGTAAGAACGAAGGTCCATTATGAAATTCGGGTTGTAGTGGCTTTGGCAGGTAAACGGTACTAAAGGTGTGTAAAATACTAATATAGTTTCGTCAAATTATACAGAGCGATTTTTTGGTATTACCTTTAGAATGTTATTAAAAATCACATTATTCATTACCAGACACTTAACATCGTGGTAACCCCTTGCCAGACACCCTTAATGTTCAGGGTATAATAATTCTACTTACGTTATAGTATAAAAGCTGATTTTTATACAGGATACTTGGGTAATGAGTAGATGATATTTTCTCAATAGCCAGACATTTTTGATAGTTCCAACCCCTTGCCAGACAAGTATGTAGGGTCGCTGTAGAAACGAGCGCGAGGTAGTATATATATGTGAGTGCGAGTGAGATGCGCTTGTATTGTTTACTACTTTGTACATGCGTATGTCAGTAAAATTAATATATGCTATTTTTAAAGATAAATTTAATATTCATTATTAATTATAAGAAAAATATCAATAATAGCATTACTTACTTTATAATTAAATCGCTCATTTTTATATAATACTTAGGTAGTTATTAGATGATGTTTCCTCCTTAGCCAGATATTTTTTTCTGTTTTCAATCTCTCTGCCGGACAATCAATGTAAATGTTAAAAAGAGATTCATGATTAGAATGACTTATCCAAATAAACTTTTTGGCCAATTTATGTGACAAATAACTGATGTAAATTTTAAAAATTTCTTCAGAAATGACATTCGTTGCTACAACTACTCGGAATTGTTAAAAATTTCAATTTATTCCTCCAGTAACTAGTTAAAAAGAAAAACCAAATAGAAATATTTTTCAAAAATTCAAAAATTTTATTAAACTACTACAAGTTATTACATAGGATAAAAAAATAGATCGGTTATATGACATAGTATCATAGTGTATAAGAGATACTGTTAATTTATTCGCTATCAGAATCACCATCAATGTCACTATTTTCTTCGTCACTGTTGGTCCATTCGATGTTGTGGTCTTCTTCTTCTTCGTCAGTTTCTGTAAAAATTTGAAAAATATTATTGGATTAAAAGTAAAAAAAAAATGTCGTCGCACCCCCGTACGTCGCCTGCGGGGGGAGGGAGCATCAGCCGCCCTCTCCCTTTCCCGCTGAGATGCCTCCTTCGTGGACATGACCGTCTCACAGAAGGAGGACACCGCCAACCAGGACCCATCACTCTCGAGCATCTTCTCCACGACACTCGAAAGCGACAGGTCCACTCCGCCGAGAGCCGCCACAAGGTCTTGGCGCTGCGCAGCCCATCTCGGGCACACCTCGAGGGTGTGCTGGGCCGAGTCCACCGCAGCGCCGCACTCATGGCAGCCTTCTCCCGGCTTATAATTAATAATGAATATTAAATTTATCTTTAAAAATAGCATATATTAATTTTACTGACATACGCATGTACAAAGTAGTAAACAATACAAGCGCATCTCACTCGCACTCACATATATATACTACCTCGCGCTCGTTTCTACAGCGACCCTACATACTTGTCTGGCAAGGGGTTGGAACTATCAAAAATGTCTGGCTATTGAGAAAATATCATCTACTCATTACCCAAGTATCCTGTATAAAAATCAGCTTTTATACTATAACGTAAGTAGAATTATTATACCCTGAACATTAAGGGTGTCTGGCAAGGGGTTACCACGATGTTAAGTGTCTGGTAATGAATAATGTGATTTTTAATAACATTCTAAAGGTAATACCAAAAAATCGCTCTGTATAATTTGACGAAACTATATTAGTATTTTACACACCTTTAGTACCGTTTACCTGCCAAAGCCACTACAACCCGAATTTCATAATGGACCTTCGTTCTTACCTGTGTTGGGAGCATGCGCTGACAAACTTTCAGCTTTTATAAAATAACGAAGGTCTGGGGTTCACGGGCTCTTGCTCTATAATGAGATCTAAGATTTTCGCGAGTACTCATTTAAATGAAACTAATATTTTTCGGATTTTACTTCGCATTTTATTTTTGATTAGAAAACTACATACTCCCGACGTTTCGCCTACTTTTCAGCAACCGTGATCATGGGCAGTCACAGGAGTCACAGGAGCAATATTAGAAAAGTTTTATCCGTAACGGGTTGATCTCTAACATAGTATTTACAGATATATATATAATATAATAACTTATTCTAATATTATTCAGATACTAAAATCAGCTTCATTTTGCTAGTCATGCTTTACTTCTAAGAAACCGTAGTTATTTTTAGTGAAATTTACCTTTACGATTTAATAACAAAATACAAACGCAAATAACAATTGTGCATGCTTTCTTTTGATAGCCATATTTTAACAATAATATTTAGTTTTTTCTATGAATTATTTACTTTTAAACGTAGTAATAACTAATTTTATAAAGTTTTAAGTAAAATTTTCACTAAATATAAAAAATATTATTTGAGTGTTTTTGAGGTTTAGTTTATTTAATAAAATAACAATTTTTTGCACGAAAAATGTTATTTGACAGTAGCATTTATTTGACATTTGACATAAACATCTATCTGATTTTTACTCATATGCAGTTTTATATAATAAATAAAATGATAAAAGTTAATAAAGTGATTTACTTAAATACAAGGACGTTTAAAAATTTTGGTCATAAAAGACAACCTGTGTCTAATATTACTACATTGTGGCATGGTTTTTTAACATTCAGCTTCATTGGCCTGGTAGTAAATTGGAAAAGGTATTTTATGCTATTTATTTTAATAATTAATATTTATGATTTTTGAGTGATCAAATGTATAAAATTTTAATAAAATTGTTGCTACAACGGAAGCCTTAAAAATAATGATGTGATTAAAGATTATCTAAAGTAATTAGTAGGAGAATATTTTATGAAAATTTTAAAGTTCAAATAAACAGAAAATTATCCAAATCTTTACAATATTTCACGTAGTGCATTAGAAATAAATTGTTTCTACATTTATATGTTATGTTATAACCATTGATCAGTGTTGTAACTATTTTTCTGTTGTTACAGTTTAACTAAATACTTATGTGATGATTCCAGTGAAGAAATGACATCGCCTTTAGATTAATATATAGCTAAATTGTATTTGTTATTTAATTTTAAGTGTAATGTGTATTATTAAATAGTTTGACTGATATTTTTCATTTGAAGTCACTGTTAAATAAAAATACATTTTTGTCTTAATCGTTTAATTTCTTGTTTTACTAAACAAAAGTTATTCAAAAGTTATACCTTTAACTTTAATGCATGATAAAAGGTTGATGCTAAATATAATAACCATATTACAAAACGAAAAGAGGTTTTAATGCTCATATTAATGAATGTAGAATATCATATGAAAATATGCTTTTCAAAATTAGTTTTGTTATTTGTTGCTTGTCAGAGACATTGTCTTGTCCTTCCAGTAATCATAGTTTCTGTAAAGGAACCGAATTGACAGAATTTTATTGTTACACAATGTTAAAAACCTAGTTCTACCATTACTTCTAGTGTGAATGTTCAGGATACATACAGGAATATGTATGTAAGTTTAAGAAAAATTGAGACTATTGATTTAAAGACCTGTCTGTAGTTTAGGTTAAATAGGTCAAAGATATATAATATATGCAGTCCTAGTGTATTGATCACATATATTTTGATGCTCACACATTTTCTTTCTGTAGCATGTTGAGTTTATTTACAATTTAATTTATCTTTTGATTTATATTTGGGAACTTTTAATAACTCATTATTGGATTTAAAGATGTTTTTGACTACACTTCATATCTCTCCTCTCATAGATAGTTGAAACTAGAATGATTGTAACATTCAATATCAAGCACCCCACACTTTTGCTCTGAATTAAATTATTCTGTTAATAAATTAAATTTTATTATAATTTTATTTTGAGGTATTAATTATGAATGATTGTTGGACCTTCTACTATTGTAATACAATCTCTTTGTAAATGAAAATTATTTTCTATTTGTATGTTTGGTTTGCTATAAAGCATGTTTTTTAGATTTTTCAAACAATTATTTATTTTATTTATTAACGAATTTATTTATATTTGCTTTATTAATTTTAATCTTTTATAAAAGAGTTATGGGATAATAAAACAATGTTATAGGATAAAATACTTTATTTAAGCTCACATAATTGACCTTATTTATTACTAATTGCATAAATTCTAAATAAATAATAAAATTGGGCACATAAATATGCAAAATGCAATATTTATATGCCTTAGTACAATTCATATCAGCTTTAAAAACAAAATAATATTATTAGAAATACATGTATTCATTCGTTATATGCTTTTTTTTAATAAAAATTAAATCTAATTGATTTTCGTAAACAATATAAAATTTGGTGCACCAATAGATATTTTCAGGGTTCGACAACTGTAAAATATTCTACCGTTAGTGTTAGTGAACATTCCGTAAGCTGTGTACAAAGCCTTAACAAAAAGCAGTGGAGTATCACAATATGTTTGCGAGCTTTTTCATATAAGCACCAAATACATAAAGATCTTGTAACAAGGGCCTGGCTTTATTACCTGTTATTTACACATAAAGATCTTTTAGAAAAATTTTGAAATGATGAAATTTCATTTAATATAAAATTTGTTGACTAGTTGTTAGAAAAAAAATTATATGAAATATAGAAATTAAATGTATCGTCTAATTTATAAAGCGATTCTTTCCGTCGATGTTTTGCTTAATGTACTGATGAAACAGGTTATATACAATCAACAAAAAACATATCATGGCTGCATGATAGTGCATGGGCATATTATATATAGCGGTGATTATACCCGGTTTTGTTGTTTTGACACTGTTTAGTTTAGACTTTTTGTGATGATTTTCGGTTTGATCTTTTATATCATCATGATAATAACTAACATCATTTGTTTGGTAACTTTTAACAGGACTTATTGTATCAGTGTTGGATGCTGAAGCCTTATATTGGTCTTTATGATCCTCGAAACCGATTTCCTCTCTTACAGATTCTTTTTCTGATTTCGAAGACGTTGATATTATTTCAGGTGTTAATCTGGCTTCAGCCAGACTTTTAGTTTCTGAACAAATATCCAAACTTTCCTGCAAATAGTTTTCTATTTTAATCAAATGATCAGAAATAACGAAATTTGCTAAAGGACTGTGTCCTCTGTCCGTAGGAACGTTCGCGACCAACATTTCTTTATCCGTTTCTGTCTCTAGATGATCCGAAATCGTTTGTTTGCACAGAGAATTGACGATTTTGTAGCTCTGCAAGTCTTCGTAATCGTTGTTGAGATAATCAACTCTAGACGTTGGTTTGAACTCCGATCCATTGCTTATGGACCACGATGGTAACGATGGTAACGAATCTAGTTCTCGGCGTACGGGAGTGAATTTTACTTTGATGATATCTTCGTTGGTAACTTTTTCAGTTTTCACGATGTCGTCTACGAAGTCTCTGTTTCCAAAACCGTCTTCTGTGTGTAAGACGTGCGGTGTTTCGATCACGTCGCGGCGTGTGGAGCTACTCACTCGGTCGACGGTAACTTTGCTCAGTAACTTGCCGTCCGTGCTTCTTATATCAGAAAACAGTCCTCCATCGAAGTGGAGGGGTGTTTCTAATTTTCTTGTCCTAATTGGTTGTTCGAATGTAGGGGAAGCTGAAATGGGTCGGAAGGTTGTTGTCGAGTAAACAGTGTCTGAATTGTACATAATCTGTCCGTGTGTGTCAGATCTAGCGGGCGTGAGACTTGCAGAAAGGTCTTCCTCCCTTGGCGAAGAAGCTCTGCCCTTGCAAGTTCTTCTTGCACACCTGAGAAACACCATTCATATTACGGCAAAACTCACAACAAACATATCCCAGACAACATCACACGTAACAATCACTATTCAATCCATATATATTTACAATCTCCATAAATTTCATACATTCATTTAACTAGAAAATATATTTATTAAAATATTGTATAGTTAGTCATATTTGAGGTAATAATTTTATACAAACATTATCACTAAGTTTTATTGTGTGAATATAGTTCTAGAGTGTCTGTGATATCATAATACATAAAATAGCCAAAACAATTTAAGTTATTTATATGGAATGGCACGCATACGAAAATACAAGCACTATCTAATAACTACGTCTACAAAAATATTGCCTTCCCGAAGTGTCTGGGAGGTTATTTTTAATCGATAAATAATAAATATATAAGTTATTACATTAACATTCTTGGGACACACAATTGTAAAACACACAATGTTAATGTTTGCGTAACACAGTATGGCAGCGTATGACGAGCTTGTACCCTAATGTCTGTATGTGTCATATGTTTATTATAATGAATGTTCAATTCGTTCTATTCAGTATGTATCCTGGAGTTCTGTAAATTTAATATTTTAATGTGTTACATCGGTTTAGACACGAAACAACATGTGAGAGGGCAATATCTGCGGTCTAGTTTTGACTATTTTATGTTTGTTTATATATATTATTAATGTGTATCCGCTCGCATACGCACCGTGCAGTTGAAGCACTGACTGTGGTAGTTATTGTTGAGCGCCTCCACCCACCTGTCGCCGGCCTCCACGGGGAAACCGCAAGCGAAACATTTGGTCGTAAACAGCTCGTTCCAATCTAACATCGAAATCGACTCCATCATATATTATAATATACTTAAGGTTAAAAATATCCAAAAAATGACGTAATACAAAGTAATTTAAGTAAACGAGTTCATAATACATATTAAAATCTAGCCATCGGTTGTGCATTTAAAAAAGGAATTCTTTTGTTAACGGAATATGTAGCGTAAAATTATCACCAGTCTTGATTATTTTAAGAGATTAGACTTTTATTAGGGAATAATGAATTAAATTTCTAAATATAACAATTGTGTGAATCCAATTGTTTAAATAACAGACCTGCTTCACAATATGGCAGACCGTCCTCTACGAAGAACGGACTGTTCCCGAACAGTTTGCCGCAGTATACACAGTTGAAGCATTCTGGATGGAAGCGTTTGCCGATAGCGGTCAAGCAGTCCTATGAAAAAATTTGCAAAAATTAACAATCCTACTAATATTATTATAATTGCGAAAGTTTGTGAGTGTGTGTGTGTATGTTTGTTACTTCTTTACGCTCATACGGCTGAACCGATTTTGACAAAATTTTGTATACAGGGAGCTGACTTCCAGGAGTAACACATAGGCTACTTTACATCCCGGAAATCCGCAGGTAACACCGCGAGGCGCAGCTAGTATATCATAAAAACCTGAGTATGTACCTGTAATGATATTGTTTTGTATGAATTCGTACCTGTTTTATCTTGTTATGACACTTGTCGCAAGGAGGCGCGATGTATTGCTCGAAACAGAACTCGCAGTATAGTTGGCCATTTTCTTCGACGAAGCCGATGTCTTGCAACTGACGCCGGCAAGACGCGTTCACACAAACGAAGTGCTCGGGACACCAAATACGACCCAACGCGGTAATGAACGGACCCCTGATTAGAATAGAATTTGGTTATAATTTAAGTTCCAATAAATACATTCAGTCAAAATGTAATATTTTTCACGGATTAACTGGTTAGTGTATTATTTTCAATCTACACGCATGCAAAAACGGCCGAGCGGCGTGAAAATATATATTTTATTATAAAATATATTATTTCAATCGTTACCTGGTAATGGCCTTGTCACATACATGACATATGTACTGTCCGTCCGTCACATCCTCTGAGGTCATAGTACTTAATGGTCTTGGAACGATTCGAGAATCTCTACGGCCGTTGTCGTTTCTATTATTTTTCTGTCTGCGTTTTACAACAACTTCTTCGCAGTAGCCGTCTGAATCCTTTTCTTGTTTGTTCCCGATCCCATTGCTCCGAAACCCATTGCTGTTTCCATTGTAACCATTGTCACTGCTACTGCTACTACTACAAGAAGCTCCTCCGTTAAGCACAGGCTTAAAAGTATACAAAGAATCGTCAACCAGATCATTCGGTAGTTTTTTGTCATTTTCGTCTGGTTCTTTCGTTTTGGGGCCATGGCAAAAATTTTGTTTCGAGTAGCTGTTTTTATTTGTAACCTCTTTGTCGTTATGTGAAATTTTACCGTTGTCCGTACTCTTCTGCGTATTTTTTGTCAAGGATTCATTGAAAGCGTCGCTTCTTTCGAATAATCTTCTCTTGTTCAATGTATTAGAAAAATTTGTTTCAGATTTGGAGTCATTTTTAAAATCATGATGGTTTGAAGAGTTTAAATCATCAGTGTTTTTTTCAAAAGCAGTTTTCTTTTTGGAGATGCTGTCAAAAATGTTTTCTGATTTGCTTTTATTTGAATCGTCACTGCTTGAATAACCACCGTTTTGAGTTTTCTCATTAATCGTGGACTCGTCATAGATATTGTTTTTAATAGCATTATTGTATTCTGTGTTCTGTGATACAATGTTGTTCAAGATATTTGTGATGGGCGTGCTGTGCACTTGAAATGTTGGAACGGGAGTTGTTGGAAGAGGTGGTGGGACGGGTGTATGTGTGTTGTTGAACGTGTTATTTGTACCGTTGCCGTTTGGCAAGTAGCTTCCATTGGTTGGTTTCAGAGGCGTATAATCCATAGATTTCAAATTATTTTCAAACTTCTTGTTTACTGATCGCTTCAGAGTATTATCACGACTGGTATCAGCAGAGGGTACAGTGTCTGTGTTCAGAGGATGTTTTGTAACCACTGTATCTTGAATTTTGTCCGCCATAGACTGTATGTGGTCGGCTGGTTTTATTTTTCTCTGAATTCCAATCTCATAGCCGTTGAGGGCCATTTTTGCCATTTTTCGTATTAGCCGTTCCTCAGCCGGACTCTTATAGTCCGTTCGGTGTAGATTGTTCACTGTTTGAGATTCATTAACTGTTAGAAAAAAACAAAACACAACATCAATACATACAATATAATGTTAGTTGAAAAGCAAAAATTAAATAATATCAAAATAAAAACATAATTCTATGCGCATTAAAAAACCATGCATCACGAAACGACCATTATCACTTACTACATATTTGGATAATTTTTTGTATGTATTGTAATGTTTAAGTAGTTGTAATAATAATAAACACGCTACATATAAAGTAATTGAAATAAGTTTTGTGTTCTTTTCATTTATTAGGACGCATACGGAAATGTAAGCACTAACTACGTCTCTATAATAATAGTTTTCCTACTTTAAAGTCAGGTTATTTTCAAAACTATAACACTAGCTGCTTGAATTCGCAACATAAGCCGCATTAGCATTATACGTAGCCTCATCGTAGATGGGTAGATAATGTATATTTTGCTTTCAGTACATAATATTGATGTATTTTAAATCCTGATTTAGAATTATGTTTATTATATAGGATAGGGATGCTGTAAATTTAAATCTGCTATGCAATTTATTCGTATTGGATTACAATCGTAATTGGTCTCAGTGGTGTGAAATTAAATTTCAAGTTACTTTTTATCTCCTTACCATCACATCGAAAGTGTTGTCAAGATTACGTTCAACAGTCATAGAGTCAATTTAAAGAAGACGATACACTAAGTATAACACATATTTTTTTTTTCAGCTATCTATTTAATACGGTTACGAGCATTTTCTTTCTTTACATTCCAGTTTCATTACCATTAAGAGCCGAATAAATAATAATATTTTCTTCGGTATATGGACGGTTCCGTGTTTGTTTTTTTTTAACTAATGGTAAAACAAAGTACAACACCAATACACTCGTTGTAATTGTTAGTTGAGAATTAAAAATTAAACTAGTTCCTAATTGAAAGCTCTATAAAATATAACATCAAACAAAATCATGCATAACGCAACACAACCATTCCGTTCATTGAATCACCTAATGTTGCCATTGCAGGACCCACAAAGAGGTACACGAGAGCCGGGTAGGGCGGCTTTGTTTAAGATACCCCTGCCACGTTTTGGTGCTGATGAAACGCCAAAAGCTTTACCACGAGCCGCAGCTCCTACACTGGGACCTGTTGATGGGGTAGGATCACACACTGGACCTTGGTTAGCACCAGATATAAAAGGACTTGGTTGATACATTTCTGATCGTTTGCTAGCATTGACAACACTGTCATTAGTACGAAGTAAGTTTTGTTGGGTTGGAGTCATGGTTGAGAGAGGAGGGGGGAACACCTGCTTGGAGTTAGAATTATATGGTTGCGGATTAGAATCAATCGGCTGATTTGAACAGTAAGGTTGTGAATCGCCCTTGTGAATTTCTATAACCTTAGCGGATTGTGAGCTTTCGTATTCTTCGAATGTTTTTTTTGCAGTCTGTACGGTAGTGTTGCCATATTCACTTATATTTTGAAATTCTGTTTGTTTTTCGCCGTAGTTCTGATTTAACATAGAGTCTTCTTTTATGTTCATATCACCTTGACTGTAATTTTCAGTGCGATATTCTACATTTGCTTGTCTTTCGTCTTTTATAACCGTGGGTTGATTCGGGTTATAAGTTTTTAATTCTGAAGGATTAAACGATGACATCTGGGTTTGTAACTCTGGTCCTGACATCTCGTGTTCTTTTCGGATGTTTGACAATTGCTTATTACAAGATTGTGCTTGTTCAAAGGTAGATTGAGATGTTTGTTTTATTCGGGGAGCTTGTGCCTTTAGAGGATTAGCTGGAGGCCCAGGTGCCGGGGAGCGACATCGCGCTATAGGAGTGGAAGACCGACTGGCTTCGGCACTACCAGGTTTGTATAAACGACTTTCCGGAGCTTGATGCTCGATAGAAACTAAATTCATTTGATAATGAGGTATTATAGGAGCCGGCTTATTGATCATACCCGGTGTTGTTGGACGGCTCCGGGCAGGTGATATTCTAAGTGATGTTTCATCTACGACTGGCTGGAAAGTCATCGGTCTGTCCATTTTAGAGCCTTTATTTGTTTGGTTGGTTGGGGTGAAAGACTTTTGCTGGTCTAGATATACTTCTGATACTTGAGCTTGCTGATATTGTGGAATACCCTCTGATCTGGGTAAAGCAGTTGTACAAATAGAGGATTCCTGTTGTTGCGTTTTATTTTGGGATAGTTTAAATTCCTGTACTGTTTCCTGTTTTGATTGAGAAAAATCTTTAAAACCACTACTTTGGTTACTTAGATTAGAAAGAGGTTGTGACGAAAATTCTTCTGGTTTTGGAGGTGGAAAGGTTTGTTTGCACACCGGTTTGAATGCTGAAGTTGTTGCTGTTGATTGCATAATTCCAGAATGTTGTATTGCACTTTGTTCAGAAGTTTGATTTGATTGATTAGATTGACTATATTCCGAAAGAGATTGTGAAGGCACAGCTTCAGATAGCAAAGGCTGGTATTCTCCAGATTCAAACTTGTTGTAGTGCACTGTTGGTATATGAAACGATAATGGACTGTACGGTCGATCTGGGGCTATAGTAAGGGCTTCCAACAGGGATCCTCTTTGCAAAGTATTGGGTTTTGCTGAACCACCAATGGGTTTCCCACTAATAGACTTCTTAGATTCGGGTGCTTTAACACCTGATTGAGTTACTTTTGATGACATTTTCATTTGATTGTCTTTAGTTTGTATTTTAGTATCGCTTACTTTATTCGAACATGGCTGCATTTTTGTGTTTGAAGTATTTGCATTGAGAGGAGGAAAGTTTTGAGACACACTTTCTCCCGTTTTAAATTTAGATTGAACGACATTTGAACTATGTTCAAGTCGTGATTGTTCCAGAGTTTGTTTTCTCTTATTTATTTCTTCTGGTGCAACAACATTTTGATAGACAGAAAATTGTTTGCAATCAGAAGCTTGCTGTGAATATGATTGGACGGTGCAACTTGAAAATTCTTGTTTAATCTCAGATCGTTGTTTCTGAACAGCGGTTTGTGATTTTATGGTAGATGACGCCATCTGCGTCGTATCAAATGAAGCGTTTGAAGAAAACTCCATCGTTTGCAACAACGGAGCTATAGCCGAATCCGTAGTCTTTATTTCATTAGCAGTTACTTTTCTATTATTGGTATTGTGTGTTATTGTTTCTTCAGACAAAGAAGTGAAATCACTATGTAATGAGGTTTGATTACAATTTACATTAAGTTCACTTTCGGGTTCATCTTCTGAGGGATTAGGAGGGGGCCACACAATGCTTTTGACGTTTTTGGCTACGAGCATGGTAGTTAGTGTAGGTGATGAATGGTGGGAAGAAAAAAATAGATGAAAATATTTATTAGTTACTTCAGAATACAGAAGCAGAAAAGGCTTTAATTTTTTTTGCAAGCTATATTTAAAACTTAGTACTTGGTGGCGGAAAAAAAAATTGGCGTCAAAAAATAAAGTGCTTGATATTTGGTGCGCAGCATTTCATAGTCTAATAGCACATACGTATTATATTTACAGATTACAGCTGTATAAAGCTATAGCTTTAAATTTTTATCTTCATAAATTACCTTTAAAAAGGGAACCTGGGGCCTCTGTCAAAATAAATAGTAGTGCTTTATAAATTTAAATTTTAACAAACGCCAATAATTCAGGATTGTCCATAAACATTCCAATTAGAACTACATAAAAATCGAATACAACAATTATGCAATAAATAAATAGTATAATAGTTTAACATGACTATTGTAAAAGAGAATTATGTAAGAGTATTCAATTACCTTGTACCAGTGTCGACAGAGAGGCTACTGTCACAAGACTAGACTTATTTGACTGATCGATACTAACAAAGTGCAGACCTAGCTAAGAATATCTAACTCTGAGATCTAGAAAGTTAACATTTCCGGAGTCATTGATTGCTTGCCAACTTTACTATATTTAGGCTACCGGTCGATATGATGCCAAATATTTTTGTTTGTGTGAATTCCATCCAAAATTAGATGAACAATAAAATGAAATCTGATATGAGATAAAGGTTGAAGGATAGTCGCGTGTTGTACATTATATGGGCCATGGGAATATGTTTATGCATTCCTAACTCAGTTTCTGATGCCAACGCTTAAAATCTAACAAATATAATAAATTATATAACTCTGTCAATATAATAAATCATAAATATATAATAATGAACATCCAAAGAATATAACAATATATTTTTTATATAGATTTAAATAAGTTCTAGTTACAACTAGATGGCAAATGTGACTCTCTTACTTGGTGCGAACGCGTGTTGTGGTGCAGGTGCAGGTGCAGGTGCGGGTGCAGGTGCAGAGTTTGGTGTCCGTGGAGAGATCGGCGCCGAGCGAGGAGACAGCGACGACGGAGAGTACGTGCCCAGAGACGAGCCGAACGGCTTCGGACCAGACAGATTACTAGATGGCTGTTGGATACAAACATCATTGGTAATCATGTTACGAGATTATCATATGTATTCTGGTAACATGTAAATTGAGATATGATAGAGGAATTCTCTTATGAAATTAGACCTATATTTGGAAGTATCGTATGGTCATTTTATATATAATCTCGATTGTGCTAACTTTTTAAGTCTTTTTTTTGTAATTTTGTATATTGCGGTTTAGACAATATTCAACGGTAAAGTGGACGACGAGACCATGGAATAATACAATATTTGGATTACGAGAATTTTGGTTCTGATGAATTACTTAAATTCATATGAATTCATCACTCTATTATTGTATTTAAAATTAAAGAAACTATTAGAACATGTAATTATGTTATGGTTGTTTTAACTCACTAAAGGTTTAAGGAATCGGTTATAACACGGCGTTTATATTTCAAATATCTTAAAGGAGAGATGTCATGTAAAATTCTAATTACATACATATATCATCTTAAATTTTTGAAGGCCTCCAAAAAATAGTTCTATTTAAGAGAACTTTTACTTGTTTGGTTCATATTTTAGTATTTTCCGTAACTACGAGTATATTAAATTACATCTATTCGTAAATTAAGCTTGAAAATTTATTTCAAAATTAAGTTTATGAGAAAATAAAGCTTTTCGACAACGATCTTCTGATAAGTAGTTTTCTGATAAGACTAAGGATAGGGAATACATTTTAAATATTTAAGTTCAGTTGTAAATCTAATTTTCATACTTACACTAAACATTGATGACGATCCGTTAGTGTAGTTGTTTGTAGATAGTGGTGGCAGCGGAGTCGAATATGCGTTCGTTGGAAGACGGCCACCACTAAAACAACGGAATAGTCATAACATTCTCCTGACTCGCATATGAATAAATATACGTACAAGATATCTATACTTATATATAAAAGAAAGTTTTAGTTACACTATTTATTATTCAAGAACGTCTGTAGGGATATAGTTGAAAGTACCAAGAAACAGACATAGGCTATTTAATTCTGTTCGATCGAAAAAGAAAAAAATACTTAATAAATTCCAATATCTGATTATTTACGGCCTCTAGGGTGGAGTAGAGTTCACCAGGTACACATGTATTACTAATTCCGAAATTACGCGGACGAAGTCGCGAGTAAAAACTAGTTAATAATGTAGTTGTACTAACGGTGGTACAGTGACTGGTTCCAAGTTCGGCGCGGGCGGGTTCTGTCTCGCAACCAGCTTGGCGTGGATGTCGCAGTACAGTTTCCCGTTCAGGTTGTAGTAACCCTGGTTCTTCAGCGAGGAACCACAAGTGGCGCACTTGAAACACTCCACGTGCAAATTCTTGTCCTTGATACGGACGAATACACCCCTGGTATAATACTAAATGTTAGTTTGATATATACATTTATTGTCGGCTCATAATTTAAGTTAACACTACGATACCAATTACATCAGGCTTGTTACATAGAACGTGCTTACCTATAACTCGTGCTCCTTCAATATACCTCTACGGTGCAATCAGACAGTACATTCATGCTAAATGAACTTAGTTTTCCGTATACAAGCGAAACTAAGATACTGTATGAAATTATTAATGTGTGTGATAAACTGAGCCGTACATGATTGTTATGATACGAACATCTGATGATTATTTATATGTACAAATAAATGCAATACTGAATACATAGTAACTACACTACATAAAGTGCACAAATCGACACGGTCGCAAACACGTCAGGCATCGGGGCCTTACACTATCTGGCCGTTACATTCGGAGCAGTGGGGGGCCTCGGTGGGGGCGTCGAGAGGCCTGTGGGGGGGCTGAGGGGGGCCCAACGCCACCCGGCCGTCAGATAACACGCGGGAACATCCCAATGGGATGCTGGGCCGGTGGGGGGCCTCGGGCGCCAAGTGAACCAGCCTCGAACACGGCGGGAACCGAGCCTCTGCCGACCTCAATACTGTTACTTATCATAACAGAAACTCATCGCCAAATACCTTACACTAAATACACTATACAAAAGCCTGTCGCTGAAGAACCGATGACTGGGAGCTAGTTTATACCCGCTATTACTAAGTTCAAATGAGTTAACACGTTACAAATAGACCGATAGTTAGCCGAGCTGTTCGTATTGCGACCGTGTCGGGCGTGAACCGTCCGACTCACGTTATAAGTCGCTCGCAGTCCTCACAGATGTTCTGTCCGGTGGGCAGGCCGCCGGTGTTGACGGGCGTGTCGCGGGTCACGGGCGCGGACACGTGACGCAGACCGCTCACGGGAGTTGTGGCGCCCGGGATCGACTCTGATACTATTTGGATGCGGTACTATCAATTTTGGATTCATTATGGAAAGATCGAAAGTAGGTACATTTGTATAGAAATATTACCCGTCTATAATACAGTAATATTCGATTAAGTACAATCAATATTTTTCTATGTACTACGCGTTTTTTATTATTTTTATCAACATGCTTCCGACGTTTCGGTTAATTTGCAGCAACCGTGATCACGGGCATAACACGTGATTCAGGCAAATATCTGATATTTTTGTTTTGCTTGCCTATTATCACGGTTGCTGCAAAGTAACCGAAACGTCAGAAGGATGTAGTTTAAAATAATAAAAACGTGCAGTACAATCGAAAATATTGGTTTTATTTGAATGATTACTCACAATAGTTTTAGTTATACAATATATTAAGTAATACTCTATTTTGTTCTGCACTATTACAATTTTGAAACATGGTTTTATTCAGCATTAACAATATGGTTGTAACTAAAGTTAAATAAATGCTAGTAATGTATAAACTACAAAGCTATGAAAGAAATTTTGAAATAATATTATAATAAATGATGGAGTTTGTTTCAATTGATATTGCCTTATAATATTCTAAGAAGGATTTAGTTATTGACTGTGATTATAATTCTTATACCTGGTTCAGGATCGTTTTCAGCTTCTTGCAACACCTTGAATACAGCACTTTTTTCAGCGTCGTAAGTTTTTTCGTTCTTCTTGAAGTTCACTCTGCAAGAAAGGTTCATTTTAATCAATATAACATACTAGCTTTCCGCCCGAAGCTTCGTCCACGTGAAGTTCGGTTATATCGCATTTCCAAGAGAACCTTTTAAAAGTCTGGGATAAAAACTATCCTATGTTCTTTCTCAAAGTCAACTCCATCTCTGTACCAAATTTCACTAAAATCAGTTCAGTGTTTTAGGCGTGAAAGTGTAACAGACAGACAGACAGAGTTATTTTCGCATTTAAAATATTAGTAGGGATATTTCATACAAATTACTATCAAACAAATGTTTTACCCCAAAACTCCGCCCGCAAGCACCTCGGTTTGAGCAGAGAGTGTCTCAGCGATAGTTTTGTCGCTGTACATACTAACAGGTGTGTTGTACTGTTTGTTGACAATGCTCTTCACTGAATCGTTGCCATTCATCTGAAAACGTGCAAAAAATTTGGGTAGATAATATTTTACGCATTACTTACTGTTTTCTCTAAGTAGAAATATTTTTTTTGCTGTATATGGAGTCATCGAGGTTTTTTGTAATCTTAAACGAGGTTATTTCCAAAAGAGAAGATTCCAAAAGAGAAGACAAGGACAACACATTTTTTTAGGAACCAAATTTTATACCAAATGCAATACAATTAGAGCAGTGTATTGTATTTCGTCGGGGATAGTGCAAATCGGCGTAACTACCATGGGATAATTCCGCGTACCTTGACAGCAGATTATCAGAAGAAAGTTTAAGCTGAAATATTTTCTAAATTAACGACTTTTGAGGTAATTTTTTCACACTTAGTAATTATTTAGCGTTTAATTTATTACGGAATTATCTCAAGTTAGTTATGAGCATTTGCACTATTCGCGAAAATTTGGTATATTAATAATAGTTATGACTGATATGTAGTCGTTTTCGTCTATGGGTCAAAAGGTGCTTACATAACCGAACGGCTTAGCGACGTTGTTGTGACCAGATCCAAAGGCTCTCGAGGGTTGAGGGGTTGCCTTTAGGGAGGTGCTGGTGACTGGAGCAGGGGCAGCTCCTAGAGGACGAGAACCAGGACGAGGGAGGCTCCCAGTGGGAGTGACGCTAGGACGCCAAGTACCACCACCTCTGGAAAAATGAACCAAATACGACATATATCACCTTGATGACGTAACTCATTGACCATCACTAAAGAAATTATGTATTCTTTGTTTCTGCTATTTAGAATATACTGCTTTTATGTGTGATTGGTGTTGGATTAATAAATTCGATTGCTTCTCCACATAGAATATTTTACATTTGGAGGTGAACTGTGATGATGCATGAACGTAATCGTCAATTTTTTTATCGTGTTTCAAGATCTAATTAAAGCATGTATAAAATATTCAGTAAATAGGATCTCTATACATTTATTATATCTTTATACTCTTCCATTTATAGGAGCTTTAAAAAGATTTTTAATCGATTCAGATATTGACCCCAATTTATAACAACAATGGCTATGAAATGAGACATTTAATTTCATATTGTCCAAACAGTATATGGACATTTCCTATGTGACTCATTCATACACATGCCCATGTAATGCACCTTGGTATTAAACCTGTTAATATTGGCGCGTGCTACAAATATTTCAGAAACTACCAGCTTATCTTTTGAGACGGTCATAAAAACTGAATAGTCAGTAAAAAGCGGTTGAATTCCTCGCGTGTGGCGGCTAGTTCATATCATTAAATAACCGTATGACATTCAAGATGGGTGTAAGCTAATTACGTCACTTGAATGCCACTTATATGGAGGCCAGGTGCAATCTACACAAGTAATGGAAGCCCCGCAAATTATGCTCCTGTTTTGTATATACTTTTTTTGCTTACGAAATTTTAAATACTTTCGTAACTTACTGGTTTTTTATTGCTTGAACTTTAGTATTTTTTTTTACATTTCGTTCGCGGTACTTCATTAAGTTGAAGAAAAGATCAGAAGTCTTATAATAAAAAGGAAATTAATGCTATACAAAAAATTCCAGATTAATCTACGGGCGTTTGTAACGCTTGTAATGAGTATTTACTAAACGATATTTCATGAAATTTTATACTATCATAGTATATATGTCTAAATGAGGCATGATTCATAGAATGGATAGAATTTTTAAGATTATACCTTAATGGGCTATAAAATATTGATGCTCGGCCAGGTTAGTCGTATAAAATACCTAGGATAATGTAGTAGTTTGATTCTAGTGTCAAGTTTGTTAGTTTATGACAGGTTACCTTTGCACAGTCAGTTCCAGATTCCCACCAGCAGCTCGTATAGCGTCCTGGGCCTCTTGATGTCTCAGAGAGTACACATCAGTATTGTTAACACGAATAAGCGCATCCCCAGCTTGCAAACCCGCCCGCTCAGCCGCACTGCCACCGTTCACCTGAAATATATAAAACAAATATACATTGTACTATCACAACCAAAAATCGTATATATTTTAATTCTGAAACCATTTATATTTGCATAAATAACAGAAGTAACGCATACAAAGAAAGTATTTAGCGTTTCCCGTGTGTTTTCGATAGCCTATGTAAAATTATATCCATGAACACTGTCCGTGTAGTGAACTTTATAATGAGAGCTTAGAAAAAGTCCGCCAGACGTCTCGATTTCTTGGGGAGCGTAGAACAATGAGAGCTTGTGAGAAAAATTAATGGTCCCGCTTGGTCGGCGCGTGAACCAATATAATGAAAATATTCATAGGCCTTTATTTAATATATGCTTTATGTAACGTACTCAGAAATCAAACCTCAATGTATTTATAAACATATCAAGCTAATACCTGGAAATAATGATGAGTGCATTGTTTTTAGTATTAACAAAATTTTCCTTGTTATGACAAATCCGATTTACGCAATACGTCTCCACCGCAGTCTTATTTTTAACTGCTAAAGAACTTAAACGAATGGTATTGTTTTAAATCAACAAACTGTATATATAAGTATGTACCTATTTTAATTCTACTTCATCAATAGAATTATCTAACACTATCATTTTCCTGTTGTGAGTTATAAATAGTTTTACTTAGTTCGATCCAGATTCCTGGATGTTGGTTTAGGAATGCATGGGAGGGGGGAAGGGGGGAAAGGAAGGAAGCTATGACGTCATCTTTAGATCAGCGACTGCCCTCAACCGGCCCGCAGATCATGTGTGATAAAAACTCGCCGTCAACGCTCAGTATAATAACATATAAATTACATTAAAACTGGCCGTTTTTCGCTTTCACTTGCAATAAAATATTTATGACTCAAATAGCTGTTATTTCATATGTAACCTATTTAATTTGTATGGTACCTAATAATTCATATTTTAAGTATAATGACAGTTAATTTAAGTCCAACATAATGCACATAAATAAAAACAATACTTTCGATTTATGATTGCAAAATATATCTTTTCATAATAGTTATTTTTATAAAACTGACATGTAAACAACTAAAATAAATTATGCCATTTAGTTTGGTATTACAATTTTTAACCGAAGCCTTATAGAATTTTATTTTTCTTACCTTAATGAAAACCGCACAGAGTAATTAGCACTTGTAGTAAGTCAACATTATCAAAGTCACACACTTATATATAATAATTCATATATAGTATTAAAATCCGATATAAATAATTACTGGAACTATTAGTATTTATATAAAGGTAGTGATGTAACTTCACACTGCACGTTTATTTTCTTATCATATATATATATTAAACAGTAATTTTAATTTATAATAGGACACTTATCACTTGGTGCAGCGAGACTAAGACTCGGTCGATCATGACCATGTTTATATAACTTGTCCCCTACCTATAAGTCACTTGTAAGGAATTTAAGTTCCAATCAGCTGACCGACTAATACCTTCCACAATGTTTGATATTGACCTCACATCATAATCTTATCAATTAATTATCAGCGATGATTTAATTGTTATTTATTATATGATAACAGAGATCATAGTATCAATTTCTAGACAAAACTAATTAAATTTAATTAAGTACATAGTTATAAACAAATAATTATATACGGATTCACGCGAAAAGATCTAATTGTTATTAATTTTTTTTATGTATTATCGAAATCATATTCATGAATAAAAAGTAAACAGGAATTATTTTCGTTAAAACGGATATATAAGACCTTCTTGATTTCTTAAAAAAATATATACACAACATCTGTTATAGTCTATGGCAATGCCCTTAAAGTTGTCGGCGCACGCGCATGCCATATACGGCAGCAGAAATATAAGAACCAGAGATTAATGCAGTCCCGACGGCTCGAGGTCACGCTGTATTCATATTTTTATTTATTTTGTACCTTTTTCAAATGACGTCAGACGTATGCGAAGCTCTCTAACGTATTGTGAGAATATTATGAATATAAAATGAGCAAAATTAATGTACGTAATTCACATTTAAAGTGTCGTTTCATACATTCTATCCAAAGAGTTTTATATCACAATACCTCTTTTTAGATTTAATAAAGTAAAAAATACATTAATTATACCATAAACGAGGGAAATAAAAGAATTAAAATAATAATCCGTAAAGAATAAACCGCAATTTATAAAACAATGGAAAATTGCAATGAAAACAAAATAAAAATTTATCATGAAACAGTACAATGATTATGCTGGCGATTGACATCGATGGCGGTTAATTAGCATTTTCGATTTACACATAATGGTAATACTTTTTACTTATTCGTCTATAACGCTGTGTAGCCGTTATATTATCCCAGACGTTGTTATTTACATGGCTAGATAATTGGAAAATACCAATGGCGATTATCCAAAGTACGTTATCGACGCGGCGTTCTAATTTCATAACAAATCCCAGCTAGTACGTGAGTCAGATTGTGTTTGGAGTAGTCGGTAAAGTCGTCCAGTTGCGCAACTGTCCAGCCGAGCAGTAAGAGTGAATCTGACTATGACTGCGCTTAGCATGGACTCTTTGAAATCAATTTATTTTGCGCAAGCCTTCAAGCCTTTAACGCTCAAAAGATAACCTTTGTTGTTACTCTTTTTGGAATAACTTTGTTAAAAGATGCATTGAATCTGACGCGTTTAAATGTATGTACTTATTTGAGTTTGAAATTTTGTTGAGATTATTAAATATCTTAAGGACTTCGGAGATACATATATAATTTGTTTTTCGTAAAAAAAATTGTTTGATTTAATAAAAGTTTTAGACTACTACAAGCCAGCTCTCAAATAAAATATTTCGTTTTACCAAATAACTACGCTCTTAATATCAATTCTAATAATACCTAAACATTGAGAATTAACTTTTTGTCTACAAAAAGAGTAACCGTGTACATTGCCGATGTAAACTCGTTCTAATCGATTTCTCAGTATTTAGGTATTGCAAATCGATACCTAAACTACGTCTAGACTGAAGCCACCCCTTCCTTATAGATTAGACTCATATTGTTTCATAGCTTCTTCCAGTAAGCATTTTTCATTTAAAAACAAACGTGATTGAATTCATATCATTTGAAGTATCACATTTCTCTATTTATGATTCCAATGTAAATAGGAACTTCTTATAAGGATTCAGTTATATTAATATTAAGAGACTATTATTCATTTATGTATATGATTTACTTTTTAATCATGTACAAATATAAATAATTAACAAGGAAAAAAGTAAAAAAAATATCATTACGTATAAAATTAAAAAGAAAAATTGATTTAATTATTATATTTCTGAACGCAACATTCAAATGTCAAGCTATTTTTTGTCAAATTCCTGTCATTTAAAACAGCAAATGTTTCATACAATTTCATAAATAAGCATTTCACTATGATTAGACACATTATAGAGATCCGGGAATTAAGAGTTCACTGACCTCTATGACACTGTCATGTCGAATTAAATAATTCATTACGCGTCGTATTTAACTAATACAATTATGATATTAACTATGTAAAAAATGAGCGGGTCTAAGATAAAAAAAAACATCTTATACACTGGAATAAAAAGAATCAATTAGTTAAGCAATGATATGAGTATGTTAAACTTTGAAATAAAAAAATATTTAAGTATGAAGGAGGTATAAAGTTGACAATGTCGGGAAGATCTCTTTCTTCATTAAAAAATTTATTTAGGACCGAATCAATCAAAAAAATCAAACTAATGCGAAAACCATGTTCTGAAGTTATGTCAAATAAAAAATAATAATGAGTAAAACCTCTTTCTTAAGGAAAAAGCAAAAAAAAAAATAAAGAAAAAAGTTGCCAGTACATAATATATGTATGTCAATATATTTAAACTCAATAATACAATATTAATATTATTGTTGACAGTGACATAAATCAGTGTGTCAAGCAAAAGCCGCCTTTCAAACCAGCATCATTAGGCTTTGACGTTTGAATAATCACGTCACGATAGATAATTGTTCTTTTGGTCAATTAATTTTATTACCAGATAATGTACTTTGTTCCTAACAGATTCTATTGCATGTAATATATTGAAACGGTACTTATTTAAGGAAAAATACTTCTATAATTATTTAATATTTATCTTAAAAATAGTCACATTTTTACTTCAACTTTTACACGTCATGCTTGTCGTAATATACAAAAGTTCCGTTTGGAAATTTTGTTTTATTTAAATGTATAACTTAATATAATATATATATCTGTACTAAAGCAATGTTTAATAAGAATTAAGAACAAAGATTCTCGTAATGATGAACTAACTACTAAGTACTAACTAGTTTCTACTTCGTGATAGAATCTAATTACTGTAGTTATTTCTATTCAATTGAATGAATAATAATACAATTGTATTGTTTGTAAAAAATGTAAGATTAATATTCAAACTTCAAATCCTTTTAAAAATGGATGCTGAGCTGTAGATGAGTAACAGCGTTAAACCTTAAGGTCAGTACGCGATCTTTAAGGTAACTTCCGAGTTACTTACAAGAATACGTACTTAAGGGAAATAAGTAATGTATTTACAAGACAATGGTTTCCGAGACGCGGAAGTTAATACTCATAACATTATCAAACATTACGGTAAATAAAATGTTTATAACCGTTTGATGATTCTTAATATAATATATATAGGTTTTTGTATATACAGAACGTGTTTCTCGGAAGTCTGATATCACAATTCAACATTATTCCATGAACAGACCTTAAAAATAATGACGAGTGTCGAAACTACTTAAACGAGGCCGTCTAACTGTTAATGAGAGGTAAAAGCTCCTTCAGATAACTAATCACCCATTGGAACACTCGGATATTGATAAAACTTGACACATTAGATACATTACAAGGTGACAAACAAAAAATATTTACATAAATCTTCGTTAATTTGCTATTATATATACCATACAAAACTCTCAAAGAATTTTTTCTCACAAAAATCCTATCTAAATATGT